GGGAAATTATTGCTTTGAATTCCTTTGTTCTTGCGGAGGCGTAAGCCTCCCTACCCTAGAAACTTAACAAGCTAACCAGCCTTTCTTCCAATCCTTAGGTACCTTTTATTCTTTCCAAACATTTTGCAGTAATGAAGTGAGGACATATGTCGTAATCTCTGAGGCCGTCTGGTCCTGCTGACCTCCCGGACTTCAGTAGCTTGATCTCATTCAAGATTTCTTCTTTCGTTGGAGGAGTGGTGTCCACCGGCAGTTGTATGCGTGCTGTTGGTGGTATTTCTGGGCCAGTTGCCGGTAGTGGTCAATTCAAGAGTCCTTTAAAGTGACCAGCACATTGTTTGACTTGTTTCTCCTCCTTGGTGATCAGGTTCCCTCAGGCATCTTTTACTGGTTTCATCATCTGGGTCTATCTCTTCCCGGATAGAGACTTGGTTACCTGTAATAGTGTCCTGATGTCTCTTTTGCCTGCGGCCTTCTTGTTCCGCTTCACTTGCTAGCCAGTTTGTCGTAGAATTGTCGTTTGTCTTTTCTAGCACTCTTATTCACTTTGATATAAGAATAAAACTTGGGCACTGTGGTAGAATGTAATTCCATTATGGGTAAATCTTTATTTTGATAGAGTCTCACAGTGTTATACAGTAATATTTACTGATGACGTTTCGAGCACAATTTATTGCTCATAATCATATCAAGGTAATCACACGACTTCCTAAATTCATTTATATAGTTCCATTGTTTTTCACTTGATTTTCACTTGATTTGATTGGTAGTATTATTTTCCATATTTCAGGTATGAGTGATGATTCATTCCTATTGCATGTGTTGGGTGTAGATTCGATGAACAAAGATTCAGTAATCAACCTCTCTCTCCACCTACCTAGATTACTTTTTAGAATTTTAACCCTCTCCCACCCTATTGTGTGGTTGTGTGTTAATGCATGCATTGCAATTGCCGAGCTTTTTTCTAAATTACTTATCTTCTCTGGGTCAACCATTCTTACCTTAGCTAAATTCTTATGTTCTGACAATCTGACTACCCCTGACCTGCTAGTTTGACCTATGTAGTTGACCTCACAGTCATTGCAGGGTATTTTGTAAATTATATTATTTTGTCTAATTGGGTCCACTGGGTCCTTTAACCTACAGAGCTTGTCCCTGAGTGAGTTTGTAGGTTTAAATGCCACCCTAATTCCTGCTTTATTTAGAATCCTACGTAGGGTTTCAGATGTCCCCTCTTTATATGGTATAACTGTAGATGACTTATATTCTCTCTTATTTATGTTATTATTACTAGTTTCACAATTCTTTTTATTTTTCTTTTGGCCTCTTTCAATCTTCCTAATGAATTTTAGAGGATAGTTATTTAAAACTAATGCCTCTTCTATCTGTTTTATTTCATCATTTAGGTATTTTTTTGTGCTACTTAGTGCCATTGCTCGATTTGTTAAACACTTAACTAAGCCTGCCTTAACAGTTAAAGGATGAGATGAATTAAAGTCTAAATATCTATTAGAATGCGTTGGTTTTCTATAAACACTAATGTGTAGTTTGCCTTCTTCTATTCGTTTTATTTTACAATCTAACATAGCTAATTCTCCTTGCTCATTTTCAGTTTCAAATGTGAATTTTATTCCCTCCACTAGTGAGTTTATGTGTGTCAAGAAGCTAGAGATAAGTTCTGTTTTTAACACTGTGGAAGTGTCATCCACATATCTCCACCATATTTTTGGAGTAGGATTAAACGTATTAAGTGCCATATTTTCCCAGCTATCCATAAATATATCTGCTACGATAGGGGATATTGGTGATCCCATTGCTACACCTTCAGTTTGTCTATATATTTTGCCTTGGAATTTAAATATAGTAGATGTGAGGCATAGCTAAATTCCTAAAATAATTTCTTCAATGGACAGCTTTGTCCTATGATTGAGTTCAGTATCCGCAGTTAGTTCTTTTTTAACTGCTTCTAAGGCCACATTGACTGGTATATTAGTATAAAGACTGGTTATATCAAAACTAACCATTGTTTCCTCATTATCTAGTTGTATGTCATTCAGTTTATTTTTCATCTCATATGAATTAGTTAGTCTAGAATTTGAACGATTTCTAATGGGGCATAATATTAGGGCTAAATGTTTTGATAATTCATATGTAGGGGTATTTCTAAAATCTACTATTGGTCTTATGGGATAACCTGGCTTATGTATTTTAATAGTACCATACATCCTACTAGCATTATTAGTTTTAGGCATTAAATTAAACCATTTTGACTCACCCAGTGACGGCTTCATTCTGCCTACTAATTCCGCTGTGGATTTTTTAACCTTATTCATTATTGTATCTACGGGCTTCTTAATTTCCTCATATGGACCCATTTCAATATGTTCAGTGACTTTCTTGATGTAGTCAGATTTATTCAAAACTACGGTGGCGTTTCCTTTGTCAGCTTTTGCGATGACAATATTTTTATCCTGTTTTAGATTAATTAAAGCTTCTCTTTCCGATTTTGTCAAGTTTGATTTTGCCTTCTTTTGATTTGTGCTCGAACCTCTTCTGCTGTTGTTTTATCTATTGAACCTAGTGCTACTTCTATGTTAGGAATGACATCCTCTGGTTTTAATTTATTAACTGTTACGTTGAAATTTAGTCCTTTCTCCAGTACTTTTATCTCACTGGAGCTTAGTTCCCTTGATGAGAGGTTGATCACCCACTTTGTTTTGTCGATAGAGGATGAAGCATTGACATCAATTTCATTCGCTGTGTTCTTTTCTTCAATAAGTTTGTTGAATTTTTTGATTTGTGTGTTTTTTGATTTTCTTAATGCAGATTCTCTAGCTTTTTTGGATGTTTCAAGAATAATTGTATAATCTTTGTCATTGATCATATCTTTGAGTTTGTGTTTGAGTTTTTCAATTTCATTTCGTATATTATTTAGTTTCACAGTAACTCGATGTTTCTTATTCACTTTTTTATTCAGTGCAGTGTACATTGAAGTCAGCTTCTCTTTCTGTTGTCCATCTTTGCATCGAGTCATCTTCTATATCTCCATACTCCTGTCCTCTCCTCGATCAGCTTCCAGGAATCCGTTGACAACTATTCCTTGTCTTGTCTCTTCCCTCTTCCTAGAATAGTTGTACGCGTTTCCTTAAATATTGCTTTCAGAGAGTTAACAATGTTCTTCCACGCAGGTTTCCTCTGTGATGCCCTGTAGTATCTCCGACTTTGCTCTGATATCTGTGGCAAAGGCATCCCTTGTAGTTTTGTCCTTCAGTTCCTGAATGTTGAACTTGAATTATAGTCTGTCTTCAGGTGTTTTCAGGGATTTCAGCCTCCCCTTGAAGTTCCATGAACTAGATGATGGTCTGAGCTCAAATCTGCTCCCTTTCTCGACTTTGTATCCAACAAACTAGCTGCGTCTCCAATTCCTTGAGACTGATATGAAATTTATTTGGTTTGTGGTATATCCATCAGGCGAAATCCATGTTGCCTTGTGTATATCCTTGTGTTTATACACGCTCCCTCCGATCACCAAATCGTTGAAAGAGCAGCAGTCTGCGAATAATTCTCCGTTCTCATGCATTTCTCCGAGGGAGAGCATCTCGACCCATGATGAGTTCGCTTCCTGTATTATCTACCCCCCCGTTTGGCTTTGATTGATATTGCCAATAAAGATTTTGATGTCACCATTTGGGATGTTTTCCATTACTGCTTGTAGTTGTCTTTAAAAGTCCTCCTTCTTTTCTTGTTCGACGTTGTTTGTAGGTGCGTAGCATTGGATAATTGTTACCTTCCTTCCTTTGGAGTTGAATCTTGCTGTCATGATGCTGGGTGAGGAGGTTGGTTCCCACTGCATTAGGGATTTGGCTGCCACTGGTGACATCATGATAGCCACTCACTCACTCAGTGTGTTCGTGGTTGTCGTCTGGGTGACCGTAGTAGATTATTGACTCTCCCGTTGACAATGTTGTAAATCCACACCCATTCCATCTGCTTTCGCAGATGCCCATTACTTCTAAGCCATATTTTCGCATCTTTTTGGCTACCTGGGCAACCTTCCCAGCCAGTCTCATACATCGTACGGACATTCCACGTACCCGTTCTTACTCTTGCTTTCATTGAGAGAAGACACATCGGCAGGCTAACTGGCTTCCCAAAGGCTTTCACCAGCCGGCTGTGTTATTTCGTCTCTCCAATTCGAGCGAAGAATAAGATTTTATTCGAATTTTTTGTATTTTTTAAATATTTTGTATATTTTCAAGTATTGGTTTTGTTGGGATTTAGTTTGACTTGATGGAGGACTCATTTTGAGCTGATATCAGTTAGAGGACCATTAAAAACCTGGGAATACTGGACAGGTTTTTCGTCCTATTTTGGGATGCGTACTGATGAAGAGCAACAAACTAGGACTAAACATCTGTCTAGTACTCCCATATTTTATATATGTTGAATTTTCTCTAGTAGTTAGAAATACTTACTGGTGTGTGTTTGCTATTTCCGCGTCCATCCCTCTGTTGTTACCCTTGATTGGGCCCAGCTAGGGAAATAACGAGCTATTTATCTAGGTGAGGTTCTCCAGAATGATGCAACGTAGTATTTTATTTGGACTGCACTCCACGCCAGTTGTCGCAGAGGCCTAGTTTGCCCTTTTTTGCAGTTTGGTGAGGTAGCCTTTCTCCGAATCACCATGTACTTTTACTTCCTTCCAAACCTTTTATGATAGTAGTATGAAGATATCTGCTTGGGTCTCCGAATCTGTTTTCAGTGCTTCAGGAGGAATTCCTCACGGACCTACTGATCTTCCCGCCTTCAGTAACTTCATAGTACATCGGAAGATTGGTGTTCACTTTCAGTACTACTGCTGCTGGTTGTATTTCTAGACGAGTTACGCGTAAAGGTAGGTCAAAGAGTTCAATTCTTAGCAGCTGTCATTGTCTTTTTAAAAGACATAATTTGATTGCGATCATCTAACAGTTATAAACCTTTACTTTTAGTATTAAAACATGCCTTTAATTCCCAAAGTTGATCCTGATGCCGCTGAAGGCGCAGCAGAAAGAGAAGCTGAATATAACCAATTAAAAGTAGCCCTACATTTAGCACAAGTTGACAGGGCACATTATATTGAAGAAATGAATTCGGCAATGATTAAAATGAAGTAAGTTTTCCACATGGCACAAATCACTCATGACTATATATATACGTATATGTATATATATAGGATAAGTAAAGCATATGTTTACAGCATTAGGTAAAACATTATTGCGAACAACGTAACTAACAATCTGGATATTAACTTGGCTTTATGGAATTTGTATAAACAGAAATTGCTCCTCCAGAACTATTAAATACATCACATTGTCGGCGACAAATTCACTCATATAATTTCAGATATGGCTTGCCAGATTATATTAACTATCGTGGGAAGCACTAGCGAAACTAAATAATATCAAGAATTTACTAACTGTGAAGTAGCCAATCTATTTTGTGTATATATGAAATTCTCACTGTAGAGGCTTTGTCTGAATACTTGTTTACTGGTCATTTTTTTAGTTTATTCTCCTCAGTTCAAATCGTCCTGTCCTTAGCACAGCCAATTCAAAACGTTTTCCTTTTAGGAATATTACTGTCACTGTTGAGGTATTTTGTATTGCTGCTGAGGTAGTGGATTGAAATGGATTATAACCACGTTGAGTTATAAGTGGTGCTCATGCGTTACTCATCAAATTAATTGGCTAACGTGCTTCCAGTAAATGAATATTGCTTAAATCTATTATATGTATGTGACTAATTATAAAATAAAAAAGTAGTATTTAATAAAATGACACAAAGTGGTGGTATGAAAACCACAAAGCTAAACTATTGTAAGTACAAGATGCGGTATTAATTGGCAGAAGAATCAGCAAAGACTGGAATTTAAATGAACATAGGCAGGTTGGAGGTAGTGAAGACAATCAATCAGAAGCAACAACAGCCAGCACCAATCACTATTGACGGAATAAATTTGAAAGAGATCACTACCTTCACTTACCTAAGAAGCATAGTTGCAACTTCAGGAGGAACGGAGGAAGATGTCAAAGCCAGTTAGAATTAGAAAAAAAGATACACCATCGCCAATCTGAAATCGGTTTGAAAATCTTATGCAATCAGTATGAACAACAAGATTCGGATTCACAGAATAAATGCGAAGTCGGACAGCTCTTCTGTACAGTTCAGAAACAATTTTCAACAAGTTGCAGAGTTTCTTCAACAGCTGCTATCGCTCCATATTGGGGATCGAGTAGCCAGAAAGAATTTTCAACAAGAAATTCTGGGAACGAATCAACCAAGAACCTTTTACTCAATAAATGTGGCTAAGAAAAGGGAGACGGATTGTTTACACTCTGAGAAGACTGTCGAATGATATCGCAAGCCAGGCCATCGTTCGAGTGAGTCATCCGAGCGTGACGTGGAGGAGATCGTGAGAGTAGTAAATGAGTAAGTGTGGGCAATCGTGAAACCAGCTGAAGGGAACAGCAGAAAATAGAACAAGGTGGAGTTGTGCTGTTGGAGCCCTATGTTCCACTTGGAACCCAAGGGAAAAATAATTGTAGTAACATATGGAAAGAGAGTGGATAACTAGTTTATATCTCTCAGTATTATCCTTAAGTAGTGGAATGTGTTCTCACCCCTCTGAATAGTTATGTGTCAATGGAAAAAAGGAGAAGAATAATTACTTACAAATTGTATGGCTTTCAAATGTGTTTAAATTCTTAACTGTTAGAATTGCAAAAATGTTTTCCTGAAAAATGACATTTATATTTAATATTACTTTCAAGATCCTGTGTTTTTCCATTCTCTATTAGTGTCAAGTTATTAATTATGCTGTTTAACTCATTTTATTATTTTTTTATTTTGTAATTAGAGATTCATCTTTTCTAATGATCTACCTCTAGGCTATGTGAAGTGTTGCGACTTCAGACAATGAGATTTTCCTTGATATCTTTGGTTAACAAATTAGGCAGGCCTATATAGGTGTGATTCAAATGACAGAAAGGTTAACCACCTGTGTTACATGAAAGCTTTTAAGAATGTTATGTTAAGGGACTTAGATAGTGAATCCACAGAGTAGAAGAAAATAAAGAACCTAGTGCCTGTGATACTTTAGAGTTATTAAGAAGAATTTGTGACCAAAACGTTATCCAAGTGAGAATACTGTATCATTATATACCGACAGAGTGAATGCAGTGAAGTTTCTTAAATATACTTCACTAGAAATGAGTAAGAATTATCCTTTAGTTTGAATAAAGAAAGAATGTGCTTATTTACAAGACCATACGGGCTAGTCTTGTTTTGTGGATTCTCTTGAACTGCGTACATCCTAAACAATATCAATTATATGTTACAAAATTTCTGAACATACTTTTTACACTATTTTGAGTGACAGATAGAAAGTGTAGGCGACATAATCCCGAAGATGATGTAAGTAGATGAATTATTCAGTGTTAGCACTGAATATGTAATATAAAACACAATGTACGGCTTTAATAACTGGATAAGATGCAAAACGCACTTACTGATATAATAAAGGAGAACTTTTTTTAATACCCTAAGAAACAGGTAACTGAATACAATGATAGATTCTGTAGTCATCTTAATGAATTCACCTACCGCTTTGATTAGTATTATTCATTTTATTTTATTTTGTAATAGAAATACAATTGAAAGTTTAGAGAGAGAAGGAGCAGAATTACTAGAGAAAATACATGCCATTGACAGCAAACCGAATCAGTTGAGAGACCAGAGGACATGCGAAGACCTGGTCAATTTAGCTGAAAATAAAGATTGGTTACAAGGACAAATAATTCAAGAAAAAGCAAGACACGCTGAACTAGACATTACAGTAACCTACTGATTTGCGCTTTTTTGGTTATATATATATATATATATATATATATATATATATATAATGTTTCGGTTTATACTCGAGTTTTATTATCTGACCGTGAATGTCTCCAGCTATGTTGACACTAGTGCTTGATTCAAAAGTAAACAAATTCACATTCTGAACGATGCTCAACTGTCAGTCATATTTTTCATGTACTGGTTTTTAACATCTAAAACAAAATATCCAACCAGAAACAAATAAATTTTTATTTGAATAATGCAGTGTCTATTATCTCAGCTCATAAAGAACCCCATCATACAGACAATCTAATAGTCACTGGCTTAAAACTGATGAAGATTCACATTAACTTTAGTTTTCATTTATACTCTTTGGAAACAGCATATATAGGGCTCCAATAACCGCTTTCCCAGATATCCTATTTTTACTCAGTCTATTTAATGTAAACTAATTGCTGAATATTTCTGGAAATAATGATAATGATCTAAAATAGTGTAGACAATTCATTCCTCACCTAATAAGCAAAGCATATTAGACAAAAAGTACAGTATATTCAGTTATTTAGATGATATGCCGCTTCGGTGTAATGTGTTTTGTGATAAATTGGTTTCCGTAAATCGGTGTCATACACCAAATCCTTACTTTCCATATTTTGGTTACAATTAGTAAATGAAACATTCAGTCTTCAGAAAGTCTACCAAACTGAGGAAATAATTCTGTGAACCTAAAAGCAAATATGCATCTATGTTGAATATCTAAGTATATTTACTGAGACTTGTTAAAGAGCGTGAAATCTGGGCGAAGAATATAAAAGTCATGGTCACTGCACTTTGTTAGATGTAATTAGTAGGAACTAATATTGGATCACTTCATTTAAGCCAAAGAACTTTTAATTTCAGCAAACCAACATCATAAACTACGGATACTAGAATCAAACGTTTCTTACTAAATATACGTAGGTAGTTGTGCAGGTATGTCAATACTAATGAGAGATATGAACGCCAAACTGGGACCAGACAACACAGGAAGAGAACTAATCATGGGTAGAGAATCTCTCGGAGAAATGAATGAAAACGGGGAACTCTTCGCTGACTTCAGTGTCTTCAATGAACTAGTGATATACAAGCACAAGGATATCCACAAGGCTATGTGGGTGTCACCATACGAGCGAACCAAAAACAAAACTGGCTTCATCTTAATGTCGCTCAAGGAAGTGGAGACGCAGTATACTGGACACAAAAGTAAGAAGAGGAGGAAACGTAGGCTCAGACCACTACCTCGTAGAAGGATCACTCCAAATCAAATTAAAAACTTTCAAAGAAACAGGAGCTGCAGATAGACCACAAGTCAAGTTCAATACTCAAAAACTGAAGGACCAGGACAAAAAGGACATCTTAACTGCAAGCATAAAGGACAAAGCCGAGACACAAATCAACACTGGCGAAGAGGTCAGCGTCGAAAAACACTGGGACAACTTGGAAACAGTGAGGAGTCAAACCTGCATGGAAGTTCTAAGCAGAAAGAAGAGACAGGACAAACAGTGGCTCACAACGGACACTTGGAGACTGACAGAAGAGAGAGGGATGGTGAAACAAAAGATTATCCAGTGCACCGACGAACAATAAAAACAGGAGTTGAATGCAAGCTACAATACACTGAACCAAAGAGTAAAGAAGAGTGCCAGGGAAGACAAAAGAAAATATTATGTAGCTATGCCAAGTGAAGCAGAACAAGCTACAGGCAAAGGAGACCTCGCATCACTCTACCAAACAACTAGGTTCCTATCGGCAAGAAGTTCAACACAAATTAAGCCAGTGAAGAATGACAGTGGAAAGTCAATCACCAAAGAAGAGGAGCAAAGGAAACATTGGACTGAACACTTGAAAAGACATCTAAATCGACCGCCACCTACAACGCGCCAAAACAATACTAACAGTGGAAGCAGAACTACCAGTGGACATCAACCCTCCGACGAAAACAGAAATTCTGAAGGCAATCAAGATATAAAAACGGGAAAAGTGGCAGGACGAGATGGAATCCCAGCAGAAGCATTGAAAATGAACCCAAAGACATCAGCAGACTTGATGACGCCACTACTGGAGAAGGTGTGGAAAGACGGCAAGGTACCTGCAGATGGGAAGAAAGGCTACTTATTCAAACTGCCAAAGAAAGGGGACTTAGGTCAATGCAAGAACTGACGCCATATCATTCTCCTGTCCATCTCAAGCAAATACTGAGCCGTATCATTCTGGAGAGAATCAAACAAGTCCTGGATGAAAAACTTCGACCGGAACAGGCTGGATTCAGGAGAAACAAGTCATGCATCGATCAAATCGCAACACTGCGTATTATCATTGAACAGAGTTTGGAATGGTAGTCAGCTCTCCAACTCACTCAACTTCATCGACTTTGAAAAGGCCTTCGAAAGCGTCGATCAAGAGGTGACTTGGAAACTACTTCGCTACCTCGGGGTGCCACCGACAATTATACATCTCATCCGACAGTTGTATGACAGTGTTGCATGCCAAGTAATTCACAACGAGGAACTCACGGAATCCTTCGAAGTAAAGACGGGAGTAAGACAAACTGGCTGCCTACTGTCTCCAGTGATTTTCCTCATTGTGTCAGACAGGATAATGCGACAGGCAGCGGGCAACGAGGACACACGCATAAAATGGACCCACACAAAATACCTGGAGGATCTGAACTTCACCGATGATGCATATCCGATTTCCCACAAACTGGAAGATATGCAAGTGAAAAGCAACAAGTATTTAGAAGAAGCATCCATAGAAGATAGGACTTCCTTCAAGTGAACACAGAGAAGATAGAGGTGATGAAGATTCCTGATCAACAACAACAACAGCAGCAACAGACAACAATCAGCATAAATGGGACAAATATGAAAGAAGCAATGCTCTTTACCTACCTTGGAAGCATCGTTTCAACTACAGGCGGACGTAACTCATGAGGACACCATCAAAGCGAGCATTGGGAAAGCAACGCAAGCTTTCATCACTCTCAAGTCTGTGTGAACGTCAACAGTGCTCAGCACCCAGCATGAAAAATAAGATCCGGATTTCCAACTCCAATGTGAAGAAGTCAGTGCTACTAACTATACGGATCACAGACTTGGCACCGCGTCACGAAGGCCACAAACAAACCACACACCTTCATCAACAGCTGTCTTCGCTCAATACTACTCTAGATCAGATGGCCGGCCATAAAAGATCAGCAATAGGGGTTTCTGGCAATGAGCGAACCAAGACAGAAGGAACCAAATGCGCAACAAATATGCAAGAAGAAATGGAGATGGATTGGAGGCTATTCTCTGAGAAAATAAACCATCAAGTGAGTGACATCATACGCTAGGTCATCGCTTGAGCGGAAGCCGAATGAGAAATGGTGAGTTTGTCGTCAGTGGGAGGATGACATGGAGGAGGTGATGTGAAGAGTAGATGAAAGCATGTGGGCGAACGTTGAGTCAAGTGAAAACGTTGGGGGAGAACCAAACGCAATGAAGACATGCGGCTGAAATCCTATGTTCCTCTAGTAACTAAAGGAAACAATAATAACAATAGTTATTTGGGTGGGGATGAGACAGATGAAATTTCCAAATGTATATCGAAATAGGGAATTGTTTACACCAGTCTGATTCACTTTTGCAGCCCATCACAAGTCGGATTTACATAATTTCTGTTCATGTTGCCTTAATCTAAGCCTGTGAATCCCATCTCTCCTAGATGAGGATGTGAGGTGACTTTGGCTGTTAGATCCTCAGTGTTGTGGCATCACTGCTTGCATTCGGCGTAATATCATCTAATTATTTTTGAGGTCTCATGGGAAGTAAGTGTACAAAACGTAGATTTCCTAATAGATTGTCTCATCGTAGGATGCCAGTTTTGATGGTTGCAACACCGCTTACTAATATAATCCTTAACGTTAACTGTTTGATAACACTAGAACTGATGAAAAGTCGGAGAATTCGTTAGTTGTAAGCTAGAAGATAACTGTGCTTGACAGATAATGGTGTATCATGAACTCTCGAATGAAGTCCAGAAGATCAAGTAACTCACTGTCTTAAGAAGTTACAATATATAATCGTAAACTGATACCATTCTTATAAAGTTATGTCCATTATTTTTCTTGTTCACTTTTTAAAAGATAAATGCAATAGAAAAGAAATTAAAGGAAGTACAAATCCAGTTAGGTTTAGCTGGTGGAATTAGAGAAATAAATGAGCGAGCCAAAGGAAAGATAACAACATTAGAAAATCGTCTGGTTCATGTATTAAAAACATATAATAATGGACTAGGCAGAAACATGAGTAAGTTTTTTTTTTCTTTTTTTAAGATAGAAGTAATTTTTTAATAAAAAAATATCACTGTAGATTTCGTCACGAACGAATAGCATTTAGGAAATCGTTTGAAAAACAAGGAGCACTGGTCGGCTGTTTCGTCACATCCTGGGACCCTTCAACTGTATACAACCTCGGCTGTCTCAGGGATCAAACCTGAGGCCTTCAGCTTACGAGTCCAGCCCACTGATCATTCAGCCACTCGAACCGGAATTCAGTAACCCATGAACTAGGACTTGCTTATTAAGTATTTTCGCTAGTAATTTCAAAAGTCTACGCTTTGAAGCAATCTGGAATGAATGAGTACTTATCTGAAGAATTAGAAGCATTAATTACCTATCAGGGACAACGGTGATTAAAATCTTAATAGTGAGGCTTTAAATCTAAATGAAAGTAAAAGTATTACTTAACTACTAATTTTAAATTTATGCTTTTAAGCATCTGTCAGTGTAGACCACAGGCAGTAGCACGTAGACGAAATCGATAACCAGTGGTCTGTACTTCTTTTAAAATCTCAGGAATTTCATATGCTTATTAAATCACTGTTACGGTGAAGGACTGTTGAGTAATGCAAATACTGTCAACCTTGTAAAGGCCAGAGAATTTTTCCCAAACAATAAGTATTCGAACCAGAGGGATCTATTGGATTGGATTTTATTGGTACTACACTGAGAACTGGTGTAGGTTTGAAGTTACGCCACACAGAGTTTATACCGATTAGATAAATAGTGATTTCCTCACCTAATATCCTGAAGTTCCTATGTTATGTTCAAAAGAAGATTTGTTCACGTTGCTACTAAATAGTTCTATTCTGTTTTATTCTGGAATGAATTGAATACTGTAATTCAGTCCTAAGAACAATACGTTACATTGTGACTTTAATATAATTCATACATTACACACTAGCTTATGTTATACAATCTTCATAAAGTCTGTTTTGTAATGCATAACAGATATGTGGCTGAATGTATTTAGATGTTTACTAAAAGTAAGATGACAAAAACATGATATGGCAGAAGAATGATTCAGAGATGTGCAAGCACTAGACTATTATAAGTGGTCTAAAGAATGAGATTACATCAGCGTATTTCCAGTGAATAATTATTTTGTTTGTAACCTGGTAGCACAAAACAATACGCTGAATTGAATTCGATCAACCATGTCACAGGACAAACACCATACTAGTGAATTTATATAATGAGAAGTAACCGTATACTACTGATTAGCTGAGAAGAGTAGTTGTACACCATTCATATCAACCAGTATTGCTTGCTTGCCAGATCGAGGCGATCAAAACGGCCGTCTAGTCATTTTATGTGATAGGAATAACTTGGTTTTCAAAGAATGCTGAGGTGAAATTTCACCACTAGAACTGTGCAGACTGCAAACTGCTAAACAGTTTGCAAATAGTGAATTTGAATTATGAGAAGTTATCAGATTGAAACTTAGTTTGATCTGATACACCACTGACTTTTAATTTCTGCTTTTTCTTTAATTGCATACCCATATGTCTGAACTATTTATCTATTCATGCATATACATTTATCCTTAGAATTACGAGATGAGATTGATACTTTACGCATGCAAAGAGCAGTGTTCGATCAAATCTATCGACGCCTTGATGGTATTTTAAATAAACAACGGGATGCCATAACTAAGCTTATTGAAGCCACCTCAGTAGCTTATGAACAAAGGTTAGTTGTTCTTTTGAGTTCACTTGTTAGTGCTGATTTCATTTACATGATGTGTGTACCTCTTACTACCTAATATCTAGAATATTTTGTTTTTTACCTTTGTTATACTAGATAAAATCAGAAAAATGGCATTATTATTAATTGCTGTTTTCGTAATTTCATCAAAATGTACTGTGTTAACTGTTACACATTTTCTTTGGAGTTTGAAGTAAACTTTCACTTCCACAGACACAAATGCTTTATTAACAATGCTGCAGTTGTATGTAAAGATATTTTTGATTAGATTTCGTTGACGATGACTAGTAGTGGAATTCAGGATGCATATTTCTTCTTATCAGGGAACCTGTCAGCCGGATATACTTACATACCCAGTGAGTAATATTGTCCCCATTGAGACCTCAACCCTGCTCCAATCATTTCAAACGTCAAAGCAGTTTTCACTAGGCCACTACAGCCACCTCTCGGGTAACGGGTATCAGTTATTATTCAACTTTAGGTCAGTGTGCATTTCCCGTTGACTGGTCACGTTGAATTGAAATTCTCGCTCTTTGTTGACATGTCGGCTCCTAGTACGGACAATCTGTTGATTTCTGAGTATTAACGTGATCTTATTTTGGTTGATGGTGACTATCAGAGGAATGCAGCTACAGTTAGCTGACAATTCCCAAACAGGACGAAATTAGCACCCTGAATTCCACTGCTAGCCAATATCCACTAAATAACCTGGTGCTAATTCTCAGAATTCGCCGAAGCATCCCTACTATGAGACGACATATCAATAGAGAGCAGTCATTTTGGACTAAATAATTAATTAGTGGGAAATGCAAATTAACCTCAAAAATATTTTTTTTCATCATATTTCTAACGCAAGTCGAATAAATATTTGGATACACATTGAAGCACATTTCTCAAAAACAAAAAAGTTACTTGCTGTTTAAATGCAATAATAATGATTCTCACTTACATTTCCACTTTTCGTGCAATGGTGATTAGTATTGATTGGACGAAGAAAAATAAGCGTTGCACAGCCAATCGGAAATGAAATATTGGTACTATTTGTGTAAGTAAAAGATATTGCGCATAAGCAATTTCAAAAGTCTCCTTAAGTACCTAATACAATCACAATATAATTGAAAGAATGAATACACTTTGAAGCGCGATTCAACTAGAAAACAATGTATAGCTGACAGTGCAGAAAATATCAGATCCTATGAAGTATTAGCGTATGTTTTTGTAAAGCCTCTGTGATGACTTCCAAGTAGCCCATGTTTACGAATTCAGGATATTTTAATGAGGAACTTGTCAGTGAGGAACAATTTTTATCAAACTCAAAACACCATTAATTTGAATTCACACTGTCCAAAGATGTGTTGAAATAACAACTTGTACTATGTAATCATACCTTCACTTCACCAGTTAAGTGAAGCCGTGGTAAATGAAGTAAGAATTTCTGAAATCAAGTTTGAATGGATTATTTTACTAGATAAATACATAATCTTCTTCTGTGTATTTTTTCTACAAGATATTTTGTAAATGTGTAACTCGTTTGGTTATGCATTTTTCATTCTTCAAGTATATTTCTGAATGAAAAACTCACTTAAGTTACTTCAGTCTGGATAGTTTCATGAGCTTCTACACAAAAAAGTGTAGTGCACAGCTCAGTACATGTACCTGTATCTGGTTAGTTGGTTAATTTTAAACTGGATACTTTACAATAATTTGTGTGTATATCTCTGTTCAGGGGAGATGCATCACAAAGAATTCAACAGATTACTGAAAAAGCCGAAAAAGAATCACAACAACATAATAACGACATGAAAGAACTCGTGAGACTAATTGATCACGACAGAAAACTCCGAAAATTTATGAAAATCAAATCGACTGGACGTCAAGAAGATCCTCAGTTTACGGCTTCAAAAGTAAGTCTTAAATTAAAACGATATTCCTACTTCAGATTCTGTTAAATATTATGTTTTACCAAAAATTTGATACCATCGTGTCTAACAGAAAACATAATTCCACAGCATGTGCTGATGTGTCATAACTGGACGAAAGAACTTATCAAGACAGTTCTTTTGTCAACTAAGTGATTTTTAAATTAAAGTAAGTGGTGTCTGACATGCCTCGAAACTTTGATTAGTTGATAAGGAGTCATCAGTGTGACTAGTACTTAAAGTTGGTGCTGACTCAATTCTATCAGTCAAGTTTGTGGTCACCATACTAGGAAACTCGCCAGCACAGTGCACAGAAAAGTGGTGTTAGGTGGTCTGAGGCGAACAGTATGTAGCCTCAGACCCAGGTTACCTAGTTACTGCCTTCGGTCACCAAAGAGTATACACAGCATGACGTAGGTTTCTCCCCGGTGGCCAATCAGTTTATCAGTTACAGCCATATAAAGAGTCAATTATCAAAAGCTCAGTGGTAATGTCTCTGACCCCCACCGGATGGCATGGTTTCCAGTCTATGAATGGGCTTCAATTCCCTTGAAGTTGTGAGTATATCTTGCTGACGAGTTCCAGTGTCCAGAGCCCTCCGAAAGCTGTCTCCGACCACCTAACTCCTAGAAAAATACGTTACTGGTAGTGTTGACAGTGAAGTTGTAGCAATTGTGTTATCTCGTATGATCACCATAAATAACTACTAAACAAATCAACAATAAGAACAATTGTTTTGTGTACTAAAAGCTCTCCCATATACGATTAAAGCTTTATAAACACATTTACCCTACTAACATTTTCAGTACTAGAATATTTTAGATTTGGTATTTTTATTAATAGTTAATTTTGAATTCGGTCAATGGAACAGTTATGAAGATTCATATCAATTCACTCTGTCAAAACCACTTATAATAACAACAAACTATAGTCTTTTAGTGAATTTTTCCAAGCTCAGATTTTACTGAATATACACATTGGAACAAGTCCAATCCGTCCCAAACAAAATACTTCTGCTTAATCTAGAATTCAAAGGTGACAATGAAGCTTAAATCCTTCGTAAACGCCTTTACAAATCTCTGGGGGAAACATACTTCACCGCGAGCCTACGACTGACTTTCTGCAAGAAACTGTTCAGCCAGGATGCGAAAGAGATGCTGTCGCATTGGGCTGCTTCAACATGCATATACCAGTTTACTTGCTCTTTCGGAGCTGAGTACATCGGTTGTACCATGCGCCAACTTGAAAAACGAGCTCGTAAACACTATCCAGCCTGACTAGTAAAAGGAGAACGAAAACGTGCATACAGTTCAGTGACAGAAGATCTGATCAATTCAGGACATTAAGCGCCTTTCGAAAAATCCTTCAAAATAATATACAAGATTGGATCAAACCTATCAAAGAGAGTAAAATCAAAATATTTGGGCATAGCCGAGGCACTAACCATCCAAAAGCTCAAACCTACGCTATGTATCCAAAGGAAATACGTCCTACCCTTGTCCCTGCCATCATAAACAAATAATTCTCCTAATAGTGTCTATGCCATCGCCTTTCTTATCCAAACTTCCTGTTTATTCATGTTATTTTTAAGCTGTCTTAATCCCTATTTACACTACCATATTTTCGTATTCGAACTTCCTGTCTGTTTTGTTATTTTATTATTTCTACATATTTAATCCCTGATTGCATAAACAATTATTCGTCACATTAGTTATGATCCCACTAGATTTTTCATCCAAACATCCTGTCTATCTTTGTTATTTCTACATTTCTAACCCCCAGTTGCACAATATGTCAATCTTCTCAGCAATTATAATGCTACTTTGTTTGATTTTAATCCGTCTCCCCCCTGTTTATAATGGCATTTTAATTCCTAATTGCAATTTTATTAATTTGCCCCTTGATCGGAAATTATTCTGGAACTTTCACACCCATTTATCTTAAGTACACGAATGTACAGCCTAGTTGATGACTTCGTCGAAAAGAAAATTTTCTTCGCTGCAAACTCAGATTTTACTCTAAGGAGAAATGTCTTAAACAAATATCTTGAAAATATTCTCTTTATCTAACGTGATTTTCATAGTATGTTTACAAAATGTAAGTATAATTCCACTATGGAGGAAAATTTATTTTGATAAAGTTTCACAGTAATATACAGTAATATTTACTGATGACCACGTTTCGAGCACAGTTAATTGCTCACAGTCGTTTCAAACGTCATCAATAAATATTAGTGTACAACACTGTGAGACTTTATCAAAATAAAATTTCTTCCATAATGGAAGTACGCTGTATCACATTGCCCAATTTCTATTCTTTCATATCAAAAGTGTAAGCACATGCTAAATTAGTATTATTGAAAAAACAACGAAGTTTAAGCTTAGAAAGATTTAAGAGATAATATCCTCAGCAGATGACATATTAAAAATACCCAATTATTCGGACTAAAGAGATTTTAGAAAAATAAGTTAAAAAGTGCAGAACTGGCAAAAATAACGATTCCATAGAAATCAGGCATTTTTCTAAGGTAAAGATCAGCTAACGCTGTTTTATAGAAATAAATATTTTCAAATGAGTACTTTTCACTTAAATCTTCAGGAAAAAACCATTTCAGGTGAAACTAATAAGAAAGATTTAGTGCCGGTTTGTCTACAGGAGGAGCCTGTAATTCAGTCGGACGTGACACACGTTCATGGCATATATATATGCATTGTAATATATGGAAGCATTAATTAGCATAACTTACAACTTGATCAAATTTAAAATGAAAACTGCTCAATGCATTTGTCAAAGTTTATTCAGGAAACACATTTAATCATTTACGAATTAACTGATACAAATTTTCTGTATTCATTTAGATCATATTTACACTGCTAGTCTGTAATTAACTTCAAAAGTAATTTTATATTGGAACGATTCATAAAGCCAGTAGTGAGGAGATCTTTGATACTGAATCTATCTTCGTTTCTTTTCCAGATACGTCGTGCTCAAGAAGCTGATGATCGTAAAGCTCAGCTGGATAAAAAAATTGAAAACTATGAGGCGGCACTTAATCGTATGCTTGAAATAGTCGGTGAATCAAATACAGACAATCTTATTGAAAGTTTTCGTGAAAAAGAAGACAGGAATTTCGCTTTGTTTAACTACGTCAGTGAAACAAATGTTAAGATTGAAAGATTGAATGAAGAAAATACGCGGGTATTAATAATAAATACGTTTATTGTAAAACTGTTTATTGTTATTATTAAATTCTAATCAGCAAAGATACACTCGAACACCGAAGAAGAGGCATACCACTAATAGCTCATCTAACAGTGAAATGTCATTTGAACCATTATATCTTCTATGATCAACATTTATGTAATCCGAAATAGTGCAAATGAAAACACTAAATGTAATCCAAACAAACAACAAATTAGTTGTCACTATTTATGTTGGCAAGACTATCTGGGATATAATCTTAGATTGCCAGACTACTATTGATAACTAGGGATGAAATCAAAAAATCTAGGTCGCTATAAGATTTGAACCAATAAACCCTAGACTACTGCTCTGCTTAGACTTCTTGCCTACTATCAATAGCCGTTAATATCGCTTCTGAAAAATAAACAATAGTTTACTAAATACTGCAGTGTACTTAATGCACCATCACCTTTAACAGATTAGAAATGTACCTTAAGATTATTCTATGGGATTCTATTGAAATGCCTCTTCATAGATAGTCAACCAGAATATCTCGACCTTATGTACACTAAGAGATATACGACCGCCAAACACAGTGAAGAGGATGACGCTATATGTTATTTAATTTTTATTAACGTCAGTCAAACACTGACACATGCAATTAATTATCGTTAAACTAATAAATTTCAAAACAAATTCTACTGTCCAGATTCGAATCAGTTTAATTGTTGCAAATATTTGAAAACTTTTGTTTTTTATGCTGCTTACAAAGAGTTCTGTAGGCAATGTATGCTTAAATTAAAAAGAAATAGTCAATGCAAAACAGATTATAATTGCTTGATAATTTAAATGTACTGATTATTCATGAATAATGGACAAAGTGAACGACGAGAGAATTCATTGCCAAGGTCTCAATAAGATGTTTACCTATCAACAAGTCTTCGAAGACTATTTACACGGTAAGACGTTTTCTACAAATACCATCAAAGTGTGTGACCATAGGGAACATTCTGCAAGACTGACGGAATAAAGTATTGTAATAATCCGAAAAGCCTTCATTGATGATTTGAGTCTTAAAACAACTTTCAGATTTGATGAGATGAGTAATTTTAAAATATGAATAAACACATTGAGGCTGGGTATTCTAACACTAGTGAAAGCACAGTTATCCTTCAAGTTGGAGACATAAAATACTTTTTGGTATACAATGAATGGAATCTGCAGAGCAACCTTTCTCATTTTGTTTACTTCTGTCAGTCAGGCTTACAGTGTCGTCTATTTTGTGGTTTACCGTAAAGTAGTGTTAGGTGATTGAAAGCAACATGAATCTGTGGATCCAAATTTTGTGCTTAATAGCATTAATCGTCAGAGCATTTTCGCAAACTAAAAGGATCTGACGTTATTTGTGAGTTGGAAACTCTCCTCACCTTCTGTTGACTGCCTCTCAAAAATCCAACATCATTTATCGAAATGTACAAAAGGAAAAGCGAAGTCACATAAATAGGCTAAATCAGCAAGTCATTCTGTATTCATCCGACTACATAAGTATAAAAAAGTGATCTTAAATCCGACCATATGCGATACGGAACTCCATAAAGGACCATCCATAGTGATATAAGAATCCTATTTGTCATATTTACAGAAAACCAGTATCAGAGATTGAATCATATTGAAATTAACTAAACGTTACGAAGAAGAAACTGTTCAGAGTAAAGCGCTGAAAAATCTAGCTTAATAAATTGCGTTTTATCTCTATAAAAGATCTAGGAAAGATAATTTATGCCGCAAATTTGATTATTGTATTACAAAGTCTCTGGCTGGCATCCCTGTATGATTTAATCATGAAAAAACCAAAATGTAACCAGCCAGTATGTTTGTCTTAATGGATTTAATGACTGTCAAAACACTTGCACACGCTTTCAGAAAATACCACCGGGATAAACACCTATTGCAACACTAAGTGCTGAGTTATTTTTGATTGTTCACTTTATTTATTTTTCTGCTTAATTTCTTTTCATACTCTTTCGCTTAGTTCGACCAAGTGTATAATAGCTGAATGTATTACAGTCGTCAATGACTTCACATTAGTTTGTTTATTAGATGTATCACACAGTGAAACAGTATTATTTACTGGATGACGTTTCGAGCACAATTTATTGTTCATAATCATATCACTTAATATCACGCGACTTCGAAACTTAAGTTTTATAGTTTTCTTTGTTCTCTCCTATTTTCCGCCATTAGGGTAGTAGAATTTTCCAGATATCTAAGACAGTTGTTGAATCACTCCTATTATACGTGTTTGCTATTGATTCGATAAATAAAGCTTCCGTTATCAATCTATCTCGCCCCCACCTTGTTACATTAGATTTTAAAACTGTTACCTTATCCCATCCATCCTATTGTATGGTTGTGTGCGATTGCATGTGTTGCTATCGATGGCTGAACTATTTTCTAGATTTCTTATCTTATTCGGGTCAACTAACCTAGATTTCGCAAGGTTTTTATGCTCGGCTAGTTTGACTGCCCCTACTACTTTGACCTATGTATTTGACCTGAAAATTATTACAGGCAGGGTATTAGATAAACGGCTCCACAAGATCCTTTAACCGACAAAGCTTGTTTCTAATTGAGTTTGTGGGTTTGAATGCCAGCCACATTTATTGCTGCCTGCCTTGTTAGGAATTCTTTCTAAGGTTTCCGGGGTTCCTTCCTTGTATGAAATTACTACTGATGATTGAGATTCCTTATTGTTGGTGTCGTCATTATCCTGCGCATGTTTGACATGCATGTCGTCATTAATATTACTATTATTATTAATACTATTACTATCACTATCACTACTATCATTATTTATTTTTACATTTTCATACATACTTTCTCATTAGTTTATCAGGGTAATTATTAAGTTTCAAGGCTTCTCTTATATGTATCACTTCCTGTCTTAGATTTTCCTTAGTACTACTTATTTCTTACGCTCTATTTTTTAAACATTTCACCAATCTTATTTTAACTGACATAGGATGGGATGATCGAAAGTTCAAATATCTGTTTGAATATGTGGGTTTCCTGTAAACATTAGTGTTTAACTTCCCATCTTCTTTCCTTTTTACACTACAACCTAACATTGGAAGCTCCCCTTCGTGACTTTCCAATTCCAACGCCGGTATCCATCAGTCCTATCTCCTCTCCTACTTTCTTTCTTCTCATATGAATTACCTTTCTTGGAAGAAATCAGCTTCGTTAAATACTCTGATGATCTAACTGTCGTATTGTCATTTACCTTCCGATCTGACTGTTTCAAAATGAATAGCCTTTTGTCTGACATCAGACAATAGTCTATGCTAAATGGTCTTAAGTTAGATCCCTCTAAATGCTGGACAATTAACTTCACCTTCAGATATAAAGATGGTCTACACGAACTGGTTCGTTTACGTGATGCTTGCAGTATAGAGGGCATAGAAATATAAAATAAATCAAGCATGAAATATCGTGGAACAATTCTACCATCTCATCTTTCTTGCATCTCACGTGTTGTTCTTTATTGCTACCTCTTAATCTTTCCTGGGCTACTCAAAAAGGAATGTCTCATATTGCAAAGGGTATTAAAGGCTGTCAGTAGGAAAAGTAACTTGTTACAAAGTCAGCTTATTACTACGGTAGTCGATAGACAGATGAACTCGTATGAAAAACAGGCTGAATTCATGTTGTCTGACACTCAAAATCCTCTCTATTCTCAACTCTCTCCTTGTATCTCATTAACTGGGACTAGAAATCATTATAAAAGGTTAAATGCTTGTACAACTAAGTACGAAAACTCAGCGGTACACTAATTGGCTCGCGTACTACATTACAGAGAGTGTTAGGTGTAAAGCGTACAACTTACAATGTTATTAACAAAATAAGCAACCCCTTTATAATCTATCTGTTATTTACAGTGACACTATTTCATTATTACTATTATTTCATAAGTTTTGTACATTTTTGACTTTATCGTCACTGCTAATAGCAAATAGTTGCCATTATCAAATGTGGTTACCTATATCCTGTAATATAAATTTATTGTTTTTGCTATTGTTGAATAATTTAGATGCAATATTGTACCAAATGCTGAGAATTCTACTCTGTATGATAAGTATTGTTTTGGAATAAAGTAAAGCATTAATAATCATATTATTATTACCAAAGATTTAGGTATTTATTCTTCCGTTAGTTAACTTACATCCATATTTTATGTCTATTTCAGTTAGAAGAAGAAATCAGAACTCATCAGTACCTTATGGATAATATTGTAAACACACAAAAACATTTACTTAAAGAAATGGAAAATGAAAATAAAACAGCAAAAGCATTACAGGACACTGCAGAAAAGCAGCTGGAGCACAGCAAAGAAAGCCTGAGCAAAATATACGAAATGATAACAGATTTAATTGAAAAGTTGGGTTGTGATAGGTAAGTTTGTAATCACTTTTAGACTATGCTGTTGTTATGTTATATTGTGTTATTCACTAATCTTTCATGATTAACAGAAAGTGAATGCATAACTAAATTATTTTATTAATTTTATTCTGTTGTGTTCCCCATGGAAGACAAAGCCTCAAGCTTGCAGCTCTGGAATGGTGGTGTTTCTTATTATGAAGTGCGGTTACCAGGCTGCTAGGCTTACTACTGGCTAGGTCAGGTTCAAGGGTGCGTCGGACGAGAGTCAAACTCCGGACTAAGTACACGGTTGGCAAGTACATTAATGAGTCAATTTTGAATTGTAGTAAACAAAACATGGAAAAACTGCCTATACGGAAAAGTGGTGGATAGTACTTTACCTCTCATATATAATAAAGCAAACCAATATGAACGGTACTATTCAGTAAAAATATCAAAATAACGATACAAAAATGCTAGGCAAGAAAACTATTAAAGATTTCTTTCGAGCTTATACATTTTCTTACAGCTGACCAAACAACAGTTTATGGAGTATTTCGATGCAATTTGCGGGTGTTTTGTAAAACACCTTAACAAACGTACTTGTGCCACTAATCCAGACCATTAAGGTTTATTGAAAGAAAATGTATACCCAACACAAAAATGCTACTGTTCAACTGTATACTATAGTTGAAAACAATTCGTATGAAAAACCCAATTTTACACGGGATCATTCGCAGGTTGTGCATCATCTTAAATCTCAAATCTGACATAGATTTTTCAGAAGTGACATTCCCAGTTATTTGTCACCACCGACAAGCATATAACCCAGATCTCATAATGATTCCCTACACTCTACCCTCCAAACAAATCATTACAATGTCTGTTCACATTTGAGGTGAGAATGTTTCACAGTGGCTTCAAATATTTGGGAGATAAGAATCTGTGTGGATATTTGTGATATGCTTTTCTGATGAGCAGAAAGAAGCACTAAAGAAGTATTTGATAACTGTTATTCCCAAAATCCAACCGTTTATCACCGTCATGCTTGAAAGTGACTAGAGATAAATGTGAAGAATGACAGTCTAATATTAATCGACATTTCCTACTAACTTATACGCAGTTTACAATTTAGAATCGATAACCGTCAGAAATACTTTATTCAGTTCAGATCAAATGGTTGATTTTAAGGATTTTTGACCGGTTTCACAGTTGATGTTATCGTGACTGTTTATCAGTGATAGAACTGTAGGTGGATTCTTGCATTTCTGAATGAGGGTTACAACTAGGGGGGAATCAGTTGAATTTTTGTGAGGATTTGAATAATAACTGGAAGAATTTCTAAGTCATGAATTTTCTTGTTTTTATTTCACTGAGTTAATAATAACGTGCTCACCCCATAACCAGTTATGTGATTTGTCTCTCTCAAGATTATTACTGCATGCCTCCAAAAAACCTCAGATTATAAAGGCATGAATGTTTCCTGCTGCTTAGTTCTCAGTGAATTTCCAGCTAGTGTTTGTTCACAAAAAGCTACGTTGTAGTCATGTTGTATTCAATAAAGGTAGTACTCAGTTTATGAAGATTTGTGGCACCATTTTCTTGTGCTACTGATATTCCTGATGAAATGTTTAAATTTATAAGCGAAGAAAGCACTCTTTTCCAGAATTCACTCTGCTTAATTTTCTGAGAAAAAAATGCTCGTATACATATAGAACCTTCTTGTGCAAATAATAATGTTTACGTTTAGTGTCATCAGTATATTTTAGTTGTTCAGTACAATTTAAGTGACTTAATGCATAGATGAAATTTTCATACATTCTACTAGTTTATTTATTTGTTATTACAAGAATTAGATTCCGTACGAGAAAGATTAAGACATTACAGAATCCAACGACACGTGAAACATTATTAGTCAACAGAAATTTTGGCTATTCAAGTACATTAGAATAACTGTGTCCGAAAATTCTAGCCCATTCATATATAAGCCTATATATTTGAATAACCCAGCAGTATGAATTATGTTGTCAACTGACACTTGTATCGTACTAATTTATCAAGCATGAATACGCTGTTCCGGTGGCCTAGTGGACAACTGTATAGTGTTAAAAACGAGGAATTGGGATATAAGTAAGAAAATCATTACTCACTGGGGATTTAGCCACCATGTGGAAAATGTAATCACATATTAATTGTTTTATTAAAAGTTTCATGTATCGTGTAATTTAAGCGGTAATCTATTCAATTAACAAAAATCTCACGAAAACTGGTACTGACAAACATGTTACTAAGCTATCCAAAAATATCTAAGGGTAATTAAGTTTCAATTATAGTTCATAGACAGTTTGTTCAAAATTCTGAATATTTTCCTATTTAGACATGCTGGTTAGTACTAACTGAAAGAAAACTGGAAGCCTTTTTTACCTTCTGACAGTTACTTTGAGCCAGTGATGAGACAAATAGACAAACAGATAAAATGAACAACATATGACCTAATTTTATTATCTAGCGCACCAATTCCTAACAATTCATACCTGAAAGTTATGTGAATAGTAGTGAAAATCAAACAAAAGAAACAAAAACTATGTGTACAATCAAATGGATGAATAGTGCTTTAGTCTAGTTCTCTTAAGTAATCATGAGAGAAAAACGGTTTTTAAAGTTATCTTCACATTTGTATTCGACGATAGTCATCAACTAGCAAATAAAATACAATAAACATCTTTCTGAGTGAAACTGAACAGTATGAAACTGACCACTATAAGCCGGTTAATGGTCGTTTCTTAATAGGTATAGCATCTGTTCTACCTGCTAATACATGACAAACACTCACGAGTAGTGGAATCCAGGATTTATGCATCCTCCTCATGTTTATCGCTAGACAGCTGGATGAACTTGCATCCAAGTGAATAATTGTGTTCTCACATTGGCTGAAACACACCAACCATTGTTTCAGACGTTTAACCATTATTTATTAGTATATTAAGCCATCTACTACGTTTTAAACAACATTACACTGAAATCCTAGACATCCCTTAAGAAGTCTGTCTTGTAGAAGTCCATATGTTGATAAAGACTGATCATTTCAACGCAATAGAAACAAGTGGAATGAAATCGATTAGTTTCAGTAAATATAAACTTCTGCTACATTTTACCTGATAAGTGTTAGAAACAACGATACAACTGGTGGGGTGACGGTAGGAGACGAGATATTTCGTTTGTTAGGAACTTGATAGACACAAATAGGGAAATTATGTACTACATATTTGAAAACCATCATTTGCACAGATCTCCTGTGTTGTGCTACGTCTGAACTTCTTATTGTGCTTCTTTGTATTTTTTTTCGTGTTTTTCATGTTTTACGGCAATACTGATTCATTTCCTCTCTTTGGCGTCAAATCTATCTCGTCGCTTTTTGATATTTTTATGCCGATGAACGTCTCTTTATGCATTATTATAAAATCCTGTCAGAAGCACATGCCACAGTGGGACCTAATTCAAACAGTTTAAGAAATGATACAGTCAGGATGAAAACTGCTAATACACTCGATAGTAATGTTGGCAGAGTTAGTCAGCTTCAAGCTTTATACATTTTCTTTGCTAACAATATAAAAATCTAACTATAAAGCTATTAGTTTTAAAGATTTCATTGCCAAAATGACCATCGAAATTCTTTCAGTTTATCGTGTAATTATAATAGTGATTTAAAAATGATTGTAAATTAGAAAACCATGTCAGATTGGGTTTGTCACTTCGTTATGTATAAAGGAGATGGATGGATGAATGAATGCAGTGCAAACAAAAAGATTAGTATAAACAATCTATTTCTTATAGACTTTAGAATGATTTAGAAAATTCTAGATACAGTGGGACTTACCACATGAAAACATATGACTATCATCTACTTTCTTATTGTCTCCTTAAAGAAAGGTATTTTCTACATATTTTAAGGCTTGATTCACATTTCTAATATATATATATATATATATATATATAAATTCTAAAGCATACTATTGCAAGTTACAAATAGAAATGGAATAAAGTGTACATATCTTTCTTCTTTTGTCTCTAAAAATGACACAAAAAACAATGCAGAACACCTTTACAGCGTCGTCTAGCATCATCAGATGGTGTAAATCACTTAAATGCATTGGATTATTTAACAGTAATAGAAGAAAGAGTAAACAAACTATTATTAATCAAAGAATATCTTTCCAAAGGTGAACCTGATATTATGCCGATTAGTAAACCAGCAGTGGTTGGAAACAATTTAGCTCCAGCCTCTGTTCAAATGCCAAATATTCATCCGCCTAAACTGAAGGAACCGGTGGAAGAAGGTAAGTTGTCTATAAATGTTTGGGAAATAGAAGGTTTTGTAATAAGTCAGTTATAATGCTGACATAATTATGCTTGTAGGTTTGCATGAAAGAGTAGTAAATCTTTGCACATACTAAACTATCTTCTAAGTTAGAATGCTTTTAATGGAAACTGAACTTTATATTCAGTGAAATAACACAACTGAGTAAAGCTTTGTAAATACACAGATACTTACATGTTTGATCACCAGTTGACATCAGTTGGACAGTATTTGAAAATCCTGGGAGTACAGGACAGTCAGCTGTTTCGCCTTTGTTTAGGACTCTTCACAGTACGCACTCTCTGGAGTTCAAAAAAGGGCCTTTTGGCTACAGAGCGAGCTCGTAGAACATTCTACGACCAGAATCCAATCCAATGGCCCATGAATTCTAACTTCTGCCGATTCGCGATATATAAGCACAATGTCATACAATAGTAACTGACACTGGTTGGAGATTGCGTTATATAGATCCCGAATCGGCAGAAGTTGGAATTCTGGTGGTTGAATGTTCTACAAGCTCGCCTTGTAGCCGAAAGGCCCTGGGTTTGAACACTGGAGGATGCGTAGTGATGAAGCGTCCCAAAGTAGGACTAAACAGCTTGCTCTCCTTTACTCTTAGGTTTCCTAATGGGTGTCCAACTGATGTCAGCTCGTGGTCAAACTTGTAACCAATCAAGTCCGTGTAAACTAACATTTGATAAAGATACTTTCACTTCATTGTAATGAAGTAAGGTAAAGCTTCAGTAAGGCATTGAAAGATTTAGTGTTCTCATCAAACTGTTGCCTACTTTCACGACTAGTCATACGTTTACCTGAAATCAATGATAGTTGTGAGAAAATGTTAGTGACAGTAAATTACATGGTGATTCAGCATTTAATTAAGATAAACAAATCAACATTCTTTGTTACTGATGTAAGACTGTAGTTTTTCATTCAACTATTTACACACAGATTATTGATAAAAAATGTTATTTAAGAAAACCACTCAGTCATTGTAATTCATAGAGTCCATAAAATCAAGGTAAACAGAATGTCAATCTTCAGATTATCTGAATCCAAGTGTATATTTGGTCATGGTGTACTTTCCATGGCGTACCATTCTTAAATCTTAATGCTTCCATATTATGTGGTTAACACTATTATCAGTAATCTTTATTCATAAAATATTTTTTTATTCCTTTACGCTCGCAGGGGAACATAGGGCTTCAAGCTTCAGGGTTGAAGAGTCGGTAGCGGTGGTGTTTATTTTTAAGGGATTGGGTTTCTAGCTTTATTCTCAACCTTCCCTCTCTACCAGCTTCACTGCTGGCTTAGCGAAGTTTAGGAGTGCATCAGCCCGGGATAGAACCTCGAACTGCTTTCGTGGTTGGCGAGCATTCTACCCCTGTGCCACCGACGCACTAAAAATGAAATAAGTTAATAATATTGTTAACCGAATAATAGTTATAGAAGGACAGAAATTTGAAGCTTTGATACTAATACAGGTTTAAAGAATAAGCTAAGAAATGTCGCCTGTATATTAAGTTAGCAGTTAAAATTGAATCTACCCTCGAAAAATACTTTCTTTATTCTACATTGTAATTTAATTATTATTTTGATTGTAATCTACTACGTAAATAATTCAACCATTCAGGATATTTAAATAAGGTATCCAGAAGAGAAATACTGACGGATGATACCAACATGTAATTTCCCTATAATCGCTTATCAAATACAGTGGTAGATAAGAATAAAATGTCTGACAGCACATGAATTAAGTTAGATAAAATGGCACATTAATGATCATTAATTCTTTTCGTAGGTCAAGTAATCTAGTGTAGGCATAGAATAAAATTCATTGTTTTCTCTACTCAGAATTAGGGTTGCATTTATGTGACGAATTCAAGGTGGTCCTATTACTTCTGGTAGCTTTGGATTGTAGTTATGTAAAATACTTGAGAAACCAAGTTAGTGCTAAATTTGTGTTTAGTAATGAATGAATGTTTTGTGATAGGTTATGAGGAATCCTAATTGATAACAAGCATTTTTGGATTTTCTGCAATGTTTAAAAACTCTTTTAAAGCTGGTTCATACTCAGTCTATAAATCTGAACAGCTGTTTTTGAAAGCTTCTTGAGGCTCTACAGTTATAAATCCATGATTATTACAATACAGATAGCCAGTGACGGCAAATGAAAATTATATCGGAAATTGTATTGGGGTACATGTGCAGGGTGGAATGATAGCTCATTAGTTAATATTGTCAATTTTATCTACATTCAGTTGACAATATTAAATATTATCAAAAACAGTTGCTGGCTGAAAACCATCTTTTTCTGATTACACTATAAGGATTTTTAAATTACTATAAATCTATTTTCAGAAGTATAGGACCACTTTTAGACTGATTATAAAAGAAAGTCGGTCAAATTTTAAATTTTCATCGTTAGCTTGTGGAGCAATAATTTGTGCGAGTTTAGGCGAAGGGATGGAATTATAAAGTGGTGTTTGATAATAGCCTTTGAAATATCAGCTACGTGATTTGGATCTTTTCTAACGAAGAAACTATTATAAGTGAACGACGTTTCCTAGTTGACTGTGTGGATTTATTTTCAGTATGGGATTTTCGAATTACGACACCATAAATGAAGAGAAAAGAAATGCAGTGAAACCATAAGAAACGCAAATCTGCCCATAAAGGAATGATAATAAGCATAGTGGTGAGGATCTAATGGATTTGGGATATTACAAAGAGTGAATCCATCTGTGCCACTGAGAATGATTTGCAGCCATGTCCCTCACAGTGTCCAACTACAGACTTCTGGCATCCAGACATGCAATCTAAACCAGGTTATATAACTTACGGTCAGAGTCTTCACGGATTGATGTTATGTTCGTTCTGTCATGCGTGACACAAGCCCCAGCCATCTAAATCAATGAGGCCTGGCGAGTTCTCTTAGCGACTTCCACTCCCTAAATAAATCTACGCACCATATTACACAATGAGACATGAAACTGAACTCAGACACCTAAGATCGAAGACGATTAGTTTCTCATTATCTTTTACTTTAAAAAGTAATGTCTTGTGGCCAAATAGTAGGACTAAGTGAACTGCTGTGGTGTGCAGACGCCATTAATCGGATAGCAGAATACCACTCTGATGAAGGCAATTCAAGTCGGTAAAATTCTCTTCTTTTTCATGATGGAATTTATTCGGAAATCAACCCATCATAGCAGATGCAACTTTCTAGAAAGGTTAAATCGTCTCAGCCCTTTTTTATAGATTAGGAGTCAGTTCAAGAGGATCCTGAAATGTCATCTTAAGTTTGACATGCATAACATTATGATTTTCACTCAATTTGTTTAAAACACTGCATTCTTTTAGTGTCTTCATTTCAAAGTATAGTGTTATCTGCATACTACAGACAAACAAACAAGTTTACATCAGTGCATCTACAGTAAAATTAAATCTTAGTGAGGACGCGTAACCAAGTTTGTTGGATACCCATAAGGGCGCGGGCCTGGAACTGCTGACGCCATCAGCTCAGTGGAGATTCTTTATCATCTGTTGCAAAACATTCACTATTATTTTAGCAATAAATCAACACTAACTTTTTTCTCAAGTATTTCACACAACTAAAATTTGTGGTTAGCAAAAACAATACAACCACTCTGGATTAATCACATGAATGCATCCCTTATTACTGTTAATGTTATTCCTTCTATGCGTGCCGACTAGAACACAAGTTTTCACCAGTACATCTAGTCTGCACGCGGTTCCCTGACATGACTTTCAGCTGACTGCAAGGTTACCCGCCGCCTTTGTTCTTCATATTTCTTCCGTTATCCCCAAACTTACGTCCAACTTGTTGCTTCCTATTCCGGCTCCAATCCTCGTTCCAGCACGTGATTTCACTTGTCTTTATCCACAGCGTACTTATAATCCATCTCCATTTCTCTGCCAGTAAATAGTTTCTTGGCTAGCTTGCTACCTACCAGAATTCCTTGTTGGCTATCATGCATCCCTGATCATATGATAATCAGAATTCAGCCAGCTAAAGCAGATGCTAATGAAAGCATCCGGTCTGTAGGAAACACATCTGGTGACGCGCTTGCCACGTCTGTGGACCATAAAGAAGCACAGGCTTGAATTCGTATATGTTTCCTTGTATTAGCTACTGTGGATCTCCACACTTTTGGTCGAGTAATAAAACCTTGTCTTCCATCTCACTCCACATCTAACTTCGACATCCTCATCCTTGCCACCTTCCAGAGGAACGATGCCCTCAAAATCTTTCCACGTTGACATAAGGTAGTATTTTAATGCAGCGGACAAAACATGTGAATGACACATTTTCAAAAACTTTAATTTCGCCAGTTAAATTTCCCTAAAAATGATGGTAAATGAAATAGGGATTAGATTGACCTCTCAATATGTTTCTTCTGAATACCCTACTGAAATTTATGAATGTAGGAAACAGCTCTGTGTTTATTATAAATATTTGGCATTCAATTGTAAACATTGCTGATGTGTGGTTGTAAGCGAAACGTTATAAACCCTGGATATCTTTAAAAATTTGTTTTAGTTTTCCTTCAGAGAAGTCAAGAAGTCTTTTTCGTGTGTTGTATGATTTCAAGTGTTTTCTTTTAATCTGTGATAGGCGCAGCGGAGATACAAAAACCATACTCTCGGGAGGAATTACACAAACGTGTAATATCCATAGTTGAAAAGAAAGAACGAAACCACCATTAAAACGTTCTGTGTTCCAGATTACCTCGATGTCATTCAATTTTTTTCTGAACTATGATATTACAATACTACTCATTTAAACAGCTACCAAAAATGCAGAACAAACTGATATTGAGCAACAAAAAGAAATTTATTTTTGCTGTGACCATGATTCTGATGTATGCAGTTCTAGATAGGTAGTTGGCGTAATGGTATTATCAGAACTCGACGATTGTACAAATAAATAAATGAATTTGATTCAAACTACCTGATAATTCATTTTACTCTTATATAAGCAAACTCCTTTAAATTTCTGTAGTTGTAATGTATCATGATATAAGCTTATATTTCTGTGGTGGTTGTCATCAAACAAACTGATTAATTTCACATTTCGCAGTCAACCACTTGTACATCTTCGAAGCTCAGCTTGTGTCAAATTAGGATAAATCGGATAATAACTTCATTTTTCAACAAATATATAAAGCAAAATAAAAGGGATTAATTTCATTCAGTACAAAACAGGCATGACAGTGATCAGTTTAATAACGACAGTCTACTTTAGGAAACTAAACAACGAAAAGCAAGCTACTTTTTTTATCCCTGAGAGGTATAGATTGCAGAATTATTGAAAACAAAACAGAGCCATTTCTGTTGCAGAATCTATGATTAATTCAAGATATGAAAATTAGTCATTCTGAGGAATAGCACCTATTAAAGAAACTTCACATGACGGATCTCCATGAATACAAGTCTCCCAGATAATTCTGACTTTCAGACCAAGAAGTGGTGTCACGTAGGTGTTTGGCAATCTGTCTTTAAAGCAATTTCATACTGTAGGCGTTAAGGTCCCCTTGTAAAGTTGTTATCATTAAAAATCTCAGTGAAAGTACATATTACCCTTTTTCGCTGTCCATCGCAACTACAGCGGATCAAATTAAAACATTTTTGACCGTACAACTAAGCCTGCTTGTTAACGTCTGTATATTGACTAAAAATGAATGACATTAACCTTCATCAGAATATTCAAATAATCGCATACTTTCTTAGTAAACACGGGTCTGAAGTTTTCATCCATGAGCTGGTCATACAGAAGTTTTAAAAATATGTATTTTATAGAATCTACAACTGAAAGAGCGTTTAATTATGTATCAATCGATTTATGCGGGTGAAATTATAAATACATCGCGCCTCAAACAACAACGATACTCTAACAAAAAAGGTTTTCATAAATAAATTAAAGTACTCTTTGTCAAACAGGAACCTGTTGCTGCACGATGTATGGCCACTTTAACATATTCCACTGTATCGTTGAAGAATGTGCATCAAAAATATAAGTCAAAATGGTGTGTTTAAAAAGGCTGTTTCTCTGTTTGCAAACCTCTACCGGTCATGTAATACAGTGCCATTTCAAGAAATACTTGCATTTAATTAGTACATTTCATGAGAATTCCGTTTTTGCCCACACGTTAGTGTGTGGTTTATGATACCAACATATACATATATACGTCTTTTATAGAAATCAGTGTTATTTAATATACTAAAGTGGAAAAGCTGTTACAAAAGGAATATGCAGAAGTGGTTACAACTCTGAGGAAAACTAGTTAAGTTGTAGTCAGTGAGTTTGAAAGCAGTCTTAATAAAAAAAGGGTTCTGGTTACTCACAAATATTAGAATAAATACAATATTTATCATTTTTCATGTTAAATCATCAAAGTAAACGTTAAGTGTGCCCGAATCAGTCTTCTTCCCTACAAACTACATGTATATCTACCTATGTTTAAGCAACACTATTTTTCGGTTTAATCGCTTCTTCTTTATATCTGTGTTACGTGATCATCGTCTACGTGGGCCTGTTTCCATCTAGTCGACATACACTCCCAATTATTTTTAATCTCAAGAAATTAATTGGTGGATGGTGACTAGCAGTGGAATCCAGAATGCGCATTTCATCCCGCTTGGGACTCGCCAACTGGATGTACCTGCATTCCGCATTGAGTGATGGTGTTCCCACCGAGGCTCGAACCCAGGGTCCATAGTTTCAAACGCCAAAGCGTTATCCACTACATCACTTAGACCATGAGTCCCAAGTAGGACGAAATGGGCATCCTGAATTCCACTGCTAGTCACCAGTTAACTTCTAGTTACATTCCCAGACATCGTCGAAGCATCTGCGCAAAGAGCCAACATGTCAACTTGAGACCGAACACTTCGTGCCAATTAATCGACGGGAAAATCTAAAATTGAATTAAACGATTTTAATCTCGTTAACATTTGTTTAGAAAAAAACAAAATACGTATTTGTAAGTGCATTCAACTTAACAAACTGTTTACTTGCACAGCAAACAGTTAGAAGAAGCGAAAATACTATTATTTACTTGGAAGGCTCCATAATATTACTGATGCTTGTTTGTCTGACAATTAGATAACCCCCAAAACATCCCTATGTAGTCACCATTCCTTTCCAAATATCCTTTTATTTTTAAAAATCTATCTGTGTCCTCCTTCGTTCCTTTATCACATTGTTTGTTTATCTTGCGGTACGTTATTTGGAATTCATTTTATGCTAAGATTTATAAAAGACAAATGTAGTATATGCATCATTGTTCTAAGTTATCACCTAAGAATAAAATACACTGTTATTTTGTCTTTATGGGATAAAAATAAAGTAAACAGTATGTAATAGTGATCACTAACCGCCTCACTCATATTTTAACTTCTACGTATTGTTTAAATTTTGGTAGTTATCCAGGTTAACGAATCTTGAAGTCTGAAAAGCACACGTTCTTCCTGATATTTGAAAATGTAATCTGGTCCGGTGCCACCTTGACTAACAAAAAGCTAGGCATATCATGAACTTAAATTGTTGTTGTTACCTTGATAAAAATTTCCGACTAGGCTCAAGCACATAGAGAACATGGATCATATAAGATTGCATCTATAGCTTGCGTTGTTCTTGTCTTCTACAAGTGTCCCTCCAAAAACGGTGCCAGCCTTTAAGGAGAGACTTTTGGTTAGTTCTTAAGGAAGAGGAAAAGTAACTAAGAAAAGTAACTCTGTTTCTTCAGTAGGGCTCTGGTTTCTTTAGAACAAACGAAAAGTATGATTAGTCAGCATAAACATGAATGGCTAGAACAGACTGACCTAATAAAAACTAACAAATCTCTGTAATAAATCTGACTTTTTCAATTACATATCCAACCAATGTCTGAAATTATGATTTCAGTTTGACATTAAATCATCCTAAAAATCTTGAGCGTAATTAAAAGCATTTTACTCATGAAGAAATGTGTATATGGTAACGTTTTTAAGTTAATGAGTTGATGAACTACACGTGAAGCGTAAAATTGCCTAATTTCACAAAACTTAAGTCCAAAATATTTGCATGAACTACTATAATTACAGTCATACATCTCATCCAACACTTGTACGATAATTCTGCATACAAAGTAATCCACAACGAGGAACTCATGGAATCCTTCGAAGTGAAGAGGGGAGTAAGGCAAGGCAGGTTGCCTACTATCTCCAATGATTTTCCTCATTTTGGCAGACAGGATAATGCGACAGAGAGCGGGCAACGAGGACACACGCATAAAATGGACTCACACAACATACCTGGAGGATCTGGACTTTACTGGTGATACATTTCTGATTTCCCACAAACTGGAAGATATGCAAGTGAAAAGCAACAAGTATTTAGAAGAAGCATCCATAGAAGATAGGACTTCCTTCAAGTGAACACAGAGAAGATAGAGGTGATGAAGACTCCTGACCAACAACAACAGACAGCAATCAGCATAAATGGGAGAAATCTGAAAGAAGCAATGCTCTTTACCTGCCTTGGAAGCATCGTTTCAACTACAGGCGGACGGAACTCATGAGGATATCAAAGCGAGCATCGGGAAATCAAAGCAAGCTTTCATCACTGTCAAGTCTGTGTGGAGGTCAACAGCACTCAGCACCCAGCATGAAAAATAAGATCCGGATTTCCAACTCCAATGTGAAGAAGTCAGTGCTACCTACCTACGGATCACAGACTTGGCGCCGCGTCACGGTCAATTCAAACGAACTACACACCATCTACAGCTGTCTTCACTTAATACTACTCTAGATCAGATGACCGGTCAGAAAAGATAAGCAATAGGAATCTCTGGCAGTGAGCGAACCAACTCAGAAGGAACCAACTGTGCAACAAATATGCAGGAAGGAATGGAGGAGGATTGGAAGCTATTCTCTGAGAAAATAAACCATCAAATGAGTGACATCATACGCCAGGTCATCGCGTGGCGAGGAGGTGATGTGAAGAGGAGATGAAAGCATGTGGCGGACGTTGAGTCAGGTGAAAACGTTGACGGAGAACCAAACGCAATGAAGGTGTGCGGCTGAAACCCTTTGTTCCTCTAGCATTAAAGGAAAAAATTATTATTATTACGCTTAGAATTTTAGATGAGTTGAAAAAATGAGTGCAAATACGTTACAAAAAGGTTTATTAAGACTTCATTAATACAAGAATGAAAACGTGAACGCTGAATAAGAAATTTATTTATATAAATGTGCATAATTTGAAAAAATACGCAATACAGTCGTTGAATAAATCATTTGAAATAAATAACTTAACAGTGATATTATGTAACATAGAGTTGGTAAGTATTAAAAAACGATTTTGTATATTACACTAATAACTCCGTCAAATGAGAATTTTGTTTTACTTTCGATCAACCAAAAGAGTATTTCCGACAACTATTCCTCCTAGAACCAGAATTATTTGGCTCATTGATACTAACTGGTTCTACTCTCCAAATATCACGAGCATATTCACGTACTGTACGATCAGAGGAAAATTTCCCAGCGCATGCTATGTTCATTAAAACCATTTTTGACCATCTCACTTCATCCTATTAATAAAAGAGACAATATTAATTATGATAAGAAAAAGCATAAATAAAGAATTCTTCAAATCTAAAATGAATCTTTGAGTGCGTATGTTCAAGTCAGAACGTAAGGGTGGAATGATAAAAGTGAAAGGATTTTTTAACAGCTTAATAATTCACACTGCAATATTAAGAAAACAATATTTAGCAAAATTGGACAGATCGTCTGTTCACTGATAATTAGATGAATACAGGAGATATATTACTTTGCAAATTTTACGTGTTAGTAGAGGTAATATTCTTTTCATTAAAGGTTGTAATATAAATAAATTTTCTGAAAACCTTCATCGTATGAAGTGATTACCGAAACAACTATTACATTAGTAAGTCACATCAACGTATAATATGAAAATGTGGACGAGAATTTCACTGAAATCACTTTAGGCACTTTATGCAGTAAACAAATGTGTAACTTTATAGCCTCGCTCATGTTGGCTTAAACCCATGGGAAATTAAAATAAATACCATTAAATTAGCTAAACGTTTCTGTAGGTGAAACACAGTCAAATCTCAGTTTACTTTGTGGAAACTATATATTTGTTAGAACGCAGTTAGATGGAACAGATCTTTCTTGTGACAGGCTGTGAACCACATTTATTGTGTAAGGGCTGATGATACTACCTACTTGTCCACACTGAGGAATCAAACATGAGAACCACTAAGTGGAATTAACTGCTTAAGTCAATTATTTACATCTCCATTGAGGTGAAATGTAATGTGTAAGAAGTAAGTTACTTATTTCTTTTTTATTATATAAGTTTACTATTATTATTGTCATTATTTTATTATCACTATTATTCTCATCATCCATACTTTATTATCACTCTATTACTGTTTATTAATAACACTGCTTTTCATGCAGATTTTATATTTCTAAAAACATTTTACTGTCTTTCCACTAGTTCCTGTCCATTCTACACAAGCCTATTGATTAGTCATTATCTCACACTTATTACCCGATGTAAACTTCTGCCTCTTTCCTAACTTACAATTAGTCACTTCTTTTAGGTTACACCTTACACTACGTATTTCTTTTTTCCGAGGACATAGTGGACTAGTTTCTGATTGATCTAATGATTTCTTTGTTAAATATAATTACGTTTGTACATCTCATGAAAACGAATTGTCGAAAAGAAAGTTTTCTTCGCTGTTTACGCCTTTCGACTCAATGTGGGAATATTTCATTCATTAAACGTTATTTCATGCGTACGACATTAATTCTTATTCAATTATAAAATTATAACTGATTTGTTCATCTCTAATAAATAATTTCTTTTATTCCTAAAGTACTGCTGGTACTTTTCTCAGATTACTATTTTACCCTTAACGCTTTATTCAAATATATCTCATCTTCAGTACTTTAAAATAACTCATTCGCAAAATTTATCGAATATTTTTCATTATTTTTTAATCTAAAATATTACACTAATTTTGGGTGTACAAAATCCATCAGATTCAGCCTGTACATCAAGTAAATATCACCGATATATCAAAATGTGTATGCTTTATTCAAGGTTACCTTTCGTCGAAACTTACCCTATAGGCTGATTCAACCTCAGCCTGTGCACGCATATAGTCTGCATAATCAGCACAAACCATAAATTTGTCTTCTGTAGTCAACTTTTCATAAAGTCCTTTAAATATATTTGGTTCAGTAGGACAATAAAAACCATCACGTATTTGCTCTAAGCAAAGACGTAGTTCTGGATTCGAAGATATAAACTTCATCGGATTATAACTGATAGAAGATTTATAAAAACGTATAAACAAATAAATCGCTGAAGCATAAGAAAATAATTTCTTTGTAATTAACATATTAAGATAAAAATTAAAGTTTAGATTTTTTAATGAGATAAGTTAACACTTAAATATTTAATATATGTGTAAAACTTGGGCACCGTGATAGTTAGTAATTCCATGTTAGTTTTTCCATATTAGTTTGAAGCCTTACGCAGAATTCTCAACAAGGCAGGGATAAAAACGGCATTCAAACCCACAAACTCAATTAGAAACAAGCTTTATCGGCTAAAAGATCCTGCAGAGCCTTTAAAACAAAACAATTTAGTTTATTTAATACCCTGACTGCAATGATTGTCAGGTCAAATACATAGGTCAAACTAGTAGAACAGGGGCAGTCAGACTAGCTGAACATAAAAACTTAGCAAAATCTAGATTGGTTGACCCGAATAAAATAAGAAATCTAGAGAATAGTTCAGCTATAGCACTACATGCAGTCACACATAACCATATAATAGGATGGATGGGATAGGATGACAGTTTGAAAATCTAATGTCACAGGGTATAGGGAGAGATTGATAACAGAAGCTGTGTTTATCGAATCAACTGCAAATACATGTAGTAGGAATGATTCATCACCTGTCCCCGATATCTGGAAAATTCTACTCCCCCTACGACAAATAGGAGAAAACAAAGAAAACTATAAAACTCAAGTTTCGAAGTCGTGTGATTACAATTGATATGATTATGAAGAATAAATTTTGTTCGAAACGTCATCCAGTAAATAATACTGTTTCACTGTGTGATATACCTAATAAACAAACTAATATGGAATTACTTAAATATTTAGCTGACTGGTAAAATCCATGGATCCCCGTAGATTTAAACTCGTTTTCTTCAGTGTAGGTGACACTAAAACATTAAACCCATGAGGACCATTGATTATAAATAATCTTTATGAGTGACAATCAAACACGAATACAAGCTAGTCGTGATGTAGAAGTTAATTTAAGGCCATGCTTTATATCACAGTTGCACAGTAGTTACCAAAGAATGGAACTTAATCAATAACACACTATTGTAAATCATCTTCATATATATTTATCTGAGTCACATAAGTTTTTGACCACGCAACAGTTCATAATTTGCCGTATTCTATATTTAAATAGACCTTTTTCACTGGAATAAGGGACCATTCGATAAAACACGCAGATGAGATGATAGAAAAATAAATTAACTCCTGGTTTACTAATGTATTCAACAACAAAACATAAAAAAATAGTAAGAATTTGTTTTTCGTCTACAAATCGTGCTGCTACTAAATACATCTGCAATTCATACAGGCTAAAGAGTCAACACAAAAAAACTGCACTGTAGAGCAATAATTCAAGCTATCAGATTTCTCAGCAATGTACAGTGAAATGATAAGATAAACGAAAAATAAGTGAGTTGCAGGGGACTATAATCCCATAAATAATCAAAATATTTAAAATCCAGGTGAGGAAAAGAAAATATTTCTGCATTAAGTTAGCAGATTTTGAGTCACTGAGTATGTGATTTACAAAACCTAAGTTTCTGGGGTCATAGGTCAGGCAAACTTTATTGCCTTCACAACTGAGGTCAGCGGTTAATGATTTCATGGACTAGTGTAATTTTTCGGCCTAATCATCCGTATCAATCTTTTAAGTGAATCTCGCACCCACTTAGAATATGAGAGAAAGTAATTCGTGACTGTTCCATATTTCTGAGTCACCTAAGTCGATGAACACTTATGGTATTATCTAAAAGTTTCTGTTCCTTGACTAACATTTAACGTCTAACGTCTGCATTATTCACCTCGTAGTTTGACAGCATGAAAGGTGCACCATGAAGACACTTACGATCAAAATCCCATAGCCATTTTGTCAGTGACTTTGTACAACCGAGACCTACATCTCTCCTGATTCTGAAAACGTTGTGTTGTGCAAATCAGCCATCTTTCAGCAGATAGAGGCATATCTTCCTGGTGTCAGAATAAAAGTGATTAGAAAATGCAAGACGAGAATTTCATAATTTTACTAGTACAGAAGATGGTAAAACTGTTAAAGTAGATAAAGCAATCAGTGGTTGCCGTCACTTCACTCAATGTCTTCAAACTATGAAACGATCCTATCAGTCATATGTCATCATTTCACATGAGTTTAGTGTGACACATTCAGGCTTAAACATGTTGTCTGTCTGTTAACTTTTAGGTCGTCTTTCCGCACGCGAGTCTCACTTACTGTGATGCAGGTCTTTATTCATTCGTTTGTGGCTGTCTTCGTATTCCGATCGATTCATCATCTGATTAATTCGTTGGTTCATGAAGACAGATTATACTTCAAATTGTATATGTTGTGGAATAGTTTCAGTATTACTAGTCGTAGTTGATATTTCTTCGTAATTTAGAAGGCTTCATGGTTGGAAGTTCCTAATATTTCTATGTTGTCTGTAATTCTAATGTTAATACCACACGTTTTTTTCCATTTCGGTGAGTTGTTTTATTTCGGTCTTGAAATAGCTGTTATTGGATTTAAAATCTACATCAAATCCTAATTTTTAGAAAGTAAGGATAAGTGATTTACACTACATCAAAATTTTCGATTATTTCGTGTATTGCTCTGTGAGTCCGAGGGAAATCCTTTGATTGGACATATTTTATCAATACTTCTTAGACAATAGAGTCCAGTGCCAATTTTAAAACGAGAAAATGGTGTGTCAGATATTCATAAATATCTGTCGAAGTGTGAAGGCTCAGTCACTAAACTGCCATCCAGGTTTATAACCCATCCGAATTTTACTGGTTTATTACTTCCAAAACACAGCTGACCTTTGGATGATGAGCATGAAGCATAAAACTCTTGTTGTTCGATTTTTCCAAAGACAATCTATTGCATAACTGTTGGCGCATCCTGCATTCAAGTTAAGTTGCATGCCACAATATATTCGGGGAGAGGAACAGAAAAATGCACATATCTATATTTTGATACTTAAAAACTACACATCAAACAAGGCTGATTCATCAAATAACAAACTAGTGCAGCTGCTTTTACAGTTTATTTTCCAATTATCTCACTGAATTTCAGCCAAAGAATGTAAGCTTAGTTTACATAAAACCAAAAAAGTAGTATTTTCTACTATCAGACACTTTGAGTAGATATCTTATCTCAAGTCGCTGGGTGACTGTAATATAAGAATCGCTGAAAAATCTGGAATCAGCTGACTGCACTAATTCTGCACCCATATAGAGCAAAGGAACATTTATTCCCAGTATGTCACAAGATAGAGAACTGCATCCCAAATATTAAACACTGTAGAAAATATCCGAGCCCCCCGATCGTCATAACTTCAAAGCAAAACGAAAGAACGAATACCGAAATTCTCACGTTCAAGAAAAGTCCTCGCAAAAGCTTTATGGTATTCTTACAACAGTGAGTACACAAGAGCTACTCACCAAATCTCCTGAAATTAAAGTGGGAAAATTTGAGGATTCAATATATTCGCCAGATGAAACCAAGAGAACAATTGCACCTCCTTCACAAATTCTTACATCGAAAGCGTAGCACACACACGATGACGAACTGACTAATTACATTATAAAGCATGAATATTAAAATTACCGACATGCAGAATATAGAACACCTTTTGAGAATATTTAGCTGCTTCAAACCCCCACCAATGGTCTCGTTATACTAAGCTCAGAAAACTAAGCTGCTATAATTTCGCTACCAATAAGTTTACAAAAACTGAGAAAAATGACACTGCGATTGAAGAGAGTTAAGTTGATTTCGGTTTTGTGTGCCGTTCGTAGTATTTTGGAGGTTAATATCTGCTGATTATTCATACCGGTTAAGTCTGTTGCTTCTTACAGTAGCCATAAGGCAAACTGAACAGGTTTTATATGACTGTATGGTGCACTGCAATTCGGTATAATATTTGTCACATGTGGTAGCATAGCGGACCACATTATTAGAGAACGAAAGATGTGAAAAGAGATAGTGTACACCGATACCTCCCACAATGCCTGATTCACACAGACAGAAAGTATAGCATGATATATCTATCCTTATTTTAAAACCCTAAATATAGTTTTATCAGATGGAAAAATTAGCTGCTCCTACTTTATACAATTCCTAACTAAAATTTTTAGCATGATCCAACTTCAGTGAATTATTAATCCTTTAAAATAATTTTGAACATTCTGTCATAAACAGCTGGAAAACTTTAACAAAGTAGAAGATGTACTATAAAAAAATCAAGCAATAATAGATACAGTAGTAGCCGATCAGTCATACAGATCAACAGGTATACTGGATTTCGTTTATTAGAAACCGTAGAAACAATTTTAAATCTTAGCCGTGTGAGTAGAGGAAGCTGATTTTTGTAAACAAACACGATCTTGTTTGGATGATGCCGAACAAAATCTAATTTTTACTAAGAGAAGAAGGGGAAACATAAACATATTTCTCCACTTCTTTGAGTTTTCTTTAATATATGCACATTTTAAATCTACAGGGAATGAAAATAGTTTATAAAAGATACTAAGGAAAACAATTCTATCTAATCAGTCTACGAGTTATTGTTTTGTTTACAGTAAATATTTAATGTTTACTGTCAATTCTGTTCAGTGTAATGACCATATTGTCAGATCGGGTACAACTTAATAGTTTTACACCATATCATGGTACACGAACATATGATGATACTAGCTTTTATAGATTACATTTGAAATGAAAACTTTCTCTTTGAGATATAATTTCTTCAGTCACATTTAAGAGTCAAACTGTACAGACTTCATGTATTCATTTTAAAACATACTTATCAGATGGCACAACAATATATTTCAAAGCAAATTATCAAGACACAGATTATCAATTGTATATATAAAACAGAGGTTGAACATGAAGTGTGAAACTAATATGAAGTATATTGGCGCATTCGTTTTACATAACGAGATTGGTACGTGGAAGCTGATCAAATGATATTTATAAGTGTCGCATATGAAAAACTCTTCCTTGTGCAGATTTCAACAGTTAAATATTTACAAAATAATTATTTAAACAAAGCAACAACTACAGATTTAAAGTCGACGACTGCCAGAAAGACAAGACAGATGCAACTGAAAAACGCATCACAAATGTACTGAGAGATCTTCTAAAGAAGAATTTGATTGACAACAACACGTACAATGAACTGAAACCCAGAGGGTCCCGCTTGCCATATATGTATGGCCTTCCAAAGATACACAAGAAAGAAGTCCCTCTAAGACCAATACTTTCGATGATCAACTCTCCTCAACATAAGGTTGCCCGTTGGCTTGCGGAAAAGTTGGAACCCATTCGCCGACGTCTAGCCGTGCATACCATAAAAGACTCATTTCATTTCGCCGAAAGCGTGAATCATATGAACGTTTCAAATAAGTTCATGGTCTCATTTGATGCAACCTCCTTGTTCACAATGATCCCAATCAATGAAACCATTGAAATCATTTGTCAACAGTCTGATCTGCTTCAACTACCAGAGTCAGAATTCAAACGCCTACTGCTTATGTGTACCATGGATGTACAATTCCAGTTTAATAACACTCTTTACCGACAAATAGATGGTGTAGCTATGGGCAGTCCACTTAGCCCTGTTTTAGCAGATATATTCATGTCCAACCTTGAAAGAACAAAGTTGAAGCATGCAATCGATGAAACAACTTCCTACTGTCGTTACGTTGATGACACATTTATAGTGTGCAAAAATGATAGTCATGCTTCACACCTACTAAGATTATTCAATGATGCACACGCCAATATCAAGTTCACTGTGGAACATGAAAGTGACGGGAAGTTCCACTTCCTCGACATCGCCATGGAACGCCTAGAAGACGGTAGTCTTCAAAAGTCAATTTATCGTAAGTCCACATGGAAAGGACAATGCTTACATTTCAATAGCTTTTGTCCAAATAGCTATAAACGAGCACTGGTCAAGACTCTGTACTATACAGCGAGAAAAATATTCTCTACAGAGAAACTAGAGGAAGAATTTGAGTTTCTTGAAAAGACATTGAAGAGTAATGGGTACCCTCAAAGGTTCATCAACAAGTATGGAAGATCTGCAGTCGCAAATGAAAAACAAATCACAGTAAGAAAAAAGCTAATCTACTTTGAGCTTGATTATAAAGGCGAAAACATTGCAGCGATGATCAACAGAAGGCTGAGTACATCACTAGCTATAGCCTAACCTGCAGCTAAGCTCGTTCCCGTCTTCCGAACAACTTGCTCTCTGGTGCAATCAAAAATCGATAGATATCCTTCTCATGTTAACTCCAACTGTATATACAAATTTACATGTATCTGCGGGAGCAGTTACATTGGAAGAACAGAAAGAAGAGCATATCTACGATTTTCTGAACATGTACCAAAAAGCTTAAGTCTAAAGGGAACAAATGCTTTAGGCAGTGCCATCGCCAGGCATCTTCTTGACACGGGTCATCAGGTGGACGTGGAAAAGTCATTCAAAATTATCAATAAGCAAAAGAGTTCAATGCTCCTTAAGTTTGCTGAAGCCTTTTCCATCAAGCGCCTAAAACCTGATTTGTGCGTTCAGAAAGAAGCAGTTATCAGTCTTTCTTTGCCCTGGTAACTGGATATTTTTCATCCTAATGCGAGATACTGAAAAGTTTTCATTTTGTATGATTATTAATGCTCGGAATTGTGTTCAAGATTGCATATATATATATTATTAGTGTATGTCTATATTGATCAATTGATTTCTGTTTAAAATGAACTCTGTGTAAGTATGTTAAATTGTTATTGTAGATGCATTCAATAATGTTTTTGCCCTGTAAGCAGCTGAAGAGAAGGCGACGAAATAAAATATGGTACCATTTTATTCCGCTAAATCTGTAGTTGTTGCTTTGTTTAAATTCATTAAGGGGAACAAATGTATGAAAATAATTATTTTTCGGTAGCTTTATCTTACCACTAGTTGTTTTTATTCCTGTATATCATTGTGTTCGATAGCATCAACTTACCCAGTTTTCCTCAGATAATTCACTTCTTCAATGGTACGACCAAAAGGAAATCCATTTGAATGACCAATCTCATGAAAGATTTCTGTATTAGATCCATCCATAGTACCGATAGTTAATGCGCCATTCAACTTTAAAAAACAAGACGAAAAGGCAAAAATCAATAAAATAGGCTTAAAGCCTAAAATCTGCTCAAATTTCAATTATCGGTATGTGTAGAGTGGGTGAAGATAAGGGACACGGTAAATGAACTTTATTGAGGAAAAACACATCATATTTATACATTCTTAGCCACATTAGAATTTGGCTAGCTCAGAGTAGGATAAATTGTTCTGATTGGTTGCTGGTTGTCCCAAGGTTAAACTAGTTGTTCATTAAGGTCACTTCATGTCCACAAGTTAAACTAACTCTAGATTTGTTGAATAAATATTACTACCTCTGCAGCCATACACTTAAAATGTTGATTTCAGTTTTCGCCACTTCCCATCAGTCTGCATCACACTGCATGTATGTGACGAAGGAAAGCACAACATCAGACGAGTTTATTTAATGTCGAGTGGTAGCATATACGTCAAGTAGTCAGAGCCATTAACGAGTTCATCACTTGCGAATCAAAATTTTCGAGGTGAGCATTTACCACGGCTTCTTTCGGAAACACACATAATATGATCTGCTTGATAATATAAGTGACAATCAAGAAAACAGGCAAAGTAGCACGACAGTATAAACTGCTGATTTCGGTGAGTAGTACATACCAAAATTAGATATATATTAGGTGAAGTAAATTCTTTCGGTTAACAATAGTTCTTATTTATAGAAACATAAGAAAAGTATTCTAAATATAAGTAAACATATTTGACTGGTGTATGATGTAAACCGACATTACGGTAATCTTTACAGCCCTCAAAGATTATGCAATTCATAGTTTGTAACATAAGCTTTATACAGAAATAGTAATAACTGTTATTTTTGAATGTCGCTGTGAATTAAGGAAAGTTAATATAAGCTTCGAATTTTGAGCTGTTAACTACTGTACCAGCTGACAATTGGTTGAGTTAGTTTTCTATGCATTCACTGATGTTAAGCGTATTCCGTTAAATTTGTGGCTTTACTCATTTTTCTTTATTTCTTTGCGTTTAACTATATCCAAATGTAGCAAGTTGAGTCACTAAACTTCTTTGCCTTTCACTTTGGTCTTCTGTCTTGTCTTTTGCTGGCTTAATAACGTAAACAACCCTTAATTGTCTTCCGCTGTAATAATTTCAAGTTCCATGTCCAGAATTTTCCAAAAACTCGTGTCTATGTTGTAATACACAGACGTATTCTAGAATATTTTATATATATTTCATTCGGAATAATGATAAGCAAAAGGTTACTACTCTGAACATATACGCAACTGGGTCTTAAATGACCCCGTAAACCACCCCTAATCTAATCATGATAATATTACAATGTCTGCGTCCACAGAAAATGTTACTGAAAAAGATTTAGGTAAACAGAGAAGGTGCATGGTAAGACAACGAAATTTTACTCGTTAAGGATCCGTTTGATAAAGGATTCTATGGGAATTACTGACTTCGTTAAGATACTCAGTAGGTTCATTTGAAATGTTGATCAACAACAAACGAAGTCAGTCATACGAAAATATTAGATGTGAACTTTTTCAGCATGCTGTATAAAAGATAATCTGGCTGATTAGGAATCCCGGAAACCATTTAAAAGCACACTGTTTACTGATAATTTTCAGAAATACTTGTTATTCTTCGGTCATCGTTCTCTCAATAACCCAGCTATACACCAGTTGTAGTAATCAACCATGATTCTTGGTAAATTATTCAAAGTACACATACAATTCGTGTGCTTTTATTTTCTACTTTAATAGGCTAGTTTTCTTGGTTTTTGAAAATCCGTTTAACTGGATTTGGAGCTGAAATTTGTGAGACTACTCATTAACTAACTTGACGAAATCATGACCTCAAAAAGAATTATAATACAAAATGACGAGTGATATCACTAATTTAAACATTTTATGACAAGTTGAGTCTCTGAAAAACAGGCTGGAGAAGGGTTTGTTGTTGTAGTGAATAAAAGTTAGAAAACATTGCAAACAATACACGGAAAGAGGTATATAATTTGTGGTGAACAGGAATTTTTTTACGAAGTTTAAAATATATCGAAAGATGAATAACAACTCCTAAACTGTTTCATTCACCTAAAAAAGAAGATTAGGTTTAGGCTACAAGATCAGAATATCCATACGTGCTATGAAAGATGTGCTCTTCAGACATAATGTAAAAGGAACGGAGAAAAGACAGAACAATAAATGGATTCTAAAAAGAAATATTTTCGCAGTAGAAATGATAAATCCAGTAACATGGTTTTGAATCCGGTAAGTATGAGCAAGATGATTCATTTTGTTTTCATCTTAAAAAGTGCTAAAATATTATAAGAGGATATGTACGACACTTCTTTTTTGGTCCACAATTAGTCGTGCATTCAAATCGGACTAGTTTGACTGCATCTGATGTCAGTAGTACAGAATCAACACAACAGGAAATAAACAGTATTTATTACATTGTCATTGTAGCCCGTTTGAGTGTTGTCTTTAGTGAGCATACAGCTATTAGCAACCTTCCATGCTGAATTCACTTTAGGTTGACACAATTTCAGAGAATAATACCTTGGTTTGCTTACAGGTAGGCAATAACTTATGACTGCCATAAGCTTGGTTAATAATTTCAGACTACTTTAGAACAGTAGCACCTATACTGATTTAAATACATGTTGAGGGAGATTTTACCGTCTAGTATGTAATATGCCTTATTTTCTAATTTTTTATAGCACATTCAAAAGAATTTCCATCAGTCTCTTTCTGTGTTCTATACTGTTAATGTAGAACACTTTTCAGTTTAATGTAAGTATATGAGAACGCTAGTGCACAAAAGTGTACCACAGCGAAAAATTTTAGTTTAAAAAAATAAATGACTGAAAATAAAAATATGTGGTTAAATCATCAAGCAAGAAATAAACATCAGTATTTCTGTATCCGCCGCGAAGAAACGTATTTTAAGTTGAAAGATGAATGTTCGTTTCTTGTCCAACTGAGAAACAGATGGCGTGGCTATGGGTTCACCATCAGGTCTGATCCTAGTTGATTTTTCGCCACTACGTTAAGAAATGGGCCACTAAAAGTAGTAAATAATGAACAGGAATTCTCCTGTCGATATATGAATGACATATTTCCGATAATAAAAAACGAGTTCAGTAATGAGCATTCAACAATAGCCTTTACCGCTGAGGAGGAAAGGAATGAAGTTATCTCATTCCTAGACGTCTTTCTGATCAAGAAAGAGGATGGTACATTAGGAAGCAGTATATAGTGAACCTACAACAACCGGTACACTCATTTTTTGAGTTTCGCACCTTTAAATTATTTTATCTTCGATTATAGCTTGATTCCATACAGTATTTTTGGTACAAGTATGGAATTTTTAGCATACGATATCGGTAGCCCAAATTTTGCAGGCCGACTATTGATATCAGTTGTGGGCCGGCAGGGGATCGGACTCCGAACCATGTGCATGGTTGGCGAGAGTCCTAACCGCTGTGCTGGGATAACCTGCTCAAAAAACTCTCTTAATGAGGAGCTCATCCTTGTCGCAGTAAAAATGGTTATCCAAATAAGTTCATTAATAAAAATACGAATTTCGCACCAAGGCAAGTTAGCATGGCAACAGCTCCAATGAAGCCGTCGTTCATAAAACTGCAGTTTCTTGGTGTTGACATCAACGAAACAGTGACAAAGCATCTGAATAATGCAATTGGAAGAGCATTCATTGCAGTGGAGGTGCGTTGACTCTTTACAACCGCTCCAGTTTTACGTTCAAGAAATATGGACAAACTACCTAATTTCGTTCACTCTGTGTGTATCTACCAGTTTGATAGCAGCTGTGGAGCCAGTCACACTGAACATGCACTTAGGTAGGTTCATCATCGTATTTCAGAACATCATCCAGAATGGCTAACCAAGGGAAAAACAAGATCTATTCGTAGCTCCATTTGTAAGTAGTGAGCATAAAGTTGACGTCAGTAAAGCACTTAAAGTTATGTATCGTATTCTGACTAAAATTAATTCTTGTTTACGAATTCGTCTTTGACACACAGCTGAAACCATTGGAATCTACCTGAAGAAATCAAACCTGTCTGTTCAGAGGAAATTCATGCAGTCACTTTCTTTACCTTGGTGAACGTTTAAGTCTCTTCCAAGTTATCATTGTTAAAATTATTCTATTTTTTGACTGCTTCATCTTTAATTGCTTATCACGTAGTCGAACTGAACATCTTTTTATTCCTTAATTACTCCATTTTTTAAAGTTATGCATTATGAAATTCACTTGTAATTATATCTATCCTTTATTCGTCTGCGTTAGTTTTAAGGGAAAACAAAAATGATTGTCTCTTTAGATGAATACATTCTGATGTAGTAGGAGGCAAAGTAGCTAAATATTATTAAACAAATTTCAAGTTAATAATCATCGGGGAGATTTTCCACATGAGAAATGTACAGTTTTATATCAGTTGCAAAAGCTTAAGTAAGTAATTTCATTCGTAGCTTACCATAAACTTCATATTCCCTGTCCCTGATGCTTCTGTGCCAACGCATGGGATTTGTTCAGATAGGTCTGTAGCCGGAATAATACGTTCTGCTAAACTAACTCGGTAGTTTCGTAGAAAAATAAGCTGTCAAAAAATGTAAAATAGGTTATTCATACTTTTTAAAATCATTAATAACTAATGTCAGAAAACAATCTCAGTAATTAACTCATTAACACTGTCAATTTTACCAAGTTCCATATTAGTGCCGTAAGTACTTAAATTTTCAACATTATTAAATTTGGTTAACAGAGTCAATGAAAACACTGAATTGGCAGATCAAAAAATGTTTAATGTCCTCAAAAATAAGGACAAGTAAAATTTTAAAAATAAGACTGCACAGCAAAACATGGAAATTATATTTTTATGTTCATGTCTGAATGGTTTTTTGTCTTGTTTTCATTAGAGCCTTCTAGATTTCCAGAAAGCAAACGTAGAACATCTAAGCGCGATGTAAGAATATGAAGAAAAAAACACTTTCGGTCCTTGGGATATAAAATGTCATTGTTCAACATTGCATTGTGCAGGCTTCACATCTATTATTATACATCTGCGTAGAGGTTGAAAAGAAACGCACTCCTTGTGCAAAGGTGAAGCACTTTTAATTTCTTGCTAGATTTACTTGAAAAGGATATTCATATAACTAAATGTGAGTAGAGACAAATTTTAAAAGGATTTATTATGTGGAACTTAGTTTTCCATAGAAGCCCTTAAAAGGGGGTTTACAAATATTCTAACTCAACGATTTTATGCTCTCTTGAAAATGCAGTGATGACCTGAAAGTCAAATTCACCGAATGGGTTAGTTCATAAAATGATCAATAGCTTTCCTAAGTAATTACAGTTACAGTATGAATCACCTTATTCATTCATGTGTCGAAAACTTATATAAGAATATGATACTGAAAAAATTAAGAAGCTATAGATATATATGCCCGAATGCAGGAGTAAGACAAGGCTGCTTACTATCTCCAATGATTTTCCTGATTGCGGTAGGCTGGATAGTGCGATGGACAGCGGGCAGCGAGGACACACGAATAAAATGGACTCACACAAAGTACCTGGAGGATCTGGACTTCATCGATGATGCATATCTGATTTCCCACAAACTGGAAGGTATGCAAGTGAAAATTAACAAGTTAGCAGAAGAAGCATCCATAGAAGATAGGAATTCAGGTGAACACAGAGAAGACAGAAATGATGAAGATTCCTGACCAACAACAACAGTAGCAGACAACAGACAGCAATCAGCATAAATAAGAGAAATCTGAAAGAAGCAATGCTCTTTACCTACCTACGTTCCTACCTACTTGGAAAGAATCGTTTCAACAACAGGCAGACGGAACTCATGAGGATACCATCAAAACAAAAATCGGAAAAGCCAGGCAAGCTTTTATCACTCTCAAGTCTGTGTGAAGATCAACAGCACTTAGCACCCAGCATGAAAAATAAGATCCGGATTTCCAACTCCAGTCTGAAGAAGTCAGTACTACTTACTATATACGGATCACAGATTTGGCACCACGTCACGAAGATCACTTCGAAGAAACTACATACCTTCATTAACAGCTGTCTTCGCTCAATGCTACTCTAGATCAGATGGCCGACCAGAAAAGATCAGCAATAGGAATCTCTGGTAGTGAGCGAACCAACCCAGCAGGCACCGATTGTGCAACAAATATGCAGGAAGAAATGGAGGTGGATTGGAGGCTATTCTCTGAGAAAATAAACCATCAAGTGAGTGACATCACACACCAGACCGTAGCTCAAGTGCATCCCGAATGAGAAGCGGCGACTTGGCCGTCAGTGCGAGGGTGATATTGGGGGAGGTCATGCTAAGAGGGGATTAAAGCATGTCGGCAGATGTGGGGCTAGGTCAAAACGTTGGCGGAGAACCAAACGCAATGGAGACGTGCGGCTGAAGCCCTATGTTTCTCTAGGAACTAAAAGAGACAATAATAATATAATTATATATAGCAAACATATATGCCCAAAAGTAAGATTTTATGAGAAGAGATTTACCGTTAAATATGTGAATTTTTATAAACTCTATCTCTTTGTAGTGAAAGCCTGTGATAATTCACTATAGTGCTCAAAAGCTTATTTAGGAATGATAATCTTCAATCAGTTAGAAATATGTAAGCGGTAGTCATGTAGACTTGTTATCAAAAAGAAAAAGTGTGTGAAACTGCGTAAACAGAAAATATTCTTATGCTGTGTGATGAATTATGAATTACATAAGTCAGTCAGAAACTAGAGCCCCTAATTATTTTTTTTACAGAGGCCGTATAAATTGCAATCATTTCAGGTTTCTGTGTAACCTTTACTTGCAGTTACTTTGTTAAGAAGTCCCTAACTGCAGCCTTTGTTTATTTCAATATTATTTTGAATGCTAATAAAAAATCCGAGAGATTATACTATCCATCACTTACATAATGATCGAGAACAGCATATGCAGAAATGTCTAAGTGTGTGCAACCGCATTCACACTAAACAATATGTAGTCCCAATGACCTCAATCTGACACTTATTAATAGGCCATTAACGTAGCATGTTAAAAAAGGTGGTTTACATTTCATTACGAAAAATAGGTTCATGAAAATATTGAACGATTTAACATACTTTAAGTTTACCGGTAGTAATCGGATCAAATTCTATAATTCGTGCGACTGAATTGATTAACTTTATGATGATTTTAGCCATAACATAGCCGGGTGCTGCCTTACCGCCGATAATTATTGTTCTTGGGCATATTTTCAAGTTAGGATTTGCTCTTATACGATTATACAGAGTAATTGCAAGTAAGCAGGGTAGTAAAGGACGCTTGTATTCTAATATGCGTTTTACCTAATTAGAAAAAATAAATATTTTAAAATGCATTTAAAATAATTTTTATTTAAAGAGAATTACAAGAGACCGTTTTAGAGGCAGAATAAGAGATTGAAAGCATAATAATTAAGGCCTGTGAATAAAGCTTGACATTACTGTCATAGTGGAGATGGACTGAACATTCTTATGATTACACCATTTAAAATAAAGCATTTAAAATGAATCACATCCTTTTAGTACTACCTATTCTCTAATAAGCATTCATTCCTATATATTGCGTTGTTTGTAGACACAAAATGACAGTTTGTCTAACTGTAGATCCGTTAGTCAGCAGAAATTACGTATCTTTTAGATCATATAGCAATTACTTCTATGTGATGCACGAAGTTCATATCTTCCAGGGTCTTCATTGTCCATCGAACGTATTCGTGTTACCTCTCTCCATATAATATACGTAAGAATTATTATTTTGTTCGTGCACATAAATAACTTGAAATAAAAATTAGCTGATCTAGTTGTTTTTCCAGTCTTTCTACTCTCACGTCGAAGATTAGCGTCAATGAATACCAAAATGAATGAGGGTGATACAACTAAATGATTAAAGTATATCCTACTCTGTAAACAACTGTAGATTTCTGGTCACCAAAGGTCAACCGAAATACATGTGCCTTTGAAACACTGAATGGATTTAGCTAGTTTCCACTGAATATAGATTCAGATTCATTTATTGAAGCAATCATTTGTAAAATGTGATCATTCTTTCCACCGAAAAGCCGTTCTCTGAAGAGTTACTCTTTTCAGCAATATCATTCTCAAGCTGAATCATGTGGTAGACCGTAGAGAACGAGATAACAGGAATACACTTCATATATATATATATATATATATATTAGAAGTGTAAATTTCAGATAACATTTACGTAATGGAAAGATAGCTACTCCGGTAGAATCTGATGTAAAGTTAAATAAGTAAGTTGAGTGACTGTGTTAAGAGTGGTCAGGTCACTTGACTGAACAGCTGTATTTTGTAAGACCCTGGTCAAATCTGAACACCAAGAGAAACCGCAAATCAGCTCTAAAGCCATCTGCAGTGTATGCGGGCGTCTTGACAAAGACAAACTTCTTTATACCGCAGAGGCGATGGCAATTATCATGTTTAAACCCGAACTCTGCTTAGAGGAGTAGTTTTTTCAGTTATCAAACCTACAATAGGCCTGATTTGTCTTAACACCCCTGAATCACATTAAATCACTCAGTTGGTAGGTATATTAAATAACTTAATGCATATAATCGTGCACTCCATCAAAATGGGTTGTTTATGTCTTTTATATAATTAGGTTTTTACTTGTTAGTCAATATGTTAAAACTTAGACGTGTAGCCTTAGGTTAAGCATTGTAAGTTCATATTTTATCTAACAGACGAATTATTCATAGTTAACAAAAGGCTCAGTTCAAAATTATTTCATCGTATTTACTTTGCATTAAAATAGTCGATGTTAACAAAATTAAAATAAATGCCATTTATTTTGGACTGTATTACCAAAAGCAATACTTTATTGTGGAAAAGAAGTCACCTTCTTGGCTTAGTCTATATGAACACCAACTAGCAGTTAAATGTTAAAATGTTTCTTCTCCCTTTTAGAGGATGTATGTACAAAATCAAACATGAATTCACTTACAAAAATGAAGAAATATGATACGAAGAAAACAAGTGAGAATTTCTGGCACTCAGAACACTGCATAATAATAGACATACACATATGAGATAAATGTTTCAACTTATACACAAAGTGAAGAACAACAGTGCTTTAAATGTGTAAGTAGTCAGCTGGCACGATTACTGTGATGATAAGTCATCGCACATGTTGTTTAGAGTTGTCACTCAAATACCTGCAAGAAAAACTCTAATAGGTCACTTTTTTCTGGAGCTTTCAACGAATATGTGGACTTGGATGAATAAAAGTACCACAACAGGAAAATCCAGGTCGGAAATATTTTCAAACATCTCAGCATGTTAGTCATAAAGGCACAAGTAATCATAATATATTTATCATTGTTCCCTTAGGCTCCCACTGGAACAAATAACTTCAACAACACATCTCCACTTTCTCCTGTTCTCTACAGTCGTCTTAAGCTGGCCCCAAAATTGTCCATATGCTGTCATCTCTATCTCACATAGTTTCTTTCATGTAACCCCTGGACGCCCAATTCTTTGTTTCTAATCCGGGTTCTACTATAGGGTTTGGGACCCAGTGTCATTTATCTGTCTCCTCAGCACTGGCCCGATTCATCTTCATTTTCTTCAGAATATTTGATGAGCAACAAGTTTTTAGTTGGTTTGTTCGCAGAGTATCTTGTTGCTAATTCTTTCTGGCTATTTTTTTATTACAGCTTGATTCCACACCGTATATTTTTGGTACAGGTATGGAATTTTCAGCATGTGATATCGGTAGCCCAAATTTTGCAGGCTGACCATAGATATCAGGTGTGCGTCGGCAGGGGATCGAACCCCGGACCGTGAGCATGGTTGGCGAGAGTCCTAACCACTGTGCCACCGACACAGTATGAATAAAAGACAGATATTGATAAAAGTTTTAAGCCTGCTCGAAATGCTTTTCGTGGTGTGAGTACACAGTCTCCTAACCGTATTGAAGAAATGACTTGAAATTGGTGTTAAAAATCGAGATCTTGTCCTATGTGCAGAATGCAGTGGATTTCCACGCTGATTTCAGAGTAGTGAACTTCTGTATCGCTCTTCCGATCCTGTCTTTGACATCCTTATATTTACAGCCTGCAGTTGAAACGAAGCTGCCTACATAAATGAAGGGAGTGACTTCCTTCGAATTTCTCCCGCTGATTGGTACTTATCGTTGTTGTTGGTGGCGGTTAGGCATCTTCATCACGACTGTTTTCTCCACCTTCAGTCCAAGTCCTGAACACCCTATCAACGCTTTGGTTTTCGTCCGTAGATCTTCAGGCTTGTGTGGCATCAGATATAAATCATCCGCGAAATCCAGGTCTCCTAGAGTCCCCTTTAAAATTCAGCGTATTCATGTCTTCTCGCTGCACACGGTCCGACGCACAATTCAGCACACTGTAGTCAGGAATATGATTAGTTTTATTAGGGAGTCCTGTTTTACTTCAGCTCTAAGGCTTCACTGAGTTTTTCGTTATGAATCACTTGACATGTGGAATCATAGTGTAACTTTTGAGTGAGGCTGATAAAGGTTAGGGGTATTCCGAAGTGTTAGAACGACTTCCAACAAATCACAAAGTAATCGACCAAGCAGGGATGAAACGCCAATGTCTATGATCATTTGTATTAAGGTTCAAACTGACAGGTTATTTTTATAATGCAAGTGAGATATGTGTACCTTGACTGTTCTGTTGTGTCTTGTGGAGAGTCAAACAGTGGGATTCAAAAGATAGTTGCAAAAACTTCAAAATCCAGGTAGTTTTTCTACCTTTCCAGCTGGTGTTGTTGCAGTTAATCCCTATCATAATGTTTACTACCAAAAAACAGTTGGCATATAGATAACCAAAATCAAAAACAAGTGTATAACATTCAGATTTGTGAAAATGTCGACAGGATGTAAGAGATTCTAAATGATCAGGCAGTTTTGCCTATTTCACAAATACATAAACAAAACATAACACGGAAACGACTGCTACTGAAAGTCATTATTATCACTGGGTCTACTGAATCACCTCCTAATCGACAAACTTAAGTAAAATATCTAAGCATACCTATAAAACAATGCCTGCACTTACATGAACATCAAAAATAGAGCTTGGATTTAATACAACATTCCTGTGTTGTCGCATATATGCAACAAAACGATTTTTGTTGTCTTGTTTTATTTGCATAAGTTTATTTCGAAAGTTTTCATCATTCACCTTCTCTTTCAACCGATTTAACATGATAAGATTTTTAACCCAATCTTCAGATGTCATTGTACTTCGGATAAGATCAGTTAGTCCAGGATTACAGACTAATAACCAACGTCTTGGACTGATTCCGTTGGTTTTGTTGATAAATTTCAATGGCCATAGTTCTGCAAAATCTTTAAAACTGTGATTCAAGAAAAGAAAAAAAGAAAACCCATACAACACTTTGAGCTCTGATTAATGTCGAGATTCAAACATTTTCGGCATGATAAGATGAACGAAACTTGCACTGAAATGCAGAGGACTTTTAGCTTCAGCAATATCTGATTTTTTTGTTATTTATACTGCTTAGCCTTTAGATTTCGATTTACTTATTTCATAGACTTCACAGCGTTGCTCTACGATTTTCATACAAGTTTTATGAGTATATCTTTTGCAATTTTGTTAAAAACGACACAGTATGAACAGAATTTCCATTAATAATCAGAAATATCGTCTCACATCTGTATCTTAGGCATGAATTTCTATCTCGGAAAACAATACGTCCAAGTCACTAAGGGATATTCTTAAAATAAATACCATGTTCCACCACATGAAAATACCTTTTTTCAGTTAAATAATAATGTTTGATGCCAAAGTTAATGGTTTTACATGTATCATGGAATCGTTTTATTTAGTAGAAACACAGTGGTTCACAATTATTTACTGATTGTGTTTCCAGTACAATTAAATCCATATAATCGTATCAAGGGCTTTTATATGTGGTATAATATGGTGAGCAACACTGAGTTTAAGCCCGGAGGGTTTGGTAAAGAGGGAAAGTCAATCGATGCGATTGTGAAACTACATCGATTGAGATTGCCAGGAAATGTGTTACATCTACTAAACCACTATTTTCTTTGTCAACCAGTATTAGTTGACATAACCATAATTTGGAAAAGAGCCGGTAGTAATCAAATCGATACGTGGTATCAATTCATGCATTCTGAAATGTGGTTTGAGTCGGGTGTGATGATGCAAACCGTTCCGTAGGCGTCTCTAAGATCAGATGACTGGAGCTGTTGGCAATATGGTGAAAAATCGTTCAGTATGTTACAGATGTACGAGCCCCAAAACTAAATAAACTCTCATTATTATCAGTGTATTAGCTCTTTTTTGAGCGCACTTCCATCAGTTTTAGTTTCTTTGCATTTCATTCAACATTTTTTATGTATGCTTTATGATATGTGGCAGCTTGAGCTGTTACCCATTCGCTCACAGTTTCAAGCTGATGACTCATTTCATTATTGAATCAGGTAACAGCAATTAGTCGTGAAACAATTGACTGTTTGCTGATTCATCACGAAAGTGAGTTTGAATCATTGAAAATCGAACATAAAAAAGAAAAAAACACGCAGATCAGCGAAAAGTCTCTGATATCGCAGAATTTTGGGCCCAGATATCAGTTTCAACGCCGACCAACTTCATACTCAGGTCCAGTTTGAAAATCTAATCAGCCAAACGAACGATCTCATCCCAACTTCTGAGGACGAGTTACAGAGATTCGAGTCAACAATCATCGACTGCTGCCATCAATTCTTGAATACAAAATCAAAAGTCCGCAACCACCTAATAAAGAGGCACAGAGAAGAATTAAAACAGTTGAGAGATAACAAACATCTGCTAATAACTCGCCCCGACAAGGGTGCCGGTGTAGTGCTTCTGAATCTAAAAGACTACATTAAGAAAATGAACGATATACTGTCGAATGAAGATAAATTTTAAGGATTCCTTACATAATAGTGAGATATCCTTCACAAAATAGGCTTTTTATGCTGTCTCGTTTCTAAACATTTAGAGATATTTTATTTTGTACTGTACTTAAGTTTTTCAGGCTTGCAAACTTCACTTAACATTATTCTTCCAATATCATCTTCACAGGAAGGGACAATTTGATAACGAATCATATGCGCATTGTCTTAACTAAATAACTTCTAGTGCTTTCCATGTGATGTTCGAGTGACTACTTGGTGTAATTATTAATAAACTAGTTACAATGTGGAGACAGCTGTACAGTTTCGGTTTCTATGCTGAGAACACCGTCAGCCTATAGATGTTTAACGTGAAGTGATCAGCAAATCCTAAAAATGTATAACCTGTTAGCGAAAAAGTTAAAAACTACAGGTTATTTAAATTTTAGAAAATGACATACAGAGTTTTGACAAGGTGATTTGTCTGAAAAGCTGAAACACCATTCACAAAATGTGACCCAATTATACATAAATGATCCATACTAACGACTGGTTCATTGATTACTTGAAATATGGACATACGCTGGCATCGATTTTCATCACTTGGCCATCTTCTGTTTATGACCTAGACAAAAAAAGTTGAATCTCACTTGTCTGAAAACAAATTTTGTATAACGTTTACACTTGATACTTACGATTCAATAGATATTTCATGATGCATTACGGTAAACGCTCTTCAACAAAAATTCTTAACTGATAACTTGTATTTAATTTGGCATAATATTAGTAGTATCTATGTATTTTTAATTTAATATATGGGTATCGTACGCAACAAAATCTGAAATAAAGGGAATCTCATTGAATTTTATTTCGTGTCTGTTCCGTCACTGAAATGTTTAAACAGTTGCAGACGTTTATTCAGTTGTGAAGCAATTTTAAAATTGTACAGTCTAGAAATTAAAAATACAAATATATTTGGATTGATTACTTCATTTACAGTTAATGGATATATAGTCACCAAAATATTTGTTTTGACATTCATATTATCTTCCGCATATTGTGGGGTAGAAATTTAGTGTTAGGGTACAGTTTACTTTAAGGTTGTGTGTTTGCCACCTACTTCCGGAAAAAGATAAATGCACATATAATTGTGCCTATTAGCTTACTTCGCCTAAAGACGCGGTGAGAAAAACTACCAGTAAGCTATCAGAGGCCTTATTATTCTCCCTGAGACAGATATGAATGTGTAAAACAAAGTACTATGAGTGCAACGAGTTAACAATATGACATCTAATAACCAAAGATAATCTACATAATCAAATGACTAGTTGACCATGCAATCCACCTACCTAGTTTGCGTCTGTTTCAAACAATACGCCAATGTACATACCGTCACTTAACACAAAAGAAAGATTAGTATCTTAGATCTGTTTACATGAGTATTTCAAGTAAATCTATAAATTCTATCTGAAAATAATCTTACTACAGCTCTGCAGTTGCTCACACATAAAAACTAACAAGGTAACGGACAGTTTAAAATCACGAAAACTGTTCTAGATATATTTCTTCTAAAAATTACTATTTAGACGAAAACTAGTCAACAGAAATGTTTGCAGTTTGCTTAATGTGCAACTTATAAAGAACCAGAAAAACTATCTTCATTTTTCATGGTATGCATATTACTGCACATCTATTGTATTGAAAGTTCTTGGTGTACACCTCTATACTTTATTCACTTGAAAATCCAACATTATAAGGTCTATCGTTCTTGAAAGATAACCAAATTTACTAATCAAAATGGGTTACCATGTTACCGTGAGAAGTCATCTGGTTATATTCGACAAATTAACTGACTGAATAAATGTGTTGATGACTTACAACTTTAAAATGCTGATCAATTTCCTGTATTATCTCAAGATGTCTGGGTAAAACACGTTGAAGCATCTCTAATGGCCAGTATTTTAAACACTCCACTTGTGCAACGTGATTTGTGTGAGTAAACACCCGCGAACATATATCCCATGCCTTTAGAAAAATGGAATGAAGAATCAGAATATATCAGCTTGGTAGTTCCCTATTATGCTGATAGCTGGTAGTTAAAATAAAGTGAGGAATGTGTTTTCTAAATATATCTTCTAATAAATTACTTTTAATTTAGGTAGTAAAACGTCTACATGTACTGACTAAGCTATCACTTTAAGAGTCTTTGCAGTCAAAATACTTTAGCATATGCATATGTTTTGCGTAAATAAAATAATGACCAGCAATTTTACAACTAGCAATATAGCCAAGTCACCTACAGAATTTAACTGAAATTAAGGAGTGAAGGAATTCATACCGTCAGTTTTTCAGAAATGCTTTTGATACACTGTTCGGTGTCAGTGAAATATCAAAGGGTGTATTAGCAACATCACGTAAACATTTCCCAATGATCGAATGCAAATGGTTACTTATCTCCTAGTAAATGATACGAATTTCTTAAAAGGCAGAAAATTCCGTGCTTCATTCAGTGTGCTTAACTGTTTAGGCACCACCATTCAAAATAAACAAAAATCAAAAGGATTATTATCAATATTATCTGTACACTGACAGTGACGTAATAATTCATAACGCTTAAGTTTCTAGATCTAATAGTTTCATCTGAAGGTGAGAAATTCTCACTTGAAATAATGCTGAGTTTGATGCTATAGATTTAAGTTAGTGCATCGATGATTATAAAAGAAATACTATATGTGATTGTGTTGTCTGTGTTGATAAGTCACCTGATGAGAAGAAAGGGTCAAAAAAGCCAATGAACAGTTTTCCTACAAAAAGAATATCCCCGGAAATTCATCAAGATTTGCGATATTGCCATTTCGAAATTTGTTTCCTCAAAAATTATACTACTTATGGGAAACCTCTCTATATTCCTCACTGTACGTATTAAAATAGCAATTATTAGTTAACACTTTATTTGAGATAATCAAAAAATGTGGAAAAAATAGTATTCAGCGAGCCCATAAATTTTGACAGGAATAGTCTACAAACACGGTTATTTGTATCAATTGTATCAATTTTAGGGAAAAAGAGATTAAAGTATAGCAGTGGTTTCTATGCGCACAGTTTCCACCTGTATTAAAATGTAAAATGACTCACAGGTAATTTTTTTCTTTGATGATTTTTGCTGACTGGCATTCTATAGATGTTAATAACAAAGCTACGACGAATTCAGTGATTGTTTTTATTCCTAAATAGCCATCTAAGGCAACATAATCTTAGTAAGTACCTAAGTTTACATTTCATCTCAAATCAAGTTTTAAAATATTAAGGTAAACACTTTATTAAGTGCTTTCTAATCCATTATTACAAACGTTTTTCGTATTTCCTGCCGAGTGAAAAAATAAGACGATATTGCTTTTACTGACTTTTTGCTACTTAATGCTTATAATTTTGTCAGAGTAGCATTGGACCAGAATTTAGAAAATCTTTGCTTAAAGTAAAGAAAACTCAAGGTATATAACCTGTTATAATAATCAATGTCATATACACAGTGTCCACAAGTTTTTTCAAACTTACATGTGAAGTTGGTCTGAACGTATATATGGGTGCTTCTAAAACTACCCCGAGAAATTCATTTCGACGAAAAATGTGACTGGTATTAACACGAAGCCAAAATTTTACAGAGCGTCAAGTATTCTACATCACTTAGACTTCATGCTGCATAATGAGAACTGTTAGCAGTCTCAGTTCTATCCAATTCTTAAATGATGTCTATTAAAACACTTATTTGGACTTTAGAACCACTTCAAAAACATGTCGTGTTTTTAAACCGTAAATTCCATTAGTGTGATGAAAAATATATTGCTAATCTGCAGGCATACAACATGAGATTTAAAATTTTAATCTTCTATGTGATCTATAAAAAGCATGAATGGATATTAAATAGTAAAAATGTTACAGACGGCAGCCAACGTGATGAGTTGCTCACTGATTGTTTAGAAAACTATACTAACATGACACAGAAAGTTTAAGGAGTCGAAAGGTAGATAAATTTTGCCTCTGATTTCTTTACTTACAAAAACTTTGGCAAAAATTGTATACTCCCTTTGCAGTTTCGAGAATCACGGATTGACGCTGTCTATCAAGCTGACAAAGATTCTATAATATATGTTTTGAAAAATAATTTTTACTAACAAGTTATTTTACCAGTTAAACATCCTTTTTTACCAAACAAGCTTTACTCATCATACTCTGTAACTGGGAAAACACATAAGAATAAAACTTCGGCACTGTGATAGAGTGTAATCCCATTTTGGAGGGAATTTTATTTTGATAAAGTCTCACAATGTTATTCAGTAATATTTACTGATGATGTTTTGGGCACAATTTATTGCTCCTAATCACATCAAGGTTCTCACAAACCTTTCTGACTTCGTTTATATAAATGAGTACATAATTGATTAGACACAAGAATCAATATAAAGTTCAATAGACATGCGTGGAACAGAAGGGAAGATAAATTACATTCGGAAGTAATATTAGTGTTAACAACAAAATATAATACGATAATAAATAAGACCCGGTTGACCCAGTTAGATAAAATAATATAGTTTATAAAATACCTTGCAGTGACTGTGATGTCAACTGCATAAGTCAAACTAGTAGATAGGAGGTAACCAAATTGTCACAACATAAGAATTTAGTTAAGTGCAGAATGACTGACCCCATTGAGATGAGTTATTAATTTTTTAAGTTTGCCCGCGGATTGATCTCAGCTAGGGAACCAGGGAGTACTCGACAGCTGTTTTATCCTAGTCCGGGACTCTTCATAGTATGCATCCACTGGGGTTTGAACTCAGGACCTTCCCGTTACAAGGCAAGCCAGTTCTGCCACTGGGACCTAACTCAATGGCCCATGAATTCTTACTTCTACCAATTCGTGATTTTCACAATAATTCATCCGGACTACTTTTTTCTACATCTTATGGACCTGCCAATAAACATAAATACATTGTGCATAATCTATTGCCCCAAATTTAATAAGAAAACCAAGATAACTTACATCAATCCAGTCCAAGCGCTCTAAATCAATGAGAATTCTCATGAGTTCAGGAATAGCAAGAGCTGGATGTGTATCATTGATATGAATCACTACCTTGTACGGTAATTCGAAGAGTTCACGTATTGGATCAGCTGACTTAAATTGACATAGAATATCCTTTTCGTCCAAGTTAACATTATAATGACGATTACAAATACAAAGAAAACAGTCAAGTCAATTATTTATTCATATTATGCATTTAGATGTTTAATTATAAAATATTATATGTATACAATACACCATTAAATATTCATCAAATAATCATTTATGAATTTAATTAAACGACACATCCCTACTTCTCTGTCACTTCTAATTGACAGTAATCAACAGTAAATTTCATCCGCATATCTCAAGTTGTTCAACAAATTACTAACAGGTTAACTCCAGCTATTCTAAAGAGTGATGAAAGATTATGCATGAAGACACTATAGTTATGAATTCTATCATAATTTAACTTTATAGCTTGATAAATGTAATTAGTATAACACTCTCATTTTATTCACTGATCAGTGAACCTTTTTGCACTAGAGGTGAAATGATGAATTTTAATGTAACTTTAAAAAATTTAAGTGATGACAGTCTGCAAAAAGAAACTTGGACAAGTTTTAAAAGATAATACAGAAAACCACTTTTATTTGACCTTTGAGTAGACTTTTTTACTCTGAACATTTACAAATTAACTCAGAAGACGGAATATCATAGGCAGTAATTGGAGATGAAGTCAAAATCTGAGTCACTTGGGCCTCCATAATCACACATTATGTTATTATTTGCTCAACAGTTTTAAGTTAGTTTTTATGAATCCTGGTATTTTACATCCCACACTGAGGTTAAATTTTCTGACTATCATTGAATCCTTTAAAATCTTGGATAGTGGCAGTTTATAGCCCGAACATTTCCTACATGTTGAGATTCAGAAAGTTCAAATTACAAGTCGATAAAAACGATCAGTGAAGATGTAAATTAACAAGTATTCATAGCAAAGGTTCTCTGTGAGATACAATTATATCACTCATGAAGAATTCAAAAAAGTTCATTTCATATCAAATTTTGCGTTAGAAGATGTTGTCTAGATGGACAACGGAAGATTCGCAGTTAAATCAACCAACTCAAAGAACGCAACCAAATCAAAATGTTAGGATTCATTAACGGAAAAACTGAAACAGATATATTATGTTCGGTAATGATCAATAGAACACCATGTCTTTGTTTTTGTATAAATTACTTCAGAAACACTACCTTGCCTAGTCTACTGGCTCGCTACTTTTCTAACCAATTCCAAGGCCAAGAAAAGTGGAAGGGGGTTGAGCGTGTGGCTAGCAAACGTGTTTCTGCTACAAAGACTTCAACACACAAAAAAATATTTAAAAAATTAAAAAATTATGGAAAATAAACTTATTATTCGCTGGGATCTCAGAGACGAAATAACGTGGGCCGGTGAAAGCTTTCGTGGAGCCAGTCAGCCAGTCGATGTGTCTTCTCTTAAGGAAAGCAAGAGTAAGAATGGGTACGTGTAATGTCTGTACAATGTATGAGACTGAGAAGGCGGTCCAGGTAGCCAAAGAGATGCGAAAATATGGCTTAGAAGTACTGGGCATCTGCGAAAGCAGATGGAATGGGTGTGGATTGACAACATTTTTAATGGGCAAGTCAGTAATCTACGGGAAAGACAAGATACGCCTACATCAATCTGAAGTCAGTCTGGAAGTCTTCTTCACTCAGCACAAAGAACAAGATTTGGATTTTCAACACAAATGTTAAGAAGGTCAGCTATTCCACATGAATCAGAAACTTGCACTGCGGGTCACGAATATCATTTCCCACACGTTACAGACTTTCATCAACAATTGCCTTCGTTCTGTATTGAAGACCAAATGGCCAGAAGGAATTAGCAACAAGAGAATATTCAAACAAATCTATCAAGAACCTATCGTTCAACAAATATATAGGAGAAAATGGAGTGGATATGGCACACACTGAGGGGACCATTGATTGACATTGTTCGTCAGTCCATTGAGTGGAATGCCAATGGGAAACGACGAATAGGTCCTCCAAGGGTGGTATGGAGGAGATGAGAGATTACAGGGAATCTCTGGCCCAAAGGAAACAACGTAGTGCACTGTTTAAGCCCCAAGTTCCACTAGGGACCAAAGGGAAAGAAACACTGTGCTCAGATCTTTATTCGCATACATAGTAGGATTATGCTTACGGCTACAAATCGAAATACAAAAGGTCAGTTTTACAATCTAATCTGGTGTATTATAGCTAGGAAATGTATTAGTAATTCAACCAGTAACTGAAAATGCTTCATTTAAATTCATATTATAAAATCTTAGTGTTCTCATTACAGATTAGCAGATAAATCAGGTCAGGACTTTAACTAGCAATTTATTATTCTTGAAATAACGAATACTTATTTTGAAAATCTAATTAAAGTTAGATTAGTGCGAGCAAAACTGCATTAATTGGAGATGTAAAAACAGCATCCTATACGCCTTGATAATGATGTTTTCTAAGTTTTGCTTTCCTGTCGTTTAATCCCACAAGACAAAAATTCCTGATTATAGCTATAAACTCATTGTTTCACAAAGTAATCAGTTTCTGCATACCTGATAGATATACAAACATTTATTGATAAGTGAAAAGATGCACGTATGAGAATGTGTTTTTCAGACGTTTCGCTTACCTGAAGTGTAGCAGAAATGAGGAAGTATTCTTGTCTCAATTGTAACTCTTTGCCTTCAAAGGCATGATCGATAGGATACAGAACTCGAGAAATATGTTCAGCCTGATTGCGCTCAAATATAGCCTAAATAATTGAAATCAGAAGCAAAAATAGGGTGAGATCTCATAAAGGAAACGTGGATTTAGCTTAAACTTAAATCGGTGGTGTTACCTGACACACTTAAATTGTTCTTATCCAAAAGCTATAATTTTTAGTTAGATAAGAGAAACTTTATATATACATTTTTATATAAACTTTTGTCTGATGCTGAAAAGGCTGCTGCTAACTAATTAATTTTTATTAAAATAAATTATTTTCAAACTAAGTATTTTGCATGTTTTAATAACAACGCATTATTGCTACGATCTTTAGTAAAGCAATCAAGATGGGGACAATAAGTTAATAGCAGTGAAATAGTGAACGCTGGCATATATTATTATTCTGAATTAGATGACTTATTACGAAGGAAATTATGCTCTGCACAAAGATTCTAAACCACCGTGTGCGTCGGTGGCACAGTGGTTAGGACTCTCGCCGACCATGCACATGGTCCGGGGTTCGATCCCCTGCCGGCGCACACCCGATATCTATGGTCGGCCTGCAAAATTGGGCTACCGATATCACATGCTGAAAATTCCATACTTGTACCAAAAATACGGTGTGGAATCAAGCTATAATAAATAAATAAAAATAAATAAATAAATCATAACAATTAAAACTCTAGACCCCGCTGAAATCCAGGTCTTCATTTCACTCCAGCCTTATTATTTCACGAATATCACAGTAAATTTTGGCTTTCATATGAATTCTATAGAGCATAGCCGCTACGTGACATTATAGCCAATACTGTTATGAATCAGGTGTTAGTTCAAATTTCAGTCATTAGTTCATTACACTAATATTAGCTTCTCAAACCATAATTATTCAAAACAGCGACTGAAACAGAATAGTTTACCATGCAAAATGTCATATAAAGCTCGTCAAATTATACTCTATCACAGTGCCTAAATTCCATTCTATGCAACAGTTGAAACTGTCGATGAATAAATAGAAGATGCACTATCATAGTGATAAATCCCATTTCAGAGTTCTGTAGAGGCTTGAAACTACCGGTTCGAGTGTGTATAATAGGTTTTTTTACCAATATAAAGCGAAAACAAATCTTTTTCTAAACAATAATCTGAAAGAAAGCATTTAGGTGAGTAATGACCATAGTTAAACAACTAGCACTTATTCTATTCGGATAAACTCATATCATACACTTGGCACTGGACAGCGGCGTGATAAAACCATTCGCTTTGTTCTATTCAAGACTTATCAACCGGATATATCGACATCCCAAAGTACTGGTTTACTCTTTGACACCCAAATCCGTTATCAATCACAGATTAAAAGGCTGATCATTGAGCAAAGAACCTCAAACACTTTATAGTACAAGATTTCGATACGCGTTGTTTTAAACACTACAGCATTGTACCGTAGTTAACTAGGACGGTATAGCCACAAATCGTTTAGCAAGTAGTGGTCATGTAAAACACCTTTTGCTTTTATGTTGTATATATATATATATATATATATGAGATAATAAGATGGTGCATATAAATTGCGCAATTAGTCATAATAGTAGTAGCGATAATAATAATGGTTTTATCAATAATATGGATGAGGAAGTGAGGCAATCTGTGGTAACACGAATAATGAAAAAACAGCATGACTAAACAAACAAATGTTCAGGTGGGAGTAGTCGATAAAGGCTAGTAAAAACAAATGAACCGATTAAGTAATGCTAGATTGTAAGGGAAGTAAATGAGATATGTATTTTAAGGAAGATGTGATAAGATTAAGGGATGATAAGAAAGGGGTTGAAAATATAAACAAGAAGTCATCAGTTGGTTATGTCTTAATAGACCAAGGGAGGGATAATGGCTGTACGAACTTCTTTGCAAAAGACTTCTTATTCGTCTACTGCACACAGCTGAGGTGATAGGCGTTCGAATTATTAAACCTAAACTATGCATTCAAAAGAAGTTCGTACAGCCATTATCCCTCCCTTGGTCTATTAAGACATAACCAACTGATGACTTCTTGTTTATATTTTCAACCCCTTTCTTATCATCCCTTAATCTTATCACATCTTCCTTAAAATACATATCTCATTTACTTCCCTTACAATCTAGCATTACTTAATCGGTTCATTTGTTTTTACTAGCCTTTATCGACTACTCCCACCTGAACATTTGTTTGTTTAGTCATGCTGTTTTTTCATTATTCGTGTTACCACAGATTGCCTCACTTCCTCATCCATATTATTGATAAAACCATTATTATTATCGCTACTACTATTATGACTAATTGCGCAATTTATATGCACCATCTTATTATCCTATAGACAATACACCATTATTGGTTTTTATTTGAATTTTATTTGTAAACTTATAAATATTAGAGTTAAGCCTGATGAGATCTAATTGAAAACAACATATATATACATATATGTATTCATAAAACGAAAGGTTTTCAAGTATTGGTTTTGCAGGGATTTTGTTTGGTTGCATGAAGGATTTCATCATGAGCTGACATTAGTTAGAGAACCACTGGAAAATCAACCAGGGAGTACTGGACAGCTGTTTCGTTCTAGTTCGGGACTCTTCATAGGTACGTACCCACCGGGGTTTGAACCCGGGACCTTCTGGTTACAAGGCGAGCTAGCTCGTACACCATTGAGCCACTGGGACCCGATCAAATGGTCCTTGAATTCTAAATTCTACCAATTCACAACATGGCGTGACCATTTCACAATGTCTTCTTCGATGAGTTACTGCCTCATCTTCAACCTGCTGTACCCTAATGGTCACGGCTTCCCACTAGAACCCCAGGTTAACTGCCTGAATAGGGCCAGTCACTAGTGAGCATCAGATTAATTTTCAAGTATTGGTTTTGTAGGGATTTTTGGTTTTCCAGTGGTTCTCTAGCTGATGTCAGCTCATTATGCAATCAAACAAAACACACATAGACGTGTGTAATACATGTTTTAGTTAATTACGGTGACTGAATGTTATGACGTCCTCGAATGAACTACCTGTCTTACTTAGGACTAACGTAGTGGCTTCACCAACAACAGGTAGTGCCACACATTAATATACATCTTTTTGCCTTGTGAAAGTAACTAACCCACAGGAAAAAAGGTTTATGCGAATACCTAACCAGGGTAAAATAAATAATGAACCACTAAAATTGGTAATTACCTGGCCTTAATTATTCACAATGCACGTGTCTTAAACAGTTTTATATAGTTAGTGAATTAGTACCACAGCCGTTTTACCAACATATTAATTTCAGTTAAGGTGATTATGAATGTGTTAAGTTATTGAAATTTTTCACGAGGTTGTTAATTTATTCTGAATATCCACTACATGTAGCTTAGGAAGATTAAACGAGTAGAAATTATGAAAAATTGAAGCATCACAGCACGAACAGAAGCATTTGCTCCATAATACTGTAGAACTTTAAAAGGAAAATCCCATTTCATAAATGTATACGTATACTGCAGAACATCCTGCTATTGGTGAGCCCAATGCATCAGTTGTAGAAATGCATTACTCTGCTCTTTCTATAGTTTGCAGTAAGCTAGGCTAATTATAGTAAAGTCTATTATCTGAACGCATCCCATAATTTTCTGCATCCAACAATTAATTACTTTAAGTACAAATTTGATATAATACAGACCTTACATTAAAAAAATAGTAAATCGAAAAGTAAATAACATCAATTCAAATTACATTTATATAATCATCATCATCGTGTATTTTTATATCAAAGCCTTTTTTACCCTTAGCTGCCCATAATCTCAGTGTATTGCATGTATTATTGTGATATCCAGGTATTGGAACTTCATATGGTATAGCACATATTGTTTCTGTATCAACCCATTCACAGTGGCCTAGTGCATCTCGTACAACTCTACCACAAAAATGAACTGTGCGTGTACTTTCAGGGCGTTCTTTTTCCCATGGATTTCCATATACCAACCATTCATCTGGTTCTTCTATCTGCAAATTTCAAAAAACCAGATAAATGAAACAGGTAAGCAATTTGTAGATAATGATTATAATAAGACTAAACAATCAAATAACAACTCTCACCTGCCAACCATCTTTAATTTTCTGATGGAAAGCACCATTTTCATAGCGTATTCCATATCCATAAGCTGCCAGACCGATTGTAGCCATTGAGTCAAGAAAACAAGCAGCCAATCGACCAAGACCACCGTTACCAAGTCCTGCATCACATTCCATTTCTTCCAGTTCCTCGATATCCAATCCAAGCTAGAACAAATGAGCGATCATTACTGAAACAAAAAGCCATTGATTTGTTTTCGCATATCATTGCAATATTTACTTTAAAGATACTTAGACATAATGCGTCTAAGTGGAAAAACAGACATACTGAAATTTTTCACAGTTACAGTTTGATGATCTATATAGAACTGTTATTGTTTTTATACTAAATTAGTGAAATATTTTTTTCACAATGCATCACGTAGCATAAGTTGCCTTCGCATTAACAGTGGTAAACTAGTCATTTTTTCCAGTAGTATTTCTGCAAATCACTTTTCCTTGACGGTTCACAAACATTCGAACACTTTTTTATCCAGAAAAGTCTCAGACTTTCCACCAAGGATGGTGATTTTCTTGTGTCACGTGTTCAGTGATTCTTTTTACTGTTCTTATTATACCTTTGCGTTTCAAGTGGAACGCAGGGTCTGAAGCTTTCATGCTTCACTAGCTGCTGTGTTGCATTTACTGCTAACTTTCCCTCTTTCCAGGACTTACTACAAGCTAGGGGAGGTTTAAAACTGCATCAGCCAGGAATCGAATCCAAACTCCTTGAGTAGGTGGTAAGCATTCTACCCCAGAGCCACCTACGAGCAAATTCTCATAAGGAAGGTTGGACATAAATGCACACCTGCAGTAGCCCCTTAGACTACTCAGTCACTTGTACAATAATTCCTGTTTATCTGAATTATTAACTTCAATGAAATTATGATTATAATTTTCGCAAACAATAAAACTTAATTTGCCTGCATGATCTTCAGGGTACCTCAAATACTTAAACTGAATACAGTTAACCGTCTTAGGGACTACTTGGATTCATAAAACCCGAGATAAGAATCTGTTGACCACAGCTTCGTTAGTGAATATACTTAATGATTGCTAGTTTTGTTGCGAATTACTCATAGACAGACAAAGGTCAATGGTTAAGTCTTTAATACAATTCAGAATTGTCCCAATAAGTTTCACAGATAGATTTAAACAATGCAAGTGTACTTATTTTATACCTCATTGTGACAATGCGTTTAAATATCGATGAGTTTGAAAGTCTACTTTCAGAACTAGTAATTTAAGGAGATTTATTTTCTTTTTGAAACCACTTTTAAATATTCTGTTTTGCTTTGCAAAGGATGATGAGTCTTCATTATATATGCAACCATATGTATACTTAAGCTGATAAATATCCCTGGTATCCTGTTTCATTTAGCCCGATGGCGTACAGTTAACTTATGATCATCTGGAATCTCAGGATATCCCATCGGTACAGAAAGAACTGCTTACTGCATATCATTTAAAGAGAAGATGAAAGCATTGATCTTCTTTACGATTAAGAAGCAAATTAATGTATTTGATTCATTTGGGAAAATTTACCCATTATTAGGTCAAATAAGGTAAACAGGTGCTCTAATAGATTGTCTCTGACTTTAGATAACTGAAAAAATTCCAGTCTGTTTTGTATTTATTAATCGTAATTCACAAGACAAACTATAGATTCATTACCGTCATTTGGCTAGTAGAATAAAATAAAAACTGTTGCCTTGAAAAACTCAACAGATTTATTAATTCTACCCCGAATAACCTATTCCTGTTAAGGTAATCCCCATCACTAGGTATACTGAACCATTTGATGAACCGCCATCTTTTGATTTGTTTGAAGTGATCAAATAATAATAATAATAGATATATTTCATAAGATGGAAAATTGAGAAATATTTCAGAGTGAGTTTACTACTAAGTTGTATACCAGAAAACCACTAGTCAAAATTAAGAACCCTAATACCTGCCCAAAGTGACTTCATCGAATATCTATAGAACAACAGATATATTTATTCAGTATGAATTGTTACAGTAAGTTAATAGTGTAAATAAGCTTAGTCAGCCCTTTCTAGTATACCGCTAGAGAGTGTTTGATTAAACTCGTGACGCAGAAATTTGTTTGTCATTAGTCAACAAACCGATTCTCTTCAGTACACTGACCTTAAGATGTTAAGGTATTTTTAAGTGTAAATGAGCTGCATTTTTACCCACATTGTTTTAACTTATTATTCATCAAATATATGACAAACAACAGACGCTTATAACAGGTTAGTGTTGACTTAAACCAATGCACACAGCTACCACCTTATTAGAAATATTTAACTTCACTTCGGCATAATAGTGGTGATAATTCGATTGAACATGTCTAGTTCTACTCCTGAAATGACTCATTGGTAAATTTCGTATTTACTGCCACATAGCCTCCTAATGACCTTTTTTTGTATTTTAGTTTACAGCATACAGAAATTCAGGCTGTCCGTAAATGGGCAGTATGCATTTCAAGTTTCCGTGTCACCTTGACTAATAAACATATGTCTGATTTAGAAACATTATGGACGCTTTTAGATATTTTCGTTTATTTGAATTAACTAATGTTTGACTTCTATTAATATACCATACTTCTACTTGGTGTTTATTTATTAACTAATTGGCTTGAAAAGCAGCATGCGTCATCATATGGATTCAAACGGACCGACCAAAACGCCCATCATGTGATTATCACACAACTATACAGTAGCTCAGTCAAACTCCAATAGTCCTTAGCGTGTAGCTCTCGATATACTGTTGATGATGGCTGTTATTACATTCTGAATAATTACTTCCACTAGTGACCATATTTGTATAACATCCAACCCGAAGCAATCTACTGATTTAAAGTCGATAAGGAATCATATTTACATGTTAGTGAGACTGTAGTTCATTAGATGACCCATTATCATCTCAGTGGTTGAGATTTAACCGCTGAATCTGCAGGCCTAACATTAAATACCGAAATAACACAATACTAATATTTTTGTTACTGACTTAACAGAAAATTACATGGATGTGTTCAGTTTTCCAAAATAACTAGTATATGTAGTGATTCATTCAGTCCACTTGGTGTACACACTCAATAAGTGAGAGGAGAGGGTGTATGAAAAATGTTTAAAAGACAGAAGCTTTCATAATTCAGGGTGGTTTCTCCAGGATGCTTTTAAATTCATCTGATCGAACATATGTGAAATGAGAAGTATTTTTTAGTCGGAAACAATTTATTTAATTTAGATTTACAATCATTATAGATTCCCTGATGATAATGTAGAACTTCGCTTATCAAAATTTCAAGAGTAACCATTAAATTAACAGTCAAGTAAACACTAAACTATATATGTCAAAGGAACAACTTCTGCTGAGAAAACATGGTTCGTTTGGAAATCCATACTTGCAGTTTCCTGATGAAACTCTAGTGACTTTGTTTAGAATTAAAGTCTATTTTAATGGAGCCAAGATTTATTTCAGGATCTATGAATATATATTTAAATCGTTGAAATATTTCACGTTAATTGTCAAACCAGAAACCCAACTAGCTAATATAATATCTGAAATAAAGTGACTAAATAGATGACTGTGGTCCTAATTGACGATTACTTCAGCGCTACTGTTTCGTCCTTACCGATTAGATTCAGTAGCCAATACACGACAAAAGAAATATGACCGCTAATCACTAGTGTTTCTCTGAAAGAAATCCTGATCTACGAAGAAATTAAGAGAAGAAATATCAAGGGGATGAAGGCGTTATATTGTGCAGAGACAGATGCTCAGAAGACAAGATTTAATATTAATCAGTCTCCGTTCAGTTTGCCAAAGGCTGCACAAAATGCCTATTAAAGAATATAATTTAGGCACTGTGATATAGTGTAATTCCAGAATAGAATAATTTTATTTGGTATAACACACACTTGAACGGTGTTATTTGGCTATTGGTGACGTTACGGGCACACAACAAAATTCTTCTTTGGGATAATAGATAGGCACACTTATTACAAACACTTAAACTGGTCAGTTTCCTGTTTTTCTTATCAGATGCTTTCAGAGTAACAGATATGCCACTATTTTCAGTCAAGGCATATTCTGTAGTTAGACTAACAGGAACACGGAACGTCTACCATCATTATTCTTACAAGCACTCAGAAGCTCTTGTGAACAAAAAGCGTAAACAATTTGATATATAGCCTGAATTTATGAAAATGATCGTTCTTACGCGTGTTTTTTCAACTCACTTGGTACATGACTTCATCCATAGCTTCTGCTGCATCTACATTAAGCATTGTATTTTTAAGTGTACGACCCATAAAAAATTCCATTGATAAAAAGTAGACCGTCTAAAATAGTAAAAATAATCAAATTTGCTCCTGTAACAAGCAAGCATAATGCATTTTGAATTTAATTTAGGCAAGGTTTCTAATGACTGAGTATAAAACATTAACTGGAAATTAAATCCGATGGGAAGACAAAAAGGATAAACATATCTTAAGGTTATCTAGGGAAAACTAGTCACTTTGGACATGTGAAGCTGCCTATTTCGTCTACTTCACCTGCTACTTTTTAAGTATTTTACCAAAAGGATATTCCTTTTTTGATATGTGGAAATCACACTCGTCCAGTAAGTTCAGTAAATCCTAAAAAAATGTTCTAAATAAGAAACATGCTTTGTTAACTTCGGAGAATTTATTTGACAAAATAAAAATCATTCTTAAGGTGTGAGAGTCACTTAAATTACCTCTTGCTTAAGAAGAAAAACTTCAGTTCATTAATTCGAGGGAAAATTTGTTAATTAAAACATAGGTAACAATCAGATGATTATTGTTCTGCTTTTAAATTCATATGCATTAATTAATTGGAGGGTCACAAATAATATTCCCAACAGGTTGCATACCTTTATCAACAGCTGTCTTCTATCTATACTGAAGATCAGATGGCCGGGAAGAATCACCAACAAGAAACTATGGGAACAAACAAACGAAATAAGAACCAATCGCCCAACAAATATGCAGGAGAAAGTGGAGATGGATTGGACACTCGCTGGGGAAGCCACTGGGCGATATCACGCGTCAGGTCCTCGAGTGAAACCCGAAAGGGAAGTGGTGAGTGGGACATCCAGGGGTGACATGGAGGAGATCGTATGAAGAGGACTAACATGGATGCAAGCGAAAAGTACAGCAGAAGACAGAAGCAAGTGGAGACGTGCAGTTGAAGCCCTATGTTCCACTAGGAACCCAATGGAACGATAATAATAATATTTTTAGGCTACAATAAATGAACAACCAAAATAACATTTAAAAGGCCATGCATAATAAACTTTACTTGATGCACTCATAGATGTCACGTCAAACATAGTTTTTGAATAGTGTGCCGATAATAGACGTACTTCTTAAGATGGGTGTACCCATTTCAGCTGTCATACTCAGTACTCATGCATAGGTGACACACTACTGTTTTTACAAACTTTTTATCAAGTTTACTATTTACGTATACATTTTTGACATTAAGTATCTAGTGATGAAACAAATACTTTGATTGACAGTAACATATGAAGTTTGCATATAAAGTAGTCAACTAAAGTCCTGAATTTTACCAGTGAAGAAACTAGTTCAAACTTATGTCCTTCTCTGGCCTCATGCTGACCGGAACAAACACTTGTGTTTCACATGAATACCCAGTTTATCCTATTCTCTAAATACTGTTTTATAAGTGTTCACTAATTCACGTAATACAAACATCTGTGTATTAACTTCCTGTTTTTAACTGTACGACATAGTTTTTACACACAATGACTTCACACTCTTAGAGTATAAATGACGTATTGATAAACTATTTGTTTGCTGGTCACACTAAAACCTGGACAAACTTACGTGCACTTATTTAAATAGTCTAATAATAAGCACTTTTCTGTTATTTCAAAAACGGTATTAAGATTACGTATGAATATATCAAGAATAAAAAACTAATATAGATAATTTTCGGTCCCAAAACCTAAAAGCTTTTTCCTGAGTTATAAATACCTAATTATTGCCGATGCAGAGCTTTAGTGAAGTGGTTCGGGTTGAAAACAAGTTTAAACTTACGAACCTGAATGATCTATAAGTATGGCCATAATCTAAAAGCATAGTTAAGCCAGATCCTTTAACACGCATCGCAAAACGCCGTTAAATTCAACTGGTAAAATAAAACTTGTAAATACGGTAAATAGAAAGAATGCTGAGCGAAATAATGAATTAAAAAGATCCAATATGATAGATTCTGTAAAGGGGTTGAGCTCACCACATAAGAAAAAGTAAAGCATTACAAGTTAAGTACATTCGAAATAAACAGCTGTTTGTTTAATGGTTAATGATTTTTAGAAAAACCATAAAGATGAAAACAACTCATCAGAAGCCTACAGAGAAATTAAGTAAACCGAATCATGCAAAGAAATCTTATAATGGTAAATTCAGGACTAAAATTCTGTGAAGTTTTCATTTAAGTTTTCTATTGTTACGTTTGTATGAACAACTGGTGAAAACGTCGCATTCGCAGTGAAGATAGAAGTGTGCACCCATTTAAAAATGGGGCGAAAAAGGCTGTATCTGACTTTAATCACCTAAATTTTCATAGTTCTTATCTTTCCGACCTTCTCACTTGTTGAAATGCACCATCTATTAAGTCTCTAGTTACCTGAGCACTTTTTATATGAATGTTGACTAAAATTGTGGACATTTCCTGAATTGTCTAATGTAGAGCCTATTTTATGGTACAGTTCCTCGTGGTGTGCCTCAAGCAGTATAACGTTGGGTCAAACTTGAATGAAATACCCACTACCACTGCAATATTAGTTAGCAGCATGCGCATTTGTCCACAGTGACACTCGATGAAGGTAGAAAACGCACACATACACAAAACAAATACTCGTGAACACCAATGCTGGTATAAATGATATGATTTAGAAGGTTAACAGGAGAAATTATTTGTTACAACCAACACCGCCATCCCTGGAACAGAATAAAAGAACTTAAAGACTACACGTTGCGACTAAAATCTGTAGATTGCTAAGTATTACTGTTTAAAAGGGTTTGTTCCCACTGGCCTATAACAGATTTAGAAATTTTCGAAATGTTTACTTTAGAAATGCAACATCATTTGTCCAAAATTCAGCTGATTTTCGACCTATAAACCTAAATAGTTTGCATTAGACAACTTTGGCCACCATATCCTTAACATATACACGCTATTTTAAACCAGATGTCTTACTCAAACTTGATGGTTGATGTTAATAGGGCGGAAATAATAACAATACCACATTTAGGGGCACCAAAACTAATTTTACGGCAAACATTGCTAGTAACATATAATTATATCATTATTACTCGAGATTTATCTTGGTTCCACATAACATAGTTTTTTGAAGAGTTAGTGATTATGCAGACAAATGAAGAATTGTATAACTTTTCTTGTATTTTTTTGTTTTAGAAGTTATCTTTGACTATGCAATATTTTTGAGAACTACCAGTTCAACTGCCGTCTATTATAAAAAATTAACAAATCCGAACCTAAAACCCTTGGATAACAGTTCTGCTCGGCACATAGAGTAAAAGGTCACACAAATCATGAAATTTACTTTTGTCATTGCAAAATGCCACAAAATATACATCGTAAATAGCGGTGATCTATGAAGAAGAATGGAGAAATAGAGTGAAATTATCAGAAAATGATGGTGTGAATTGCTATTTCACACACCTGCATTTCAATTTAGGGCTAATCTTAAGTGGCAGAGGCAAACACAAATCAAGCGACCAACAGCTGTATGGGAAGAAGTGAATAAACATAGGGCAAACGATGGCAACCAAAATGCATGTTTCCTTTCATTAATATGGGCAACCATGAGCGCTGCTACACAGTCTGTAATCATAGGTCCTTACTACTCCAAGAACCTCTCTCAACCAACCAATGCTTCATTAGAGTGTTATTCCAGACTTTTAACGATTCCACAAAAGTGAAACAATAGTGTAGAAGCATTTGTTTCACTAAAGCCCAACAACAAAAGTACTATCCAGTCGCCTAAGTTTAAGAGATACACTTAAAATATACAACTACTTAATATTTTCCCGCTACATAATTGAGAAGAAGCAGTGCGGAGAAAAGTATACCTTATTACTTCAAAAGTGAGATAAAATAATCAGGTAAGAACTCTTTTGCACCTTCCGCAGTTCCCAGCTGTTTAATAATATCTTGTCAACTATCTACATTCTTTAACAAAGAACAAGTAATTTCTATAAAGCAAATTCTACTTAATCACATTCATCCCAGTTTGTATAATGGTCGCGTCTTAACTCCAAACTTAAACCGATACCTAGCAAATTACAGTAACACGTAATGAACACGGAAAAACACAAAATGCTTCATATTTACCCTCTTTTTATTAACAACCTGTTATACAGACTTTTAACCTAGAGAATATTCACTTGGAACTTACCATTAAACTAAGACTATGAATTAAGTTCTCAATTTCGAGACCTGAAAACGCAAAACATTCATTCAACATCCAAGGGTGTTTGTATTATCTAAAGATTTGCAGCGGCAGCACATTTATCAAAACTTGAAGTATATAATATTCTCTTAATGAAGCAGAGGAGATTAGCATGGCATTTACTCATGGATGAAATGAGAAACCGTTAAGCGTTTTATATTTTCTGATTCATGCTATGGCTTTCTTATAATTAGGGAAATACTTTCACAGAGACAATCTCTGATCCTTACTAGAACGTATGAGGATACAGCCAATTATAGTGTTCGGAGCATTAGGACGCGAATGTGGATCTGAATAATCTTCTATCCAGCTATCCAGAATGTCTTAACATCTCAGAGAAGATGGAAAATAAGTTCAGAAGCCAAGGGTGAACCGTATTTTTATGGAACACTGGATCTCTTGTAGATTCATTCATTCTCGTAATAGACTCCCAGAGGCAGTGGCGCCTGCATTGTCAATTGAGTCACTCAAGAAGGGAACACACAATGTTTAGCATGCTCGAAGTCATCCATTCTCAGTAAAGAAACTTGAATGTCTGTTCTATTCTAGTAAGAAATATTTTATAATATCTAACTTCTGTTTCTTTCATGCACCTAGATATGTTGAAAAATCTCATGGAGCAGAAGCTTACTAACCTGTAATGGGAAAATGATATATTATAATGAAAAAGCCTACAGAAAGCATTATTAAATGTGTGAGATTACCAGTTGTTTCTTTCTAACCACACCAAATAAGAAATTTCCTTACTATTAGAATATTTATACACTTCACAAAACTTCAAAAAAGGTGTTTGTACCTTCTAGTAGGAAAGTTCTTAAATATTAAATACTACTCTTAAATTAAACACGCCATCTCACACTAGTAATGACAAAAATTTAAAAAAACGTTTATGGAAAAATACCTTTGGATCTTCTGTGGCATAAACTTCACGTGTCCTCATCCACCTAGAACACAGCTGTTCCCAGACTGTTCGAGCCAAAGCCACATAGAAATCACGCATTGTAGCTATATTGCGATCTTTAACCACATAAAAATGTAAGTTTCTGTTGAAAGAATCCCTCAGAGTAATCGCATCTTGTTCTATATGTACATTCTTAAATGAAGAAGAACGCCTGCTTCCCATTGTCCAGCAATAACAAATAAATTAGTTGAAATACGAGCCACGCAGTTAGTTAATGAAAATGAATTAATAAAACGACCCCTTCAGATTTTCAATATAAAACCCTGTACTCTCTAATTGATCATTAAATCCTGTTGTTCATCAAGGACTGTATTGTATCTGATCAATAGGTGATCCAGAAACGTCCTGTTACGTTTTTGAATTACAGTGGGTCCAATACCGACACAAGTAATGGGCTTCTATGCATAGACAACTTTGCCGTCTTTAACGAAATATGACGTTTTCTACACATAAGTAAGGAGTTCAAGGCTATATAAATGATTCGGAATGATTAGTGACCGTCATTATTAAAGAAAGAATGCTACTAAATGATTTGTTCTCATTAACAAAAATGACTGTAGGATTGAATCAGGTTATTCTGACATCTCTTCCCATTAAATCCTCATAAACTCTCTGTTAACCCTCCTCTTAGGTTTTTTATATCGTTTTGGTGCATCTACCTCAATGCGAAACATGCACTGTTTCCCTAAATTCCTTTTTTTAAAATATGAACTGAAGTATTCAACCACAGGTGTCATAGTAAGTTTCGTCACGCCACACGAAAACTTGATTGAACAGCCACAATGCATCCCGCGGGCAGTCCTCTATTTTGCTGTAGCCCAAAGTATAAAATTAGTTGCAAAAATTTACTAGACAACTGCACTCTTATAATTCGCCATCGGGTTCTTACCCTAACCATTTAAGCTGACTGGTTAACTTAAATGTTCACTGTCAACCAACTAAGCCTTTCTGTAAGCTATAGTGTAACTTTCCTCTATTCCTGCATGATCTGTAGTTATATGAAAACGCACCTTGGCTTAACAGAATGGACATCTAAGTATACTCCGTATTTCGCACTACAGAACTGTTATTTCAACTAGGCTCAATGAGTGCTTCCTGGTCAGTATCCCAGGCGCTGTCATTATCACATACTAAGAAAACTCAATACGTAGAAACTTGAGTGCCCACTTAACTCCGCTTGACTTAAGCCATGTATCCAGTTAGCATACAAACGGCTATGATGCATATGCTTAACTATATTCGTGACGGAACTGATCTTCCTAGTATTTTCCTATAGCATCCGAGATTTGTGTTTGATTTATGTCGTAGGTTTGAATTGTCACATTCGTACATACATATAACTCTCGCTAATGGCAAATTATGACATCATTTTTGGACCAAGAAGAGTGCGTGATCTGGGCTGTATTTGAAGGAAATCTTTTCGAGTACTCTTCTAATTGTCGCTAATTGTCACTGTATTTAAATTTGTAATATGTGTCTCTACAACATAATTAAACAGTCAGTGTACTGCAACTAAGTCATCTCCATGACATATCATGTATCTGTGGTATATTAGGGCACTTTGCAGCTAGTTCTTATTCCTGGATCAGCATCTAAAGCTATTTTAGAAGCTAAGGGTGTTGACGTTCACGGATAGTACGAAGTATACTAACGCAAGATCTAATACCTACAACTTCTGTAGTATTCGTTCCGCGTAGACCAAAAGCAAAGCAAAACACCAGAAATGATCGTCCAAATTACGAGTTATATTTCGAGACCAAATCGGAATGCAAGATAATTGCATAACTAGCTAGGGATCGTGCGCGGACAAACGAATGTAACACGACTGCGTGCCGAACGGCGTGGATGCTTGACTAGAAGCATTTTGCTAAACGAACAGACAAAGCAGTGAGGTCAGCATCCAATGTTCAATGATGAGTGCTGTAGCCAATAATTACAGGGAATTACCTACCGCTACACTATTAAGGATCATGAGCAGAAGTGTCAACTTCGTCACACATCTAAAACCGAGAGTTTAGAATACAGTATAGTGGCCTAACTGATTTCACTATGGACCTGACAGACCACCTAGAGCTATCTCATTCAGATCAACACAGTAAGGGACAATATGTTGAGCTGATGTTATTCATGTAAAACGGAGTTGGCTAATTTACGTACAACTCGGACGGGTTGAAAATGGACTTGGGTAATCTAGGCAACTGAATATTAGTACAATATTCATGAACATCAACTTCAGAATGCCCCCATAGGAGCCAAAATTTACTGTTGATCACGACAGTCATTTGTATTTCTAAATTTTGGTCATCGTGTCAATGCATAATCACCGCTAAAATCCTTCATGTTCTTATAGATTTTGGAGTACAAGTTCAAATCATTCCCTATTTCCCTTTGAAAACAATCCAAATCAAATCCCTCAGTTCTAGTGCCTCAAGTTGTCTTTGAGATTCACAGCATCAGATTACGGTTAGATGATTGTTCGCATTATTGTCACGCTACATTTCATGTTTAAGCTAACGTTCAAGTCCAGGTGACTTTTCAAGGATGAGGTGAAATTATACATTATTGTTTATTCTTATTCCCTTTGGTTCCAACAACACATCATCACTAAGTTCTGTGTGTTACTGTCCTCTTTAGGTGGGCCCACAACTCTCAATTATCTCTCATCTCCTCCTCTCACGAACTCCTCCATGTCAACCTCGGTTGCCTAACTCTTAATTTCTCACTCGTGTTCTACTCGATAGCCTGGGACGCGATGTCACTCAGCTCATCTCCATTTTCCGCTACATATTATTTGAACGACAAGTTCTTGGTTAGTTTGTTACAATAATTTCTTGTTACTAATTATTTTTGGCCATTCAATATTCAGTATGGAGCCAGAGAAGGCAGCTGTTGATAAAAGTCTTCAACTGTTGGAAATCATTTTCGTGATGTGCCAAGCTTTTGACCCTGTGGTTGAAACGATGCCTCCTAGAGAAGTGAAGGCAGGAAACAAACTCTTTTAAATCTCTCCCATTAATGGTGATTAGTGCTGCTTGTCGTTGTTGTCGTCGTTGCATGGTTATCTTCATCAACTCCGTCTTCTCTGTCTTCGCAGCCAGCTTTTTCATCCAGCAAATCTTAGAGTCTATGTGAAATGAGAAAACTAGGTCTTCTAGAGTCTTCTTATCGGTGGTCAGGCATATTCCTGATTCCTCGCCCCCAACAGTCGGACGCATAACCCAGTCCACCACAATTAAGAATATCAGGCGTGATCATAGGCAGCCAGCTTGTCACATTTTGACATTGTCACATAGCCAGCTATTGAATGAGGTTGATAAAGATTCTAACACTGTACGCCATAGTGTCCACGTAGTTTCCATATCACTTCGAGGCCAACACTGTCTAGTGAAGGCCTTTTTGAAGTCGTTGAAGTTGAGGTAGAGGTTTGACTGGCATTCAATGTTCTGTTCGATGACGATACGTGGAATCGCGATTTGATCACCGCATGATTTGCCTTTCATGAATCCAATTTGTTCCGGTAGACTGGCGGATTTCTGTATCCAGTGTATCTTTTATTCTCTCCAGGACAGCGCGACCTAATGTTTTACTTGGTGGGGACAAGAGCATTATATTGCGCCAGTTCATGCAGAGGCGTAAGTTGCCCTACCTTGGCAGCTTGACGAGGTAGACTTATTTCCAAAACTTTTTCAATAATGGCGTGAGTCCATCCGCTGCAGTCTCTGGATCCGCTTTCAGTACTTCGAGGGAAATTCCTTTTGGCCCCGGTGCCTAACCGGACCTCAGTAGCTTGACCGCATTCAAGATTTCCGCTTTTGTTGGAGGATTAGTGTCCACTGGTAGGCAGTTCTGAGTGTTGTTATTTTAGGGCGATGGTCGATTCATGAGTCTTTCAAAGTGATCAGCCCGTTGTATCATTTGTTTTCCTTCCTTGATAATTAGGTTCTTCCAACCATCTTTTGCAGGCTTCACTTGCGTCTCTCTCTTCCCGGATACTAACTTGGTTATCGCATATAATGTTCTCAGGTTTCTTTTTCCTGCTGCCCGCCTGTTCTGCTCCATTCGTCCGCCAGTGTGCTGTAGAATTGTCTTTTGTCTTTCCTAGCACTCTTCTTCACTTCTTTCTTGATTCGTTTTGGTGTGCATTGCTATGAACTTGACTGTTGTCCATTTTTGCATTTAGTTATCCTCTCTTCCACTATCCTCCTCTCCTCAATTAGAATACAGGTATCTGTTGAAAACCCTGCCTTGTCTTGCCTCTTCTTTTTCTTAGAACAGATGTACACGTTTCCTTGAACATCATCTTCAGAGAGTTAGTTCCGATGTTCTTCCACTCAAGTTTCCTCCGTAATGCCACGTAGTGTCTCCGATTTTGCTCTGATCTGATCTGCAGCGAAAGCATCCATTGTCTGCAATTGGTCCCAAGGATTTCAGCTTCAACTTGAAGGTTCCTCGAACTAGATGATGGTCTGAGCCAACATCTGCTCCCCTCCTCGACTTTGTATCCAGGCTGCGTCTTCAATTCCTTAAGCGACGTCGGAATGAAATCTGTTTTGTGGTGAGTCTGTCAAGCAAAATCCATGTTGCTTTGTGTATATCCTTGCGTTTGTACACACTGCCTCCGATCACCAGGTCATTGAAAGCGCAGAAGTCTGCGAATAATTCTCCGTTCTCATTCATTTCTCTGTAGGAGAGCCTGACGACCCATGATGAATTCTCCTCTCGTATTATCTGCTCCTAGTTTGGCATTCAAATCACCAATGATCATTTAAATGTCACCATTGGTGATATTGTTGTTAACTAGCGTCTGTGGTTGTCTGTCCTTCCTCTTGGGTTGAATCTTGCTGTCGTAATCCTGGATGATATTGCTTCCCACTGTATTAGAACTTTGGCTGCCACTGGTGAAATCATTATAGCCAACCCTCTCAGTGTGCTCGTGGTTGTCATCTAGGTGAACGGAGTAGATTACTGACTGTCCAGTTGACACTTTGGATAATGAACACACTTTCCATCTGCTTTTGCAGATACCCAACACATCTATTCCAGCCCTCTGTGTCATTCCGCCTCTCCGATTCCAGCTAGGTATAAGATCGTTCTTTGAAGTTTTGAATTTTTAATATATTCTGTCTGCGCAGAAGTTTCATTGGGAGTTTGATGGATTTAGTGGCGTAGTTTTGTGAACCTTCCGCGCAACCCTACATCTTTACCAGGTCTTGGGACCGGCTAGAAAACTAGCAAGCTTGTTAACTAGGCGAGGTTTCTCCAAAAGTGGATCGATATATATTCGGGATAAAGTGATACGAAAGCATATATCAGGGAAACTTTTGTATTTTATCAGAAAAAAGATGTCATTGAAACTGAGGATGTGCGTCATAATGTATAAATATCTTAGGATGGAAAAGTGTCCCTACTACCCTCGCCTTCCATAAATCTCAGTTCAGCAACTGAATAAACTAAAGAAATGTCTACATTTATTGTGGAAAAAGAATTATAGAAGTTCGAAATCCAACGGTGGATTGACTCAAGATATCATCATTCACTCACTGATTGAATATCGATAGAACGTTTTGTTTAACTGTGTCGGTTGCATTAACTTATTTCTCACTTTTGACGCTGACAAATTGTGAAATGTTGTCTGACGCCGAGAAAAGGAAGCAAATTAGTGTTAGGGGGATAGCTCAGTTGGAAAATGTGTCTAATCTTAAGGCCGGATTCAATAGGCATCTTCACTTTGACGGTGTGAAGGACAGGAACGTTGCTACATCTCTTGACTTCTATCATGCACTGGCACGTACTGTTTGGGACCATCTTTGTTCACGATGGATTCGAACTCAGCAGTTTTATCACAGAGAAGATCCTAAGGTTAGAAAATAAACAATGTTTTTGTTGATTTTTTCCACTGGCGTGTGCTTTCCTGCCCGATTTCTTGCAAACAAAGTTAGTAGCTTTTTTATCTATACGCCTACTAGCAAAGGCGTCTAAGTTTACACATACACTATATGAAAAGCACAGTTTCCTTCTTACCATAGCAAGTTGCGGATGTTATATTGTTTTTCTGACGTATATGTATCCAAGATATCGCCAGTGCTCTATAGTGGAGTGATTACTCTACAATTGTAGGCTTGGGTCTCCCTCTATTTGAAGAGACCTACAGTTATCCTGAAGTAAAGCTCGTAAATTCTGAACACCCACTTTCTACAGCGTGTTAATTCTGAAAATATCCTGCAGTAGTTTGATTTTCCGCATAACATAAAACCTGATTCTTTTTCTCATCACTGCTGGCAATAACTCAGCATTCTGTACTTTTCTTCGGCATCATCATCAGTAGTTCAGACCCTACTGTGTTTGTTTTCAGCACAGACAGACCTAATTCAGCAGTAAATAAACATATTTCAGCATAGCTCGTATTACCCAATCGTTCGGTGCTATTTTTAAGTACTACTAGCATTAGTTCAGTGCATACCAGGTTCCTTTTAGGCACACAAAATATTCATTTACCATAAAACGGCACTATTAACGCATATTTCAGAATTACTGTGAGCTTGAAGACATCAAACTGTTGTTTAATTAGCAACTTCTTACAGCATATGACGCATTTATCCACCAATCTGAAGTGAAACACTCCAACTCTCTCCGTATTTTTCTTTGGAGTTATGTTGATTGTTTTCTCGCCTTGCCCTCCTTGGTAAGAAACATGTCCTTATAAAACCAACACCAGACGTATTATCTTGAGTTACTCCTATTAAAATATGAAATTTCTAATGGGCTTTCATGTTGCCATTGAATGATCTTAATTATAAATTGTATGTTTTTCATAAATTAATGAATTAGAATACTTCAAGCAGGTGCTTACTAATTTTTTAGCCAATAAAATCTCGTTAACCTTTACTTTTTGCTTCTAGCTATGTACGCATAGCTTTGTTGATATTTTATATAGTGCTAAGCAAAAAAATATTTCTAGGTGATCGTAGTTAAAGATTTCCTGTTGGTCTGTCTTTTCCCACTGCATCATCATGACAAAATAAGCTAAACAGTTCTTGGAATAAATATCACACTGTTTGTTTGTAGTAGTGAGATCGTAGGGGATTGTTACAAGATTCCATATTAGATAAATTTATTTCAAATATCACACAATGATGCAGTACTGTGGAACCAATTAAATCAAACCCTTACAAACCAACACTTGCATATATTTTTCTCTTTCCCTCTTCACCTTGTTGTTTACCGCCATTTTACATTTCTGAGATATAGGCGTTGAGTCATTTCGATTGCACGTGTTTCGTGCTGAATCGACAAAAAAAGCTTCAGTGATTGACCTGTCTTTCCACCTGACTGTATTACTTTTAATACTTTCACTCTATCCCACCCTATTTTGTGATTACATGAAAGTGAATGCCATATAGTAGCTGAGCTTTATTCTAGGTTATTTTACTTGGCAGGGTCAATCATTCTAAGTCTAGGTCTAACAATCTGATTCACCCTGGTTTGCTAGTTTAACCTATGTAACTGACCTCACTCACAGTTATTAAATGGTGTTGAGTAGATTATTTAATTTTTCTTAACTGGATCTGATGGGTTTTTAAGCCAACAAAGTTTATCTCTGAGAGACTTGGTTAGTTTAAATGCCACTCTAATTCTATCCCCATAGAGAATCCTATGTAATGCCGGATAAAGAAGGAACATCAAAGGCCTTACTTTGGCTTATACCAGAGACATGGAAAGGGAAGACAAACAACAAGGGAAAGAAAGAAGAATATCTATAAGACGAATTATGAAGTCGTGTGACTATGGTTATAGTTTTGATCAATCAGTTCTGCTTAGACGTCATCCAGTTGTTAATATTGCATCATAGTATGATATTTGAGATAAATCTATCTAAGATGCAATTACATTTTATCAGTGTCCAAGTTCTACAGTTACATTACTGTTATGTGATACTAAGCACCTTCCTTAATAACAAGACAAAGTCTTTTCGGAATCCTGTGTCAGTGCTTAGGAAAATGTAATTATAGATAAGTATTCTACTTTTCTAAGTTCGTCTTCAGAAGTAAGTTTTATTGAAACCTTAATGTCTGTCAGAAATTTGTTAAGTTAGCTCAGGTATGAAGGACAGTTTTAGAAACAAAATGATTGTAGAAACCAAAAAACTGTGTACTGAAATAATAGAAACTAAAAGCGACATTATTAGCTACAATATGTCCAGTGTTCATTTCTCAAGCACTTTACAAAGTTGAGAAAGTTTTTAAGTCTTCAGACATTAATTTAATACAACTACTTTACTTAAACAGTTACGCGACATGTGTATACAAACACCAGTTGCATCAGCCATTAAGACATCATATAATTAGATAGTTTTGACCTAAATATTTTCTTGGCGAAGATTTACCGATACTTATTGCACTCAATACTGCGTTGATGTGCCTAATAACTAGATGTCTACAGTGTATTCGATGTAATACGAGACTGTGGTAAGTTATACTGTTTGTAACTGTGTTGTTTCTGCCTAAGGCGAAAATGCATTTAAATCTGCATGCACTGAAGCAAGCAGCATTATAAATTCGAGATTTTTGCTTCGTGAGAGTATCGTATTTTGGATTTTTATCTATCTTTCAACTTTGTTGGTATTCCAGACTTGATTTGAAAAAGTTGTTCCACATAAATACATAAATGTATGTGAAAATCTGATCATGAATTAAATTTCAAATTTCAAACCTCACCCAATTTTATATTGGGAGACTGTAATTCAGATCCTATCCGTCTTGAAGCAACCATACAATCTTCAAAGTTCAATTTAACGTGTATAAAAAATCATGCGTGTCACTGCTTAACTCATCAAAGTAAAATTCATTGAAAGGGTTATTGTATCAGTTGACTACGGGATTAAATTCCAGTATGAGTAGGCTTTCTAACCCTGAATGTTAGCAAAGTTAGTTTTAATCTATGCACCATACCTGTAAAATTCCATTCTTCTGATTTTTAGCGCATATACTACTTGTCTCTGGAGTTCTATATGGGTCGCAGTTTGACCAATACAATGATGAATGTAAATATATCGGCCGCAGTTGATGAAGCTATGTACCAGGTAATTTGACGTCCTTCAGAACACTTTTTCGGAGCATAAAGATATGAATAATGATTTTTACCACTTTGTACTTACCTTGACAGATTAAGTATTCATGTGTTTAGTGTGTTTTGGTTTAAGTATTCATCTAACATCATATCAAATGAGTGTATGTAGTAACTTAATCACAGTAGAATAATAAATGTAGCTTATGTAAAAGGTCAACCAGTGGGACCCCGTCAAACTCAATTGACTTCTATATAGCTTTTAAGGATGAAATTAACACAGTTGAAATTTCAGATTATTTAATTGGTTTAATTGATAGATTCTTTATCCATGCTTCAGTGTTTTTTCGTTGTTTATTCATTATTGTAAATTCAGCTTGCTCTTATCATTCAAACTAAGACTGATTTACTGCATTATAGGTTACTTTACTGTGATGACCCTTTTCGATATAATTCAGTAAAGTTGAAGGGTTCAAACCATAACTCCTGTATCATGCTTAATTGCACTATGCTGATATCAAAAGTTAAAGGATGAAATAGACTTTTAACTGACAAAATTGTTCATCACTGCACAGTATCTTAGCTTCACTCTGGTTGTCAGTATAATGGATGCGGAGGTAACGTTAAATGTTAAACATTTAGTTGTTAACACTGATATTTAATTATGGTCAATTATGTCTCTGTTTTGCCTGAAGTTTCCTGTAAAGAAACGTAAACTTTAGTGAAGCATGTGCAAACTAGCTATTAAACTTTAAGACGCCTAGCTATGTTTTGATGTGATATCTTTAATGGTGATGGGATCAACCCTCCCCATTAAAGTTATTAGATGTTGTATAGATAATCTGATCTGTTAGGCAAATATCTGGGCATGCTGATATATTATTACCTGCATAGCTTGTAAGTTTTCGCTTTATGTAAGCGATTGTGTTACCGATATATGCTTAATTGAGTGGACCAAACAAATTGAGTTCGTTTGCGTCAGATAGACTGTACTATGTGTCAGAAGAAAGGTGACTTGTCTGTAGCATTTATTTGCCATATCAACTAGTTATATGCATTAACGGGATTTCAAGCTCGCCATATCTTAATTATCCTTTCGATCCCTAGGTTGAATGATGCAAAACTACCACCAAAATATTTACATAATACACGCAACATAGACTGTCAGCAGTTACTGATTCTCATTACCTACTTGCTCACTTACAAGTTGTAATCGACAGGCTAACCGGTTACTATTTTCTGACAAAAAACCCTACAATGTGGCTAACAATAACATTTAATCATCATAACTTTCACAGTTCTTCAGGAGGAGTTGTAACCAATAGCAGCGATACTTTGTATAATAACTGTTTTAAGTAAAATGATCATGCCTCCAGTGTTTAACTTCACAATGGGTTTTAAGCACAGAAATGATGATCAATAAACATTGAATTCTTTAGCATTACCACCTGTTGCTTATGACATTGGAAACTGTTCGACTTCATCAACAGCCGTAGATATATATATATACGTGTATATAAGGTGCTACTGTAAGTCAATCTGACATATGGTTGACGGGCGAAAATACCTTTTTCGGTCTTCGAACTTTACTAGTAAGATGAACACTCTCACGAAGGAGAGTGATTAGTTAGTTTTTATTTGATTTAAGATTTCCTGCAAATAAATCATACGCAACAAACTTTCGAGCATTAGCAAGACGAGTTTATTTGTTCGTAATCGTTAAAGTCAAGATTTTCCCATAGCACGTCTCACTTTTACCTACCATTTCTTTTTGTGTTGTATTACTTCTAATCCATTCAACTTTTTTATCGCATTTTCATGTGTAGTTAGGTCTCGATATTGAAGAATTGGAGGAGATGGAATCAGATGCTGGTCTTGGTAATGGTGGGTTGGGACGTCTAGCTGCTTGTTTCCTGGACTCCATGGCGACATTGGGACTAGCTGCTTATGGATACGGCATCCGTTATGACTATGGAATCTTTGAGCAGGTTATTCGTGATGGCTGGCAGGTAAATACATTTCAGATCCAAATAACTACACTGCAATTACTAAAGTAATTGTGCAATTTATTTCTAAGGTTTTTGTTGTCCGTCGTCAGTTTTCAGAATAGCAGTGGTTTTTTATAAGTTCTGTTTTGCTTCTCATTTAAACGCATTTCTTATGTTGGCTGCTTACCGAGAAGTGAAACAGACCCTAAATTATCTTTATTCCATTTATTTGTCTAAGGTTGAAGAGCCGGATGACTGGTTACGTTTTGGTAATCCATGGGAAAAAGGAAGACCAGAATATTGTTATCCAGTCAATTTCTACGGACGTGTTGAGGACGCTGGAAATGGACGTAAACGCTGGGTTGATGCGCATCCAGTTTTCGCTATGCCATATGATACTCCCATCCCAGGATACCGAAATAACACTTGCAACACACTCCGACTTTGGTCTGCCAAGGCTCCAAAAAGTTTCGATTTGGGTATTTTCAATATGGGCGACTACATTAACGTAAGATATTTTATTTCCTTAAATTTTATACAGAAAATAATATTCTTTTCAAATTTCCTTTATCTTACACCATACTTAGTTGAATATAATACTAACTACATCCAGAACTCACTTTTTATTGTATTCCCATCAAATCTACAAAATAAGATCAGCTGTCATCTTCACAATTTCGATGGCCTTTTTATTACTTTCTGCCCCTTAATTATTAATTTTCACCTACATTAGATATAGAAATTTTAGCGGTCAACTTTCCTGCCTTTCCAAATTATGGAAGTTATGGATTAGTTTTCTGTGATTGTGGAATCGAAGGGATATCTACTCAGGGTCATTTACACGCGATTTTTTTCAAAAGTTTTGATATATATATATATATATATGACAAAAAGTGTACACAAAATCTTAGCGCCGTAGGATAGGAACCAACTCACCTCCTTAAATAAGGTGATAACATAATAGGCTTTTTGGTTGTCGTTGCTCTCATACCGCTTTCTGCTATCAGTACCATTCTTATTTCGGACTCCATTAGCATTAACTTGTTTCAATTCTACCGGTCATTGTCTCATGGTATTGCCTCTAGGGACACTCATTTTAGCCGGTATAGCTTGTTGAATGGTCATTATGTGCAACTAATCCATAAAGATAGTATATAACTGTTGGGTTCCACCTGATTAACTACGTAATACTTTCTGAAACTGTCAAACCGACATGCCTCATGTGCTTACACATACTGGACGTCCAGGTTTATATAAATAACTTTTGGGCTATGGGTAAAAAGAGGTATTCTAGTTTTTCGATAAGTTTTCTCCAGACCAAGACGTCCTATTGTTTAGCCTTAAGAGCTAAACTAGTGAATCATGTTGCTCTGAACAACTGAAAAATGAATGGGAAATCTGGACATAATATGAGTAGTAAGTATGACTAGAAAGATTGGAAAAGTTCTGAAATATGGTAACTTCATTTGGTGCATTTATATGTTTGTTTGGCGTTATATACAGAGCTATCCATATACTAGCCCAAACAAATGGAATAAAAGGCACGCGAACTGTTCGGTTGTAAGTGCTGTCAAAAGAAAATTAACAATTTTTCAAAGTTATACAACGTTGTCATAAAAATCAGAAAACAGTTTGTATTTAACTGATATATGCATATACATATGTACCGTTTTACATCCATTGCATTGAGGCTAGAAACAAGGAATTAGGGTTTTACATAGATTGTTTGTGTATCCAGAATAACATTTGTATGCAATATGCACGTAACTGAATGGTAGATTTGTTCTTGAAGTTTATTCCGCAGCATTGATTATTTTGACTAGCGAAAATAGCTGAAGTGGAAATGGTTCTTATTTCAGCTTATCAGCCTATCATTTTTTCTAACCCACGTGGTCCTATCTCACAAAGGTTTCTGGGTGAACAAAACTTGCATGGAATCTAATACAAGCGTAACATGGGCTAACGGTTTCGGATATTTGTAATAGTAAGTGATCCGTCAGTGAGAACGAGTCAATAATCTTTAGAAGATGAATATTTTTGATGGCCTATTTCAGTGCCTACATATATTTAGCTGCTGAATCGATGTAAACTTCTCAGTTGGTTGCTATTACAGAAATTGTTTTTTTAACTTTTGGAAGATTACTGGCTTACCTTTGTTACTTTTATACTTTAGGCTGTATGTGCCCGTAATCATGCGGAAAATATTTCCCGTGTTCTTTATCCGAATGACAATTTCTTCGTTGGGAAGGAACTACGTCTTCGTCAGGAATACTTTTTAGTTGCAGCGACTTTGCAGGTAAAGCATTATTTGTATACGAGCTTTGTGAAACAATATTATAAGCCCTGCAATTGTTTTTGCCTATTTGGTCCAATGTATGAGTTATTTATTGTTGGAATAGTTATTTTTCTCCTTTTTGAATTATTCCTCTTATTTCATCATCTTCTGATATCGTTGTGTAGACTGAACAAAAAATCTATTCTATGAGGTAAAAATAGTTAAATTTAGTGAAAGTGGTACACAGCGTGTTTCCTCTTTTTACCAAAATTACATTGACTATTCTCGTCTAATTAGTGTAAGACTGATGTTTACAAATTGTCATCTAACTTAGATTCATTTCAGTATACTTACAATGCAGTTACGTATAATACGAAAAGTTTCTTTCTTTCCCAGTAACCTTTACTGATTTCGTCTAAATGAATGTTGCTGCATTAAGCATTTAGCTGCCGTGCATATGTAAAATATGGCATAATTATTTAAGTTTATTAACTTTGACCCATTCGACAAAGTTAACTTCATTCCTTAAAAAACTGCTATAGATTTGGTGTAACAACCTGAGATTCAGTAGACACACCAGTTTTTACTGCCCAGTTTCTTCGACTTTAAATCTCACAGGTATAATAAATAACCGAACACATAATAAACAGAGTGTCAACTTGAAACATGAGTGAATAATAATAATGATTTGCTTTATTCCAAAACAGTATTTATGACTCAGTGTGGAATCCCCTCAGTCTCCATCTCATTTTTTTTTCAAACAATTTTCTCACTTTGGACACAAAAGTAACATTTTGCAGATGAGCGTAGTCAAAATACTCAAACGACTTCTGATACAACTTTATGTGAAATGTTTTAGTGCTGGTTTGTCTTAATTCCCAGAAATTCTGTTTTTATCATGTTATCCGTATAAGATTGAGAAACCTATTTTATATCACGCTTTCACTTGACATCTTTGCATAAACTCAAGCAATATATATATTAGCTTTAACCAATATGTTCATTTTCATCCATTTTTTGTAGGATATCATTCGACGCTATCGAAGTGGTGATGCTCGTCATCCGACATTTGATGAATTTCCTAACAAAGTTGCTATTCAGTTGAATGATACGCATCCTTCACTAGCAATACCCGAGTTAATGCGTATCCTAGTGGATTTAGAAGGTTTAGAGTGGAAAAAGGTAAGTATCTTGTACCTGTTATTTCATTTATTTTGATTCTCGTTTTGAGAAATGCTCATACACAACTGAGTGTATCCATATCTACCATTTACTCTACTAATAAATGCAAAGTTGGACCCTATGTTCAACCTTGGCGTTCCCTGCTGCAAGCAGATAAAATAACCGTTCAAAATTTTAATTAGTCGATGATTCGCGAAACCCATTTTCACCTGGATGCATATTATTGAAAATAATTTTCTACTTATTTCGCTCTGTTCATCCCTTTCATATCCATGACAGCTGGAAAATCAGGACTCAGATCAGTAGTAATTATTCTGTTATGTTCATATTATGATTCGGTTGTCGTGACGGATATGATGATGATGAACGGTAAATTGTGTCCGAAATGTCATCCAGTAAAAAAAACACTGTTTCACTATGTGGTATATATTCAGTAGAAAAATTTATGTGGAATCCTTTTACTCTTCGCATATAACTTGATTCGATGTCGTTTGTCGAATGCTTACACAGTGAATTTCCTGAAAAAATGATGGTATGAAGAATTTACCACATTGTTTTCACAAAATTCAATTAATCCTTACTTCATGTTTGTTTCTGTTAATCTGTATTTTCCAAGGCATGGGATATTAGCTATCGTACTTTTGCATACACAAACCATACAATTCTACCCGAAGCACTGGAGCGTTGGCCTGTCTCCCTACTCGAGCATATATTACCACGTCATTTGGAAATTATTTATCAGATTAATGCTGAATTCTTGGATGTAAGTTTTTATCTGATCATATATGTAAGCCTGTTTAAATGATTTGAAATAAATTTTCAGCATAAGACTATACACGTAATACAACAGTTTAAGTTGGCACACCTCACAGAAGCGCACATAAAGATAGGAAAGAGGAAAAACGTCAATGCAAAGAAGCCGTAATAAATGAAAACTTACAGGAGAAAAAATAACCACTTGGCGAATAGTAAGGATTCAATGGATCAAGAAGACCACAAAGAGTGAATGCATCCATGCCTCTGAGAGCGACTTTAAGTCGTGCTGCCCACAGCCTTCAGCCGGTACACTTTAATAGTGGCACATAAAGAAAGGTATAGAAGTATTCTAATACAATGGTAATTATTTGCATCTTGCATTGCAATACTTTCAGTGCCCTTTGATTTTGAAGCTATCAGCTTCAATCTATGTCTCTTCTCCCCAAAACTATCACTTTTCTATTGAAATATGTCCTCCCCTCCCCCTTCTCTGGTAATTATACACTAATATCTTAATACCTACTCATGTTCTTTAAATCCTTTTCCTTGTTCAGATTGTACGTGCTAAATATCCAAATGATAATGATCGTATCCGTCGTATGTCATTGGTAGAAGAAGAAGGCGAGAAGCGCATTAATATGGCTTACTTATGTATTGTTGGTTCGCATGCTGTGAATGGTGTTGCTGCAATTCACTCACATTTACTGAAAACTCAAACGTAAGATGTATTTCAGTATGAATATTTTTATTCTAAGTTTTTCTCGCTATCAGTCATTGTTGATATTACTGAATTCTTTCACAATCAGAACTGCTACATGTAGACGGCAGTAAAACATACTACATTTAATTGAATTAGTCGTATTCTCTGAGGTGGTTGGTTTAATTGTGAAGCTTTCGTCGACCTTCTAGACAACATCTTCATAACAGGTTTTAGTATAAAAAGAACTCATTTAAATTCTCCATGAATGACGTAATTGTATCTCTCGGAGACCACTTAAATGAGTTCATTTTATACTAAAACCTGCGCTGAAGATGTTGTTTAGAAGGACAACGAAGGTCTTGCAATGGAATCAACCAGCTCAGAGAATAGAACCAATTCAATATCATCTCCTCGAGATACAAATCTTGTCCACCACATTAAATTATAAGACAACGGTTGGGATTATATGCAGGGAAAAAAGACGCCGAGTTATGACGGTTTACAGTGAAATGATAAAGACGATTGCATAACATATTCTAAGAACCTAATCTTAGTTCAGGCACTTCAGGAATACTGGTAACACTAATTATCGATTCCATAAGTAGAAATCGCAACACTCATTGAATCTTGATAAGAACTGTCGACACTTCAGTAATCACTGTTCTGTATCTCTATTGTTGCGCCATTATGAGCATAATCTTCACAGACTCGATTAGCAGTTTATTTCAAAGCAGGTCCATCTTCCTTCTGTGTTATCAAGAACTTAGCCCGCTGTCAAATAATCATGGATTTTTAGCTCATAACAATTGCTTCATTTTAATGCAGGCAATCAAGGTGTTTTATCCATTGCGTAGTACAAACCTTGAAGTATTGAGTCTCCGATATGTTTCTTATTAACCTGCCGGTCCTCATACGTTTTCTACTGTTTAGCATATTTCTATGTAATTAGTGAGCAAGTATAATTTATATAAATATACAAATTTTACTAATACATCGTCATTTTTCTATTTTTACCGTTTACTTATCCCTTGTTACTTTGTATACCTTGCACAGCTTCCGAGATTTCGCTGAATTATGGCCTGATAAATTCCAGAACAAAACTAATGGAATTACACCTCGTCGTTGGCTTCTTTTGTGCAACCCAAGCTTATCAGATTTGATTATGGAGAATATGAATGGTAGTGAATCATGGATTACTAATTTGTCTGAAATTGCTCAATTAAAATCACGCGTTAACGACGCTAGTCTTCTTCAACACTTGTTACGCATTAAACGAGAAAATAAGGCGAAATTCGCTTCCTATTTGGAGCAACATTATGGTGTAGTCATTAATCCTGCATCATTATTTGACATTCAGGTTAGGTTTACTTCAATTTATTTCAGTTTAGCGTTATTCCATGTTATCCTATTAACAGATTTTTGTTGATAAGTGCAAACGAGAATTTGAGTAAATTTAGTGGGTTCGTAAATGCTTGTCATAGAAATCAGTTAACGTTGTTATACATTGCAAAAATGAGTCTGAATAACTTCATCTATTCTCTTGTTAAGCTTCTTATCAAAGCTGCTGAAATATACAAAGTGTATTTGTGGCTTAAGTCTTTCCGAATTAGTTGGTAACGTTTTGTTAAAATACACAGCCTTATTCACAATTCGCTTTCATGTTCTCCTCCTTATCTGGAGACAAAGTGAAAATTGCTTAAGTTTGAAGTATTTTTTTGAAATGGTAGGTCCCACCTAACTGATTTGACTTTAAAGTTCTATTTAAAAGAGTAACTTAGTCATTCACCATACAACTTAATTGTTAGTCAGAGCCTACAAAAAAGCCATATTCTAATGACTAAATTAAATGAGTCGTCGAATTAGAAATAAATTTTACCTTCAGAGACTGATCTGGTGTTAATTAATCTCAATATATGTCAATTGACTAGTAATCTATTCACTTCATATTAGAGTTAGTCTACATATTACGTGAAAATAATTTTCGCTCTAGTTTGTGATTCTTCAGCAGTACGCACCCGCCGGGGCTCGAACCCAGGACCTTCTGGTTACAAGGCAAGCTCGTAGACCATTGAGCCACTGGGACTCGATCTAACGGCCCATGAATTCTAACTTCTGCCAATTCACGACATAGCGCGACCATTTCGCAATGTCTTCTTCGGTGAGTTACTGCCTCATCTTCAACCTGGTGTATCCTACTGGTCACGGCTTCCCACTAGAACCGCACGTTAACTGCCTGAATAGGGCCAGTCGCTAGTGAGCATCAGATCAACCAATCTGTTTTTCAAGTATTGGTTTTTGTAGAGATTTTGTTTGATTGGTTGGAGGATTTTATCATAAGCTGATATCAGTTAAACTACCATTGGAAAACCTGGGAGTACTGGGCAGAAGGTCCTGGGTTCGAGCCCCAGTGGGAGCGTACTGGTGAAGAGACACAAACTAGGACGAAACTGCTGTTCAGTACCCCCAGGTTTGCCAATAGTTCTCTAACTGATGTCACCTCATGACGAAATCCTCCAACCAATCAAACAAAACCTCTAAAAAACCAATACTTGAAAAAAATAATTTTCACTGTATTCCTTGTTACTCCTTCAAATTAATGTTACATTCTCTGGTGTAGTGAGCGAAGTGAGAAACCAGTTACAAAGATGGTCACTAGTCATTGAAATGTTTTCATAGTTGAAAATTAAGATGAAGAAATTCCATACCAAGGATAAACTTGATAAACTCGAATCAACTTATAAATCCATTTTAAGTGAATAAATACAGGCAGCACGGATGAGGACGTCAAAATAAGAATCGAAAAGGTAAGGTAGACCTTTATCACTTTGAAATCAGTCTAGAAATCTGCTGGAATCAGCACAGAGAACAAAATTAGGATTTTCAACATTAATATAAAATCAGTTCTTCTATACAGTCAAAAGCTTGGCACGCGATTCAGCGAAGTCATTTCCAACAGACTTCAGACCTTCATCAACAGCTATCTTTGCTCCATGAGGAAGATCAGATGTTTAAAAAGAATCAGCAGCGAGAAAATCTGAGGACAAACTGGTCAAGAACCTATTGCTCTACAAGTATGCCACAGAAAATGGAGATGGATCGGTTACACTCTGAGGTGACCGTTTAACGACACCGCTTGACAGCTACTCCACTGGAGCCCGGATGGCAAACGAAGGGAAATGACGTCTGAGAGTGACGTGGGGGATAACGTTTGTGGAAAAGATGAGAGCCTATGGGCGGTCACTGAGCCAGCTAAAGAAACCCCAGGGAATAGTCTTATAGACTTAGAATACGCAGACGACATAGTCCTGTTAGGGGAGGACGCTGACAAAATGCAGAGTATTCTGAACACCTTGAGCAGCAATCTTCGTATGTTTGGCATGCGATTCGCCCCTGTGAAATGTAAGATGCTGCTACAGGACTGGACTACGTCAACTCCTAGTTTAGTGATAGGGAGTGAAGTGATAGAACATGTTGACCACTTCACCTATTTGGGAAGTTGTATCAGCACCAACGGATCGATTGATTGGTGACGAAATCTCAGCACGGATCCAAAAAGCTCGGGCTGCTTTCGCTAACTTACACCGTCTCTGGCGTAGGCGTGACATCCGGCTGTCAACCAAGGGAAGTGTATACTGCTCATCAGTTCGCTCCGTCCTTCTCTATGGCGGTGAGACGTGGCCATTGAGAGCGGAAGACATGAAGAGATCGTCTCTTTTTGACCACAGATGTTTACGATCTCTTTCTCGCGTTAGGTGGCATAATAAGGTAAGTAATGTTGACGTTAGGCGTAGAGTGTTGGGCAAAGAGGGAAAATCAATCGAAGAGGCTATGAAGTTACATAAATTCAGATGGTTAGGTTACGTGCTGCGCATGCCTAACCATCGTCTCCCCCGACGGGCATTACTAGCTGATATAGGTGCAGGTTGGAAAAGAGTAAGTGGTGGCCAAACAAAAACATGGCATCAATCCATGAAATCCCTGACAGTTAAACTGAGTCAGGTAGGGAGATGCAGACTTCCTGGTTGGGGCCCTCGGGACTCTAAGAATCAATGGCTGGAGACAATAGGTGACATGGCTCAAAATCGTTGTCAATGGCGCAGATGTATTCGGTCTCTGTAATCTTTCATATTCCTTTCTACCATTACTCATTCTGTTTCACTCTTATACTTGTCAAAACTCTATTGATTCTCTTCTCTCATTTTCCTGTCTACCTTTGTGTGCTATTTGGAACGTGGCAACTCGAACTGCTGCACTTCGGTGCCAAGTTCTATGTTGAATCCAGCAGCAGCAGCATTTTCCACTCGGAACCTCAGGAAATAATAATAATATAATAAATAACCAACTTCTCAACTTTAGGAAGAAATTAATAAAGGATTTATCACGAGCTGATATTAGTTAGACAACCACTGGAAAGCTCGGGAGTACCAGTGAGCTGTTTCGTTGTAGTCTGGGATTCCTCACCAGTACGCTACCACCGGGGTTCGAACCGATGACATTCCGGTTACAAAGCTAGCTTGTAGACCATTTAGCCAAAGGGACCCCATCCAACGGTCCATGAATCCCAACTTATGCCAATTCGTGTTACATATATATATATGTTTAGCTCAACCACCAGTCGGTGTCACAGGCAAGTAGCTGTCCTCTTGCCTGATTTGATGAACCGCTCCAGTACTCCCAGGTCATCCAATGGTTCTCTAACCTGTGTCAGCACCTGTTTAATCCTATAACTAATCAAATCCCTACAAATCAACACTTGAAATTATTAAAACCGATTACAGAAAAAATTAAGGTAGACTACTATATTCCAAATTCGTATAAAGAATACTTTAGAAACTTGCCCTCACAATCATTTACATGAAAATCTGGATTGGCCACGGTTCACACTACCAAACATTACAAGGAAAACTATATATTTTGATACTTATTATAATAGTCAAAAGAGTTAGCCAAAAGCGGAAAAAATAACAAGAGACAATCTATGATATTTCTCAAAATAAAAGACTTAGTCTTGACAAGTAGTTATTCAGAGAAAATGGTAATTCACTTACGCGATGGTCACCTGACTTCACTTTCTTAATCACTATTAGATAATGACCATAGATTTCCTTCATTGTTAATATTTGTTGGCCAAACAGCCTGCATGTGTATGATAGACCAAAAGAAAACTTGTTCAAAGAAACCATCAAAACAGGTTCTTTATATCCAATGAATGTCAAATTGATGGAGAAGATTTGTAGCTCAGGTGGATGGTTTTGATGTGGTTGTGTTCAGGTTGAAGTATGCGCTGAAGATGTTGCCTAGTAGGGCAGTGAACGCTTTGTAAATTAACTACCCAGCTCAGAGAACACAACCACATCAAAATCGAATGTCAGATTGTTAGGTCTAGAGCTCATCTACTCACTAATAATTTCTTCGAACAGTACGCTTATAATTATATGATATGTAGACTGGCGGCCATTTTAAATATGTCTGCTTTTGGTTTCGTCCATACCATGATGTTGCATTTTCCACTGATGTTCAGCAGTCCATAATACAGCATGCATAACTGCTTATTATTCGATTTTTTGAATTTTGGTCTAGATATGGACATTTCTGTTGGTTTGGTTATAATCAAGAGAGCTAGGTTATATGTCAGCTTATAATTTAAGGCATAATTGTCATTGGGATACCATGTGCGTATGTATGTGTAGTGAAGAGTATATTTTAAGTGAATAACCCCTGAACTTTGGTTAGAAGTTCAAGTCACTGAGTATTGCATATTATCAGTGGGCATAATCCTACGCTTACAAGGGTCCTTGTTGTATAGTAATATTTCAAATAAAGAGGCAGGCTATTTATCCTTATTATAACAGTAATAGGGAAATATTCAACTCAAAATAAATTAGCAGGTAAAAGCAAACACACTTTACTGTGGGTTATTTGTGTGAAATCAACTTGTAATTAAGCTGACCGTAAGCACTAAATAAACGTCAGCCAATAGAAATTTAACATCTTCAAGGCGAAATTTCGGTTCACTTTTCCCAATTTAATTAGGAAAGCTCATCTCCTAATAAAGGTGCAAACGATTCATTTGTTGATGAATTATCATCAAGATTTGACCGAACAGTTCCACAATAATTGGGTGCTGAGTGAGAAGCAGACAAATGTAGAAATTATATTTGTAAAATCTCAGCGAACTCGAAATGTGAGTAGTTCCAACGTTTCATTACGCTAACTGGTTCGAACCTTTTTCAGGGAAATTAATCGGAAGAATTTCAGACCAGTTTACCGAACTAAACATCGGAATTACTTATTTCATTTTCACAAATATAATTTTCACAAGTGATTCATCTGAATTTTAAAATTTCAGGTTTAACCTAGATATTTTATGATTTATGTTAGTTACAAATCTGTAACAATTCACGCTTATTAACGATGACATTTAAAAATCTAAATTTCATTTTATATTCAGGGCCTCTTACTTTTATTTCACGCTTTCATCCATTATTATTATTATTATTGAAAATAATTCAATAAGAGTGTAGTCAGAGTTATATATTTTTATTTTATATGAATTTAGGTCAAAAGAATTCATGAGTATAAACGTCAACTATTAAATTGTTTACATGTTATCACATTGTATAATCGCATTAAATCCAACCCTGAAATGCCAGTCTGTCCACGTACAGTTATGATTGGGGGTAAGGCTGCACCAGGTTACCATATGGCTAAACTTATTATTAAACTAATCAATAGTGTTGGTAATGTTGTCAATCGTGATCCAGTTGTACGCGGTCGACTTAAAGTAAGTTGGAAGTGATTTTTTCTCTCTATTGGTGACTTTTAACGTTTTGACATGTTAGTTTAACTAAGTGTTAAAATAAGACGAAATGTGTGGCATAAAGTAACTTCCTACAAGTTTTCCCTCTTTTTTTTAATCACTGTTTATTCACATTTAAATCAGTGGAATAAAACTTGTGATCAGTTGAAGCCAATGTATGTCTGATAGTTTAAGTTTGAACAGTTCATGTATAGTTGTTCAAATGTTTTGGATAGGTATATTCTAAATTAAAATGGATGAATATTTTAAACGCAGGAAACAATGAAAATATGTTCATCTCTAATTGATAAATTCCTTAGTGAAAATAGCGCGTACTAAGGGGAACTTGTAAAATTTCCGAATAAAAGTTAATGAGATTTAGCCTAAGAACTGTGAAGTAGAAACTAACCATAATATTCACTTAACTGCGATGTGATGTTATAAACTTGAATGGTAAGTATTCTACTAAAGGTGGTCAATCTACTTACTTAATTTTGTTTTAGTCTCCACCTAAGTTTTAATGACAAAGGAAAAATTACATTTGTTGCTGTGACAATATACTCTACAGCTTCAGAATATCTGTAAAAAGATAACTCCTCTCCAAAAACTTACTCTTTTTTTAAGCAATGGTGTACATCGAAGTTATTTTAAGGAACCCCTCTGTTTCTCGTTGTTCATTATTCATGCAGGATATAAGATAAAGTTGTAAATAAATGAAATGCAGCTAACTATCATCAACTTGTCGGTCTAACTGACACACACCCATTGCTTTATTGCACTTTGAGAAGCAGTTAGTACCATATATATAGATCACAGGCCAATGAGATTGTCATATGGCAAGCACTGAACTTCATAGGTTCACGTTATGCGATAGATCTTATGATCGCGTATCCCAAAGTGAAATATTTTTAGCGGTTGTACAGTGATACCTTTTCTTAATTTTTTCTAGGTGTAAAATTCGCCTTACTGCTTTATTTGTGTCTAAACATTCAGTCTTAACAAATGCTTTGTATTTTAGCTTATTTTCCTTGAAAATTATCGTGTCTCGATGGCTGAGAAGATATTTCCTGCTGCTGAATTATCAGAGCAGATTTCTACTGCTGGTACAGAAGCTTCTGGCACTGGGAATATGAAATTTATGGTAGGTTAATGTTCTTGTTCGTTTTTGCAACTTTTCAGCATGTTTTGATACTAAGCAAAATTAATTGTTTCCTGAGATCATTGGATGTGAAAATAAAATAAGATGACTTGAAACTCTCATATAATTTTTATTTGATACTTGGTAAGTGAAATGATTGGATTATAGTATCTAAAGCACTGACAAAATTATCAACACTAGTGACAGTTGTATTTCAGTAGGCTAAACATTCAACTGTCAGTTGATGAACTTCAGGTTAAAATGTGGCATATCGAATTAAGATGTGACTGACCAGGTAATATATTTGGCAACGAAAATTGCTTCTCTTGGATTGTAGAATATTGTAAGCTTGCAGTTGCTCAACCAGATCTATTATTACTATTGTACTGGTCATATTTCAATGAACAGAAGTTGTTGTCACCTTTAGACAGCGTTGTGTCTCATACGAGTTATAGACCTAACTGTATGTATTAAGTGGAAAATTTTCTGACTATCCAACAGAACAATACAAGTTGTGCTTAGGTTTTTATTAGTTTGTAGAAAAAATTGAAGCAGGCACAAACGAAAACCTATTTCATCAAGGACTACCGGATTATTTGATTCAACATATTCATAAATTTTCTAAACTTGACTGCGACTTTTAATTTATTAGGTTGAATTTCTAATGTCTGACAAAAAAATGCTGTCATTATTGCAGTGCTGTGCATTGCACAGTTTTGTGAAGTGTGTTCAAAACTGATTTGTCTATGCCCAAGGAAACAATAAAGGTGAGAAACATAGAAAGTGAAAAGTGGAACAAGGTGGGACATACAGAAGAAAAAGGAGTTGCTTTGAATTAGATAATGGAGAGTGTGAGATGCAGAAAAGAAATTACGTTCGAATTTTGTATGCTGCTTGAAAAAGTGCGGAAGAAAAATGATAGGCTTCGGGTTTAAAGGGTGGAAGTGCTGTATTTCTACCACTATTTTTTCAATCTGAAAGGGCATATAGGTTCGAAAAATCAAATACTCGCTACGCGTGTGAAATCAGGCAAAAAACATCAATACCCATCAACTGGGTATCATTTTGTGAAGTGAAACTCTCTCAATTGGTATTCATAATCGACTGATATTATTAGGCAATGGAGTTCTTTCTTAACAGATATTCGAAATATTTCCTTCTGTGTTGTCAAAATTAACACAGAGTGATTACTTCGATACTTTGTATCCAAAAATATCTTTCAGATAACATAACAGTTAGTGTTTTATTTTCCATTCTGCTGCCTCAGCTTAATGGAGCTATGACCATTGGTACTATGGATGGTGCAAATGTGGAAATGTGCGAAGAAATGGGCCGAGAAAATATGTTTGTATTCGGTATGACTGTGGAACAAGTTGATGCTTTGCATAAAAGAGGGTAAGAAAGGATGTAAATATTTTAATATTCTTCTTATCCTACTAATAATAGAATTATCTGCTTGATATGAAACACAGTGACTTTTAAAAACCTACTATTACCCATATTCATATTACTCTACCACTCTTATTTTTATGGTTTTAAGTCTTAGGAATTGACTGGTTATAGCGTCTGTCTCACAGATAAACAATATTTGAAATCCCTTAGTTTTTAAATTACATATGCCAGTGTAATAATATTTTCTTTTCGTTACCACATCTTATCGACTGCATGATGCCATGTCTTTTTAAACTCTTAACACCGATTTGGTATGCATTGTCCATCATCTGTGTACACTTATTCTTGTTTAAGGCCAAATAACACGCATATCTCCATATGTGTGCCTGTTTTGTTTCTCTATACATTTTTTTTTCAAGAAGTGAGATAAATACTTTATGTCCTGCTTTCCATAATTTAGTCTTACACAGAGCAGATTTTACTACTTGTCCTGCTTTATATGTGCATTTAGCATGTCTGTACATATGGTATATATGTTGTTTCCTTTCCAGCTAACCACTAACCAATTGTGTTAGGTACGTTGATTATGTGACACAATATACAGCTGTGCGCACACACACGTACACATACTATCAACTAACTATTTGCTTTTTATTTCCTTTAAGTTATTATCTGCGACGATGCTTTCAAGTAGACTGATATGGATATTCTATCATTTTGTCAGGCACATTTCTAATGGTATAAGCGGGACATGGACAGTAAATGTAGCAGAATGATCTGAGCTTCATGGATTATTTATAACTGTTTACACATAAGTAATAGCGTATCCCTAATGGCCTTAATAAAGCAGAGTGTATTAAATTGTGTCAAGGTATAGAATAGCTGAAACATATAACCCTGTTAAAAACTTGAAACACATTCGAATATTTGGAAGAATACAATTTTAATATGGAACTTTGTGCTGATTACTGTTTATTAGGATATATATGTAAATTTTCATTTCACTTTGTTTTCACTTCAAGTTTCCTGTCAAAACCCGCCCTATTATCTAAATTTGGCCTATTGCATCTTCCAGTTTTAATCCAGGAATTTTCAGCAAGTTACTCTCTCCAACCTACCTGTCATCCTTCGCTATCACTCCTAATGATTCTGTTAGCATTCAGTCTTTTGAATATCCCCAGCATTTGATCCGTCTGTATTGCTCTTGATCTGTGTTATTTATCACTCTTGTCGATTGCTGGTCTACTTGGCTTTCCGTGCTATGCATTTATGGAAATGAGATTCATGATTAATTATTGAGAAGAATAGCTATATTTAGCTATGCTGCTCAATTGAAGATTGTATCTCTTGTGTTTTAAGACTGAATATAATGATAACTTCTTATCGTTTGTAAATAACTGAAAGTGTGATCGCCTATTTATTCCTCATTATCATGGAAATACACAACTGCCTCAGTTTAGTTACACGATACTGTATCCAGATTTTTATACAAGTCTCATAAGAGGACATTTTAAATGGATTACGCCAAATTTCCATTTTTAGCGTAATGTTCCACAGTCATAAATTCCTTCAGGGAAGAAAAGAAACTTTCACAAACTTTGTCACTTTGAGCGATACTCTTTCTATTCTTCTTCACTATTCTAACTGCTTATAATAACAATCATTTCACTTGTCATTCAAATTATTCTTGCTTTTCAGTTAAATAAGTATAATCTTCATTTTTCAATTAAAACCATTTTGTTTAAATCGTTTAATCAAGACTGTTTTGATATCTGAAGCTAGGCAAAAGAAATTTCTGAAATCAGTATCATTCACCACATGTGTTACAACCTTATTCACTTGTGTCTATTCACAAAAAAAGAAAGCGTGTTCAGTACAGGAACGTGTACTTCAACTGACCTTAAACATGGCTGCATTCATATTTGAAAAGAAAACATATAAGCTTTGAATGTTTGTATGTATATAGTAAAAAGAAAACAAGAACGTGTAGTTTGTTAAATCTTGTTTACTAGTTGGCTACAAATTATTAAGAGCTGTTGAAATAACCTAAAAATGTGAAACAGATTAAAAATTATTGTTAAGTACAGATGAAATTAATCTTATACTCACACTTGTATACAAGCATATTATTGTAACCTGGAAATATAGCAATTTTATGTACACATTTGTGCATAAGGTTATATAGATATTTTTGCTATTTCTTTCCACTTCTCTTATGCGCTTATCATAGTTTGCATCTATTTGGATAAGATCACACACAAGTGTTTACTATGCTGATTAGTTTTCGTACAAATACTTCATCCATTAGTAGTTGAAATTGGCTCAATGGGAATTTGCCTGTGTCATTAGTTAAAAATATAAGTATGAAATTTACTGGATTTTTTAACTATTGGAAAAACCGATGTGACTTGAAATATCAATAACAATAATATGAGTTTTGGTTAGTATTATGTAGGTACATGCCGGTAGTTCAGTGGTAAAATACTCGCCAATTACGGATGTGGTCCGGGGTTCGGTTTTTTAGCCAATGCACTCCTAGACCTCTCCTAATTTTGGAAAAGAGGGAAGAATGAGCAAGAGGCTAGGAACCTCACCCAGTAAAAACAACACCATCCCTGTGTTCCGCTTGGAATGCAAGGGAGTAAATACATATATACGTAATGTTGGTAAAGACGTATACATAAATGTAAGTATTGACTACAAACTCTAGTGGTAGCACTGAATTTTCGAAACTAACAAGTTTGCAAGTAAACGGTTACATTTTATATCAGTAACTGGAATGTTTGAAGTTGTTGGTGTAAGACTTATCGGTCAGTTTCAAATTTTCTAAAGACATTTATGAAATATTCATAAAGTCACCTACTATTAAAAAATTGACCGGTTTTTATGTATGGAAATCGAGGGTTGGAACCTATTTTACTGACTAATGAGACATGCATTAATTAAACAATAAAGGCCATGGTGTTTTGACGAGAAACAGGTAACAAGTGTTAAGATTTTTCGTCTCCACAATAAACTTTGCATCCTAAGTTCTTTTATAATACAAAGTAAACAGATTTTTTTATTATTAAGTGTTAATTTGCAGGGATCTGATTGGTCACAAGCTTGATTACAAGTTGACATCAGTTAGAGAACCACTGAAAATTATTAATGAACATGTAACTCGAATCACCATGATTTCTTATAGAAGAACTCATAAAAGTCTTACTTTAGAATATTTAATGTGTCAGTAAATAAATCACTCTCAATTTCTGATTTGGTTTACTACTAATTCCCTTGGCATTTTCAACTAAGTAGTAACTGCACTCGTCCACCCGGAAATCACCGAAGTATATAACCGTACATCAAAATTGTGACCGTGAGTCGGAAAACAGCCTTTATATATAATTCTGTTCTAAAAAACTTGATTTTGATCCTACTACGGGCCAATATTTATTTTCTTCTTTCAACTGGTAACACTGAATTTACATACTATGATTTCCATGTTTTATACCCCTTCTAGTTATCGACCACAAGAATTTATAGATAGAGAACCAGAGCTAAAACAATGCTTGGAACAAATTCGTGATGGTTACTTTTCCCCAGAAAATCCAGACCAATTTAAAGATATTTACAATAGTCTAGCGTTTGATGATCGTTTTCTCTTATGCGCAGATTATGCTGACTATCTACGCGCACAACAAGAGGTGGAAGAGGCCTACAAGGTGAGTCATTCCTAGGATGTATTATGAGTAATTATAGAAAAGCACTCAACAGAATGTTTGAGATTATTTACTTTCGAAGCTATTTCCAGAGTGATATTCACTATGACTATGGATTGATTTTAATCTTATGATGGATGTTTGTGACGGACGGAAACTGTTCGCCGGTTTCCCTGACGTATAAGTTACAACTGCCATTGATAAAATGGCTTACAGAAAATCAGCTATGAAATCAGCAAATCAACTGTTAAAATGTGGCTTTAAGATCGCTAAACAATGATTTCATACTCATAAACCCCCATCTAATAAGTTTAGATTCGGTCTAAACAAAAACCGTATTCTATAAGAAATCGGGATTTGATTCAACCACAAAAGGAATTTGGGAACAAAGTCAGTAATAACACAACAAAGGAGTGATTGATTTTCGGTCGTACTACGATAACTCATAAAGCTGATAAGTCTTACAAACTGAAAACAGTTCTAAGCCATACAGATCAGTAAAATCAGTGTATTACTGGACGGTATTTCAACCATTCAACCAATAACATTGAAAATAATATAGGTATTTTCAAGTACACAGTGATCTCAAAGAACAAAAAGACTAAATAATCAACAAGAATCAGTGTTAATGCATATTTACAGTGCTTTATTTAAAGAACTGAAAACTGTGAAATTAAGGTTGAAATACATTAGAACGAGATGACAAGGAGATTTCATTACTTGTTTTGAATGAATGCAATAAACATCAATCAACACAGTGAATAAACATGGCTTTTAAAACTTGAATCAAGATTTCGCTATTCACTGGATTTTGAAAATGGCATTCTCAGTTGAACAGAATTATTTAACAGGTGTGTATTTTAAGGCTTTACCTAAAGTGTGAGATAGGCAGACTCTGAAGCGTATCTGTTTAACTTATGACACTTGATACCGTGTACAATAAAGAGGTGGATAGTAAAACAACATTGCTATAGTGAACATTAGTTTTGGAGAAACAATCAGATAAAGATTTATAGTGTTCAGAATTTCAAAAACAATGAGGACTGAATACAGCCATGACGTTGTAAACCATTTTAAATCATAAGTTAATTGGTGGATGGTGACTAGCAGTGGAATCCAGGATGCGAATTTCTTCCTACTTGGGACTTGTCCTCTGGATCTACCTGCATTCCGCAGTCCAATCAATCGACGGAAAAATGTAAAATCGAATCAAGTAACTAATATGACGCTTTCGCGTTTGAAACTTTGGGCACCGGGTTCCAGCCTCAGTGGGAACATCATCACTCACTGCGTAGCACAGGTACATCCAGACGGAGAGTCCAAAATAGGGCGAAATGCGCATCCTGGATTCCACTGCTAGTCACCATCCACCAATTAACTTCTAATTACATGCCCAGACATCGTCGAAGCATCTGCAAAAGAAGCTGACATGTCAACCTGAGACCGAGCACTTCAGTCTAATCAATCGAGGGGAAAATCTGAAAGTGAATTAAACACTTTAAATCATTTCACGCAGAATCAGGATTTATTACAGAAGGGGTCGTAGCCAGTTTAGCTGCACCTTTCAGCACGACGCACACTGACATCCTCTGACCTTTTTATATATCCTCTTGTTAAAAATCATTGTTTGACGCCTTAAACTGGGACTAACTTAAACAGCATTGCTTTCTTGTTCCCTTTTTATGTGATAAAAGAATCTTCTAATATAGTAATTGAATTTCGTACTAAGTGTCTTCTCCTTACCATTCTTTTGAAAATTTAGGATGAACAAAGGTGGTCGAAAATGATGCTGATGAATATTGCATCGTCTGGAAAGTTCTCTTCTGATCGTACCATACGTGATTATGCTCGTGATATCTGGGGTGTAGAACCTTCAACAATCAAACTGCCACCACCATTTGAAACAGTTCAAGAAAAGAAATAAATTTACAAAAGTGTTTAATTTCGATCACTACAATTATTCCACTGTGTGTTTTTTTTCTATCCTTCCTTTTAACTTTGTCACTGTCGTCTTCGCTAGTAATCTAGTCAGTTGTGCAAACAGCACACTCAGTTGAGGTTATAAAAATGGTCTCCCTTGCTTTAAACATTAACCCATTTAACTCCCTTCCCTTTCATCATTTTGAATGCCTAGACAGTCAGTTTCTTGTTAAAATATTTCAAAATGCCTTATTAGTTTTATGCTAAAAAGATGAAGACAATGAATTTCCTTCTCCTTTTCATTAAAAAAAAAGAACCAATAAAATCCAACAGGTCTCTATTAAAGTTTTAATTATTCTCCATTTTTTTCTTTTGGTGTCTTACTAATTTGACCAATTGATCACTATCACCCCCACCCACCTACCCACTGCCAACTTAGACTGTTGCAATAGGACCTTAAGCAAAAACAGTGCTGGGCGAATTTTATTGGTCGCATGTGTCTGCATATTTCATATACATGACACTATTACACTACTAACCAATTAATATTAATTAATTTATTCCTATGATATATTAATTTCTCTTTAGCTTAACCTGTTCAATCATGCATGAGTTGACAACAAAAAAACAAACAATGAAAAAAATATTATTTTGAATATTATTATTTTTTTGAAAACAAAAATAGTAGTATTATGACTGATAAATCAAAGATTTGCTTGACAGAAGGAAATAATTCGATAGTAACACTTACTTGTCTTTGTTTTTCTGAACACTTTATCATCTTTATTATATTTTAGTCTTTGCTCATTTATATAGACATAAATGTAATTTCTTATAATAATAATATTATTATTATTTCTATTCTTCAATGGTAAATTAATTATTAATATAATCAACTCTTTCTTCTTCTGCTTTTTGCAACGGGTAAATAGACCTGGGGAGGAACCTGTAGAGTGAACCAAAGTACACTGATCATCTCTTCTTCTGTCGACAGGTTCTGAAACCTAGACGTACATATTTACGCGCCCATTATCTGCCGAATTTCTTGATATGAAGTTGGTATTCGACTTTGTCGATCGACAGCTACAGTTGCGTGGTCTGGTTGTGGAGTGAATGCTGAGAAAGCATTAGTCATGTCATTATTATATAACTCATGCAGTTATCTAAGTGCTTACGGAGACTTGTCATCTGAAGTTGTGGCAATAACTGGTATTTGTCGGGAATGTTTAATGTCGTTATTTTTGTTCATCTTCATTAAAGATGTGCCAAGCTTGCCAGCTTTGATGTCTCAGAAACTTATATGTCGTCAGGGGAAAATGTTGTTGATTTAACTTTCTAGATAAATACACTGAGAAAATGCCTGTTATTCTTTCCTGTCAAGTATAAGAAGGTGCTTCGGGATTGGTCTGCACTGACCTCTAGTCTAAGGGAAGGATACGGAGTTAAATTTACCGCTCCTCTCATTCGGAAAGTAGCACCAGCCCTAATCAACTGATTGCTGATGAAAGCAGAGCACCAATACAAAAGACCAACTTGTCACTTGCAGAGTTAAGCCATCTTTGGTTTAGAAGAAATATCTGGCTGTCCACCAAAAGAAGTATATCTGCTTAATGATTGCGAGACGTTGAAAATGAAAGGTATAGAAGGATTAGCGGTCTCTGACTGGTGTCTGAGTTCAGTTTTCTGTATAAGAAAGCTTAATATGGGCTGTAATGATGGGTTACACAGTGAAGGAAAACCAGTAGCTGCAATCATGAAGCTCCAGGACATACGTTGTATATTCCAAACCACCGCCTTTGTCGACTAGCAGTGATACTGGAAATTGGACTGTACTGAAAAAGACATAGAGCTGGCTGAACAGAGATGTGACACGGATCTATGCAGTTTTTAACGACTTTTTTAAACACTTGAGGTAAAAGTCAACTGACTGAGATTGTCGGGATTCCATGAATAATCAATCGAAGATTGAGAATGACATAACTCAGAATCATTTGCAGTGACATGTATTCACTTTTTATTGTCATCGAGATTCACGAATTCCTCATTAATCTCCATTTAGTTATTCTGCCTTCCGTGTACATCTTCGTCAATTGTTGTTGCGTTACACTTGCATGATCTTTTTTCAGTTTCTCAGAAATGTAAGAACTTGAACTGTTGTACTTCCTTGCAAAGTTCTGCAGTGAAAAAAACATTCTTGTATTGGGCAAGTTAAATATCTGTCTCACGTTTAGAAATATCCTAATGGCAGTAACTGTTAGTCAGTATGTAGGTCAAAATAGTGCTCATTGTAAGAATTTCAATATCTAAGAAAAAGACAGAGTCTTCCAATCTTCCGACAGAACAATTTTATCTGATAAAACACACAGTATTACTTATTTACTGACAACGTTTTTAGTAAAATAGTTACACTAGGAGTTGTAAAAATAAAGAGAAGTGGGATGAAAAAGGTAACTGATAACATGGGACTTCACTCCTGTTATACTAGTGTTTGAGTTATAAAGCACATCCGATACATTATTCAGCCTGTAGCATATATGAACAAAGTTTAGACCAACGTTTTTTTGAATATCTAGGCATTGGGTAAATTAAATTTATAACAACTACAGATTTGTTTTGCCAAATAAATTGAACATGGGACAGCACTGTTTCTGCAAATTTAACAGATGAATGTCCTTTTTTCTATAGTTGGTTTGTAAGGATTAGTTTTGTTTTTACGAGTTGACCACGGATTGATATCAGTTAGAGAACCATTGAAAACCAGCATGGAGTACTGGACAGCTGTTTCATTCTAGTTTGGGAATCATCGGCAGTACGCACCCATCACCAGGGTTCGAACCAAGGACCTTCTAGTTATAAGGCAAGCTAGCTCGTATACCATTCAGCCACTGGGACGTGATTCAATGACCAGCCCATGAACTCTAACTTCTACCAATTTGAGATTTAGCGCGACTACCAACCAGTGTCATCGGTGGAACATCCATCCATCACATTTGACTGGATGATATACGAGCCTGCCTTGTAACTAGAAGGTCCTAGGTTCGAACATTGGTGGTGGGTGCATTCTGCCGATGATTCCCAAACTAGGATGAAACAGCTGTCCAGTACTCCCCGATTTTCTATGGTTCTCTAACTGATATCAATCTGTGATCAACTCGTAAAAGTAAATATTCTTCCATAATTCAACATATCGGGTGTGAAGACAAACACTCGCCAGCATTGGCACTGGCTAGTGGTCGCGCTATATCAGCAATTGGCAAAAGTTGAAATTCATGGGCTATTAGATCGTGCCCCGGTGGCTGAATGGTCCACAAGCTTGCCTTGAAACCGGAAGATCACGGGCGCGGATGAAGAGTCCCACACTAGGCCGAAACAGCTGTCAAGTACTCCTAAGTTTTCCAGTTGTTCTCTAATCAATTTCAACTTATGATGAAATCCTGTAACCAATCAAATCAAATCTATGCAAACCAACACTAGAATTTCTGATCATATTCCATGAATTAATTTAAGTCCTTGTGTATGTTATATTTTATATATTATCAAGCGAATGAAACAAGTATGAAGGTAACACACATGTTCTGACTGTTGGACTTAATAACTACATAAATCATAGAATCTAAATCTGTTTGCATCATGAAAATATTTTCCCTGTCTGTAAATAATGTCAATTTTTGAAATCCTGGTATTGAAACTAGGTCATCCCTTTAATCCTATTCTAACAATTCTAAGACTAATTTATGAGCTTCTGTAATGACGTGTTCTACATTACTCTTGAAATTGTTTCGATAATGATCGTTTAAAAGCTGCTTTTCTTGGAGTTCCGTCGGAAACTGTGTGATGAACATATATACTAATCTTACTTTTTCAAGAAAAGACTATGTTCCACTAAAAATATAATGCTATTTAGGAGGAAGACTGTGAATGTTTTGAGAACTTATCTGTCATGTAAATGGGGTGGCATTTATATGGTATATTATTTTGCATTTTTCAAACGTGTTTTTAATCGAATCTTATATGAATAAACCTTATGAGATGAACACTGTTGTTGACCTTTGTTTTGGAGTACTGTGTCAGTCACGTTTTACGGCCTTTTCAATTATGTGAAAAACATTTATGCTTAAATTCATCAAACAAGAAACACTCTGAGGAAGCATTTATACTCATGACTATGCGTGCTATCATAACTGATGTGAATGAACGCATTATTAATATTTTAGTCTTTTGACATAAAATTCCTCTAAACGGAAAATAATTTTTCTCCAAATAGAAACAATTAGGTCACTTCCAAGTCTAACAAGATAAGGATGAAATAAATGTTTACATGAACAGAAGTGTTAGAGACAATATGGAAGATCAATGTCAAGTTTAGCTTCGTATTTTGAATGTAGAAAACCTTTTAGCACTCGATTAAGGTTCTTCTGAAGCGGTTTTCAGATGAAAATGTTGTATGCGTATGTGCTGGTGGGACCTGTAACTGATTTTGTGAATCCAAAGATTTTTAGATCACTTTTTAATATTATACAAGGTAAGTCGCATCAAGTTGATGAGTCCTAAACTGAACGAAACTGCTTATCGCAGAAAATCGTCTAGACGACTGTTCTAGGTCGTGACATGTCAGCAGAAAGCGAATTGGTAGAATTTAGAATTCACGGACCATTGGGTTGGGTCCCAGTGGCTTAATATTCGATAAGCTCGCCATGTAACCGGAAGGTTCTGGGTCCGAACCCCGTCGAGCGCATACTGCCAGAGAGTCTCAAGCTAGGATTAAACAGCTGTCCGGTACTCCCAGGTTTTCAAACTGTTTTCTAATCTATGTCAGCTCATGATGAAATCATGTAGGAAACCGAGTCATTTGGCTTGATAAAATCATTTTACGAGAAATTCAAACTGATATTTCATTATGTACCCCTAAATATGCCTAGTGTTTGCATAACATTGAAGTATAGCCTTAAAAGAACTTTATCTTGCCTTGTTCACCCATTCATAGCGGCTTTCTTATCTCTCACTTTGTAAAGTCAGGATTTCCATAGGTTTTTAACGCTTCAAACCTATTAGTGTATTTAGTTTTTATTAAAGCCATTTTAAATCCATATGTTCAACATCAGTCAACCGTGCTGACTGTAACCTGAGTCTATAAAGGCAATCTTGCCAACAATGAGGCTTCTCTTCTTGTTTTCGCATGTCATTGTTATTATTATGGGTGTCCTCGTATTTAGTGATTAGAATATTTGCTTTTTAGGTTTTTATGGGTCAGACAGTACTCATGGTCACACGATAACGTAGTAGTTTAACCTTATGTTGAAAAAAGCTTCTGATTTAGGGTCCTCATTCTCAGAGAGGCTTGTCTGATCTGATTTTTGTGAGGACAGGCCTTAGATTCACAAACACACAATAGTAAAGTGGGTCAAATAATTCTGTACACCGTAAACCAGTGAATTTCGAGTAAAACTCATGAATTAAATAATGCTGTTGACCGAACTAATGACAATGTGGTAGTTATACACTTTAAAGCTTTGTAAATCCTAAGTCAGGTTCACATCAAACGTCTATGTCGTTAGAGAAACAGTGATGAATGAGTATTGAAACGTTTCGAAAGCAGGCTCAATTATAAACTAAGATAGTTTATTGTCATTTCAAACATCGATGTTAACTGAACTGTTGTATCATTCTAGTATCCATCATTCCATGTAGGTGTGAGTACATTTTTGCCGAGACATGTACCAAATAAGTTAATATCCATTTGATAGACTGTATTTAATCACTTCTCGCCATACTACGACCAGCTTCCAGTGACAACAACGATTATTCATTCCCATTCTATTCACTTGGTTTTGTAAGTCAGTGTATTTCGAAATATTCACCATTTTGATAATCCTTCATAATTTTGTATATCCAAACTGTGAAAAAGCTTAGTCCACAATAAAAAAGCATCCAAGCATACACTAATCCATACTAATCTGGAAATTAAACAATTCTTTAAATATATAAAATTGGTGAATACTACATGACTTTTCTTAAATTGCAACTGTTGAGTTGTAAGTCTTTGACTAATCTCAAGGTAGATGTAATCATGAACTCGTACTAATTGAAAATCAGGGATCACTGGTCAGCCATTTTATCCTAACATGAGTCTCCTAGTCAGTGCACAACCACACGGAATGAACTCAAGACCAGACTACATGGTTAGCGGGTTCACTTCGTAGACTGAAAGTCTTCATTTCGATCCGGTAGTGGTGTGAACTGCTGAAGAGATGCAAACTGAGATGTGACAGAGGCTGAATGCTGCTTGGTTGACAGTGATTCTTTAGCTTAGACCAGCTAGTGACAGAATGTACCTTGATACATAATGGCTTCAAAGCATAGCTGGAACAGCTTAAAAAGATGAAATATTTATGGAGTGCACATTTGTGTCTAATTGCTTTTTTTCGAAAGGTTTTTCTTCCTTTTAAACTTCAATGATGTACTCAGAACAGTTTTTATTGTTTAAATTAAAAACTAATTGAGTCTGTTATTGATATAGGTACACAAAGTGGGCACTGTGGTAGAGTATAACTCCATTATAGATTAGATTTTATTTTGATAAATCACACACACATAGTATTTGTGAGTAACGTTACGATTCGGATGAGACTATAACACTTTGTATTCATGATTTTTTATAGTTGTTGTAAGAATTTAAAACGATAGTTCATAGGTTAGGCAAACTTCACGAACACTGAAAACAAGTACCACGATCTAGTAAGTCTACAAATAGGCTGACTGCCTGAAGGGGATATAAAGTATCTGCAGAGCAAATAGTGCATTCTGTGCATTATCATTTTGTGATTAGTTTATTAGGTACACGTAATGAATTGTTTTGCTTGATACACTCAGTGTGATTTAACTGTGAAAGGAATAAGAATATAAGGCATTACTGGTATTGATACAGCAGTGATTCTAGTGAAGTAACCTTTCTAAAGAATACGTAGCATAAACACAAATAGTTACTAGTTCATACAACCATCTGAGTCGCAAACCGTGTGAACCGACTTTTTGTGACTGCCTAAATAAACTTTAATTGTTTTAAGACATCATGTTTATTAATCAGCTAAAATTGTGAGGTGTTTTCATCTTAAGATTATTGTTGACTTCGTTTTTTGTTTAATTCAGAGTTCACGATATACTTATAGTGTAGGGATTAATTTACTAGTGTCTATCTTAGTTGCAATTTACTTCTATTGATACAACTTGTACTATGTCTACTAAAAAAAGTGACTTCAAACCTAACCTAATTATCTACCACTTTGTTGCATTACAGGAAACATGATACTCCCGAGTATTGGTTTGTAGGGATTTGACTGGTTCCAAGTTAGATCGCGAACTCACGTTTCTAGTAACTGACTATGGAGTGAAGTCACCTGAGGTTGCAGTTAGAAGCGAGAATTCATGATTAGTGATGTCTACCAAGATACTCGCATACAACACTAGTTTGCGGCGACACTATATATAAAGCTAACTGGCAAGAATTAGAATTCATGGGACATCGGATACCGTCTCAGAGTTTAAGTAATTAAACAACTCGCCTCCTAACCTGAAGGTCTTGGGGTCTGTTACCAGTGGCGTCTTGGGTGCGCACTGCTGAATTGTCTGAAATTACAGCGAAACAGGCAACTTATTATAATTCATTATTGTTTCCTTTAATTCCTAGAGGAACATAGGGCTTCAACCGTGCGTCTCCATTGCGTTCGGTTCTCTGCTAGAGTCTTCACCTGGCTCCAAGTCTGCCCACACACTTTCATCTCCTCTTCACATGACCTCCTCCAAGTCACCCTTGGACGACCAACTCGCCACTTCCCTTTTGGGTTCCACTCGAGCGATGGCTTGTCTAGTTACGTCACTTGATGGTTTCCTCAGAGTATGTCCAATCCACCTCCATTTCCTTCTGCATTTTTGTTTCACAATCGGTTCCTGGTTGGTTCACTCCCAGAGATCCCTGTTGCTGATCCCTTTTGGCCGGCCATCTGATCTTGAGTATTGAGCGAAGACAACTGTTAATGAAGGTCTGTAGTTTGTTTGAGATGCTCTTTATGACGCGCCAAGTCTCTGATCGGTATAGTAGCACTGACTTCACATTAGAGTTGAAAATCCGCATCTTATTTTTGATGCTGAGTGCTGTTGATCTACACACAGACTTGAGAATAGTGAAAGCTTGTCTTGCTTTGATATCCTCGTCAGTACCACCTGTATTTGAAACGATGCTTCCCATGTCGGTAGGTAAAGGAGATTGTTTCTTTCAGGTTCCTCCCACTTATGCGAAACAGCCAACTAGTTCACTCTAATTTTCAATGACTTTCTAGCTGCTGTTAGTTTACGACCTAACTTAAATACATGAGATGTAGTAACTGATATTTCACTTCAATATGACAGTCTTCAGCACTCTTACGTCTTTTTTAGTCAGTGACAGCAAATTCATTTCTAAGCATAAAATTTCTAAACTTATTTTTGTCACAAACAAACATGAGTAGAATGAATCACTGAGATCCAGGAATAAATGCATTACCACTGTAAATGCATCGTATTTTAAGTATTATCAGTTATTAACTTAAATCTGAAGCCAACACATATACTTCGGTAAATTAATTTGTCCGCTGACAGTGTGATATATCTTAGATAATCTTGGATCCATTTAAATTTACAAAAAGCGGAATTATACATCCTCTTAACATGACTACCTGACCTCTGTTCAGCCTGTTTTAATCACTCACACATCCAAATTCTGTTAATCTGGGGTGGCATTTACTGAGAATTCAACATCGTTAACTAATGTGACACTTCAATTTACCAACTGTAGAATATTCCTGTGATTCTCCCATGTATAATAGTAAGCTTGCTAATAGCTCCTATTCATTCATTTCAACTATTTATGTATTCGTTTACGTAACACTAATAGCTGTCTTCCTCAGTCTGAATTTTTTCATTATGTAGAATTTCAACTTCTAGTGATTCATGATTTTGGCGCGATCACGAGGCGATTTCACCGGCAAGGTGGATCCTACAAATCACGACTTCTTACTCGAACTCCACGCAACTTAGTCTTGTAGCCAGTCACCAGCGAGAATCAAATATTACATTATTTTAAATTTATTTGGCATTGATAACTTTCAGTTCATAGTCAGTAAAAGACTCTTTATACACTGATTTGTTTTTATTTCAGTTGCGTACAAAATACCTATATTACAAAAAAGTACGGATTAACTGATATGTTGTAAAAATATATGATTCTTTCAAAAAAAGTGTTTAATTCAGTATTCGTTTAGTTGCTGACTGATATTCGTCTTCAGGACATCATCAGTATCACAATAGAAATATATTTCTGTTTTAGTGTTTATATACATGAAAGACGTATCTTCTTTTCTATCAACTTCAAGTAATAATTTAACATTGCTAAAAACTTCTACTTTTTACATATACAGTATTTTTTAATTTCAGCCAATTCATTATCTAATAAACACCAATTATATTTTTCGTAAATATCAATTCGACTAATATCCAATACACTGAATGCTTGAAGTAGATTCTCTTCGGTTGTATTCACTTTGACAGTTGCTTCAAAATGTGCATATTCTGGTTTAACTATAATGTGTATACGGAGTAGTATACTGCCTGGAATAAAAGCATTATTATTGTTATTATTATTATTGCTGTTGCTGATGCTACCGGCGTTCTCACCAATATCTCTGATGAATATATTGAGTTGGTTTAACCAGTATATAGGTGACCAGTATGAATAGTGTTGTTCCTGGAACATTGGAATACGGCCGTCTTCATCCTTACTACGAATAAATCGAATCATATCTTTCGGTAGGATTGCTTGTTCAACTGATTTGATCTGAAAAACAAATTTTGAAAATAAAATTGGTTTTTATTTAGTATATTGAACTCACTCGAATCGATCGGTAGTCAATCACACAGTAGTTACTTGTACAGTATGGTGAACAATGAATTACAACATATTGAATGAATCCCACTAGAATATGGGTTCACCAATAGGGGATTAGGATGAATGGACAAAATAGCAGATTTTCTATTTTGTTGTGTTCTCTGTTTTGGCTGGTTAATTTGGGAAGCTGTCACTGTCTTTCTAGACAACACATTCAGTGGAGATTTCAGTTTGAAGTGAACTACTGAATTTCAGTCAGTTAGATTCTCATCTCCACGATAATCACCTATCATAGGTTAACTGCTGGATGGGAATGTGTGCCAGACTCGAAGTTCTGCAGTGGTTAAATTCAGTACTTAAAAACATTCTATAACTACTAGACCGCAATGGATTACTGAAAATTAGCTTGATTTTAAGCTTTAGTCTTAGGCATGTTTGCACAAGCTCTAAAAGTTAAAATAGAAGTAATAATAATTCAAGTACGAAATCGTCCAAAAACTATCATATCTAATTGTAATAATAACAAAGCTTGAGACGTTTCCTAAAGCATAAATTTGCGTACCACAATGTCATATTTTTATGCGCGGAATTCGTCACCAAACGACATTATTCAGAGAATAATTGAAAACCAGCCCCAGTTTGGACCTCTTCAGAAGCACGTAATAGTGGCCTCGTCAGGAATAGTACAACATAGGTCCCACAAATTACAAAGTGAGACCGTTATTTATTCATCCCATATGGGATGGTATCCAACATCCCACAAATTAAAACTGCCATCATGTTTGTTCAGTGCTACACCCCATTTTTAAAACTTCACTGAATTATATTCATTTGTGACGGAATCTACACTGAAGCTATTTCAAACCCCTAAAAAAAACACAAAGTATGATAAATTACTTAGTTGTTTGAATCCATTATTTTTCTTTCAGTTAAACAGTACTTCTGCTTTCACTTTAAAAAATGTGAATGTATCTTTCGGAATGTTAACCTTTCACCAGAGATAAAGACAGTCTTACTTTTATTTTACTAGAAAATATATATAATAGTTTTCAAGAATTAGTTTCTAGGGATTGCTTTCGTTTTAGGTTTCACCACGGATTGATATCAGTTAGACAACCAGTGAAAACCAGGGAGTACTGGACATCTGTTTCGTCCTAGTTTGTGACTCTTTGGCAGCAAGCACCCATAGGGTTTGGGAATCGGGACCTTCCAGTTAGAAGGCAAGGTCATGACCAGTAGGGTCGATCCATTCGACAGTGAGGATGGAGTTCTCACCGATGACACTGGTTGGTAGTCACACTAAAATCACGAATTGGTAGAAGTTAGAATTCACGCACTGGTCATTGAATCGGGTCCCAGTGGCTGAGTGGCATACGAGCTGGCCTTGTAACTGGAAGGTCCTAGGCCCAAGAAGGCAATGTATGAGTACTGATGATGAGTCCCAAACCAGGACGAAACAGATGTTAAGTTCTCCCTGGTTTCCAATGGTTCTCTAAATGACATCACTCCTAAATGACAAACAAATGCAATCTCTACGAATTAATTCTTGCAAATTAAGCTGATGCTCGCTAGTGACTAGCTATCGGACGAAGTTGTCTGGTGTTCTGTTGAGAAGTCGTGACCAGTGGGGTCGATTCAGTCGGGAGTGAGGATGGATTTTCTGCCGATGACACTGGTTGGCAGTCGCGCTAACATATAATAGTTATCATTAAAAAGACGGTTGCAGCGAGGAAAATTTTGTCTTCGACGAAGTCATCAACTAGGCTGTACATTGGTGTGTTTATGATAAATGGGTGGGAAAGTTCCAGAATAATTTCCGGTTAGGGGTCAGATTAATAGAATTACAATTAGGAATTAAATATATATACATATAATATATAATAGTCATACAATAGTTAACAAATTCATTAATTTTACAGATACACTGATATATAAGTTCGTTTAATGTAATTTATCTAGACTTTATTCATTATTTAAACTTAGATCTATACTTATTTTTCAATCACTTAAGACCTAATTATTTTTCAAATAAATTCCTCTGATAGACACGTAAGTGATCTGATTGTTCGAAATGTTTTACGGAAATACACTTCACAATTCAGATATGTTACATCGTGTTGTTGAAATTCATTAAGCGAACTAATCGTTTCAAAGAAAGATAAACATTTTTGGGCATCATACGATATTTAGTCATTTTCTCCAAACAAATATGCTTCCCTGGTAATATATTTCATTAATTTCAATTTTCATTTAAACATGTATGTATGTACATTCCGGAAAATTCGTGTGAACTCTTCTGTTTTTAATGCATGTGACACAGATTACATCATCAGTTCAGTTGCTTTTCATTTCATTTTTACGCTTTCTGATGATTTAAAACTTTCAGATAAAGTTCACTAGTTCCATTATAGAATATTTTTTTTGATAAAAACTTACAGTTATACAGCATTATTAACTGATAACATTGTGAGCATATTTTGCTGCTTACAGTCATATTAAAGCACTTACACTATTTTTAAATTTTATTTATGCAATTTAACTATTTCTTATTCCTTGATCTCTGTCTTCACCTTACAATATTACTTTTGATAAATGCAACCCTGCTTCATCTCTTATCTTGTGGTTGTATATTAGGGAATGCACTGTGATTTCTAAATTGTTACCTAAGATATTTGTTATCAGTAAATTATACTGTAACAAAGTGAGATTTTGTGCGTAGGTGGCACACCGGTAGAATGTTCGCCTACCATGCATGTGGTCCAGGGTTCGATCCCTAGTCAACGGACTCCTTAACCTCGCTTAGCCAGTAATAAGACTGGTAAACAGGGAGGGCTGGGCTTGAGGCTAGCAACCTTATCCCGTAAAAATAATGAACACCATTGCTACCGTAACCTCAAGTCTCTACCTTTCCAATGGGAGCCGAAGTGAATAGAAAAAATGTGACGTTTTATCAGATTATCAAAGGAGTGCGCAAATTACATTCTTATATCAATGAAGTTCATTAGGTTGAATTATACTAAACCAGCTGTTAATGTTAGTATTTCATTTAGTTATTTTTATTTTTATTTTAAATCAAGCACAACAGAAAACAGAGTACTAGAAAAATAAACTTCACTAGAAGGAAATAGGTTTTTATTTTTCACCTAGATTTCATTGAAAAACCTTTCACGTAATAATCTCATTTTTAACAAGTACAATAGAGAACAAGCAGTAAAAACTGATGTGTAAAACTTTCTTCTTTCAGGGAATCAATAACTATCTTGGACTTCCTAGTAGAAGAACTTATTGTGTTACTCATGTTCTTAGAATCTGGTACTACTGATTGTCAATCATCCGATGAACATGCTCCGTTTGTATTATTTTGGTCATATCGTTAGATGGTAAATTACAGCCTCTTCATTCACCCAGTTTACTGGTAAATTGGACTACCTTGTCAAAATACCAAAGAAGGGCGACTAAGGCCTCCAAAAAAACTGGCGGGGAATCATGCTGTTATCCACACCAAGCAAAATATTGAGTCGAATCACCCTTAAGAGATTGAAAAATTTTTCTGAATACATAAATCCCACCGGATCAGTTTGGATTCAAGAAAAGTAAATCACCTGAGGATCAAATATCAACCCTACACATCATCATCAGACAGACCATAGAATGGCAGTCAGATCTTCACCTCAAATTCATCGACTTTGAGGAGGTTATGACGGAAGAGACAGCAACCTCATTCAACAAATAGCTACATGGCAAAATCAAATGTAGGGAGATCCACAAAAATAGTCAGAGAAGCCTCTGAAGTAAATACAGGTTTAAGACATGGCTTCCTACTAACAACGATGATATTCCTGATTGTGGTGTAATACGTCTTGGGGCGGACTATGGGAAGTGAGAAGACCGTAATAAGCTAGACTTTTGTCTAGTGTCACATGATCTCGAGGACATCCAGGCGTAAACCAACAAACTGGCATAAAAAGCCGTAGAGACAGTGCTTCAAAGTGAACAAAGATAAGACGGAGATGATGAAAATAACCAACCTACAACAACAAGTATCAGTCACTATCAACGGAATAAATCTAAAAAAGTTCGCTTTTTTCACTTATCTAGTCAGCACCGTCTCAACTACAGGCTGTGGTACCAATGAAAGATATCAAAACCAAAGTCGGAAAGGTAAGAGAGAAGACGTCCAGCTCTCTGAAAGCAGTTTGTAATTCTTCTCCAGTCAGCATAAGGAACAAGATTCGAATTTTCAGCATCAGTGCTAAGTCACTTCTTCTCTATGGGTGTGTCGGTGGAACAGCAGTTAGGACTCTCACCGACTATGCGCATGGTCCGGGGTTCTATACCTTGCCGACGCACACCTGATATCAATTGGCCTGCTAAATTTGGGCTACCGATATCATATGCTGAAAATTCCATACTTGTACCAAAAAGTACTGTATGAAATCAATCTATAATAAAAAATAATAAAAAAATTCAAAAAATTCGGCTCAGGCGTCACGGAAATCCTTTTTACCGGCCTGCTTCTGACGTTTATCATCAGATACTTTCGCTTCATACTGGAGATCTTATCGCAGACCAGGAAGAATTAGCAACAAGAAACTCTGGGAACGAAACCTATCGCTCAACAAATACGCCAAAGGAAATAGAAATGGACTGAACACACTATGAGGAGACGGGCCAGGACGTACAGTAGAACACCACTAGGCAATGACACGTTGGGCTTATGTTGGGGGGTAATATGGAGGAAATCTGGCAAGGAAGAGACAAGAGGCTATAGGCGACCGTGGAGCAAGCTAAAAAAGACTGCAGAGTAAGGCAAAAGGTGGAGATGTGGTGCTGAAGCCCTCTGTTCTACCTATTAACACTAATGATAATACTAGTAAATTATTTCGCTAAGTTCAAAGTCATAAACAGATGACTACTGTAACCAATCCAGCCTCATACTTGTTTTTGTAAAGCTAAAAAAGAACACTGTATGCTCTTAATCTGCTATATACGCACAAAGGTGAAAATGTGCGTACAGTTTATTAACTTATGATACCATTGTATTAAATTACTTGAACATCGATTCATTAGTTGTACAAACTGTGTATTTACATTAGGTGACCTAGGTTGTCTGCGTTTATAATGAAATCTATCTTCACCGTATATTTTACTTTGACACAAACTCCTTTATATTACTGAACATAAGTTTGACATGACATTTATTCTAGAGTCTAGATACCATTTCAAATTTAGTTGTTTTCCGGAGTGACTAAACTGAAACTCCAAAAAAGGTTCTCTCTATTTCTCAGCATTTACACAATATTATTTGGTATTATTAATGATTCTAAATTTGATCAGCCAATAGTGTAAAAGTATAATGGCTAACTTACATTAGGTTGTCTAAGCTCATTCATATTCATATTCATTGCATCTCACAAGTTGTTAAGGCTAACTGACATTATTTTGAACAATTTATTCACAAGGTCAGATGGTATAAAACTACAGTGCACCACAATTTGATATTGAATGCAAAACACCAGTGAGCAACATGACCTGTACTTAGCGTTCTTTCTTCTAGATTTCTATGGAAAATGCCGAAAATTTACCTGAGGTAATCACAGCAGCATAAACAGCATGCATGTCAAGCTTCTAAATCAATTTTCATCGACTGAGAGTTAGATAAAATGTAACCAATTTTCAAAAGTGAATCTGTGAGGATTTAATTTTTTTCAAGTTTGATCACGGACTGATTTGAGTTAGAAAACCATTGAAAACCAGGGAATACCGCATAAGTGTCTCATGCTAGTTTGAGACTCATTGGCACTACATACCCACCACAGAGTTTCGAACCCACAACCTTCCGGCTACAAATCAAGCTCTTAGACCATTCAGCCATTTGGTCCTAACTCAATGGCCCATGAATTCTAACTTCTACCACTTCACGAGTTTAGCATGACCACTGGCCAGTTCCATCAGCTCAATGGACTACGAGCTTGTCTTGTAAACGGAAGGCCCTGAGTTCGAACTCAGCGGGTGTGTGTGCTGATGATGATTCTCAAACCGGAACAAAAAACTGTCTAGTACACCTTGGTTTGTACTTGTTCCCTAACTTATATCAGTTCGTGTTCAAACCTGAAATGTAATTAACTTCGACATCTTGAAAGTGAATAAGGAAAAAGACCTCATAAAATGAAGTATATTGCTTTACTGTGTGGTATGCTTAAGAGTAGTCAGCAAATAGTTTGCATGAAAGCAGTATACGTTTTGCAAATATTAAAAGTGAAATTAACATTGAAAAGCAATGGAAAAGACTAGTAAATTCCTAGGGTTAATATTTCATAATTCAATGAAGTATCGATTAGTTCAAAAACATATGTTCCATAAAGTTAAGGTCACTAGAACACAAGCAAATACGCTGAAGTACAATGATAGTAATGCATCGCTCAATTTCACCCACATTGTGAATAATAGTAGAAAGAAAGAAAATATTGGAAAATATTGAACAGAGAAGTAAATTCTCTTAAAATAATGTAATACAAACAAGGTTATTCATCCACCGCTTTCTATAAATCAAAGAAACACCTTAAATAATCTTTTATTTCCACTATTAAGCTTTCTTTTATTAGTCTAGTCTTTCCCTGCATACGTTTTAGAGTGTGAAAATTATTCTATTAATAGCTAAACATAATCGAAAATTACACATACATTTAGTAGTCATGGTACTCCACAAAATCATGATTATACTTTTCAGATAAACAGGTTGAATTTAATAGCTGGAAGAAAGTTGCTAAATGGGAAATCTACTTTAATAAAACATACCTGATAAAGATTGATCATTGAACACTGGCCATTTCTTGTTGTATGAGGTTTGTATCTTACAATAATTCCATTAATTTCATTAATAATTGCATTTGTACTCTTAAATATAAGTGGATTTGATAAAATTATGGAAGAGCTGAAATCTTTTAATACTGGAATCCAGTTTAAGCAAACACACCAGTGTGAACTAATATAGGCATCATCACAATTGCGATTAATTGGTATTCGATTGAATAATGATAAACCACGAGTTGGATTAATTTTCCACTTCAAGGGGATTTTGTTAATTAATTCTGAGAAGTAATCATTGCTTCCACTGTTATGATTGTTATTATTCCACTTTAATTGATTGATTAGTAGATCGCGTAGTGTTGCATGAACATCGAATAGTGTTACCAACCTGTTTTGATTATGCTTTATATTTGCTGATTTTTCAGGCCATTTTTCTCTTAGTCTCTTCGGTAAAATGATTGACATAAACGGTAATCTTTCTTCTAGTTTACCCTAGGGAAATGATAAAAAAAAGATAAGGAATTATTTTTCACGAGGTAAATAATTTCTGTTTAGATTTCGTCATAAATCAGTATCAGTTAAAGAATCACTGAAGACCAAGAAGCATTGGATATCTCTTGCATCTTAGGCTCCGACTTCCGCCAGGGATCCAATCCTTGACCTTCAGTTTACGAGATCGGCCCCCTGAATATTCGGCCATTTGCGTTGGAATTCAATGAACCGTGAATTTTAACTCTGGCATATCTGGGTCTCTAAGAAACTCATAATCTGAATATTAGTGTCCAGTTCACTGGATGGATGACGTGAAGCTGTACTGAGATACGACGGGTGGTATCCATCACATCAAGTTTTTAGTGGATACTCACCGAAAGCATTGGTTGAGTGTAACGCTATATCACCAAATGACAAAGTCAGAATTCACGGTTCAGTGAATTTCAGCCCAAGTGGCTGAATGGTTAGAGAGCTGGCCTCATAAAATGAAGGTTAAGGATCCGATCTCTAGTGAGGTAATGGAAGTGCATCTCTAAAGGGCCCCAGCTTACGATGAAACAGATGCTCAGTGGTCCTTGGTTTTCAATGATTGTCTAACTGATGCTGATCTTTAACAAAGTCTACATGAATATTACTGTAACAGTATGAAATATTGAAAAATATTTGCACTGTGTTACTCAATATTCTGGATAAGGAAATATTCAGTTTTCCTCTTTACAATTTGCATCAGTGAAAGGCAGTTGAAACTTCATGATTCCTATTTTTCAGTTACATTTTAACTGTTCCGTCAAAAGTTCATGCTTCAGCGGTCACGAATAATAAACATTTTGATTTTACCTGTTGTTTATAATACTTTTAATGTATTGTTTAGAGTTAATATAAAAATGAATAGAAACGATTGCGTTGAACCACGCCTAGATTGCTAGCTAATCCTACGCCCGTAAAGATGGGCTAACAACCCTACCCTGTAAGAAACAACCAGATTGTTACTGATGCTTCATGGCCCAGAAAACAGAACTAATTTTTTTGGTCACCTATTAAAACAAGATGTTCATATCCTATGGATTAGCATTCGTGGAGTAGCAGTTTCTAATGCACTGCACAGGCTTTAGATTGGATGCTACACTGTGAAACAGTATTATTTACTTCAGGACGTTTTGAACACAATAAAGGAACTTCATGAACCTTACGCAGAATTCTCAACAAGGCAGGAATAAAAGTTGCTGCCATTCAAACCCACAAACTCAGTTAGAAATGTGCTTTGTCGGTTAAAAGATTCTGTCGAGTCGATAAAACAAAACAGTTTAGTTTATCTAATACCCTGCCTTCAATGATTGTCGGGTCAAATACATAGGTCAAAGCAGTAGAACAGTGTCAGTCAGTCAGACTAGCCGAGCATAACAACCTTCCAAAATCTAGATTAGTTGACCAGAATGAGATAGGAAATCTAGAGAATAGTTCAGCCGTCTATACCACTACAATGCAATCGCACACAACCATACAATAGGCTGGATGGGATAAGATGACAGTTTTAAAATCTAATATCACAAGGTGGAGGGAGGGAGAGATTGATAACAGATGTGTTTATCGAATCAACTGCAAATACGCGTAATATGAATGACTCAACACCTGTCCCAGATACCTGGAAAACTCCACTACCCAAACGACGGCAAATGGGAGAGAACAAAGAAAACTATAAAACTCAAGTTTCGAAGTCGTGTGATTACAATTGATATGATTATGAATGATAAATTTTGTTTGAAACGTCATCCAGTAAATAATACATCTAATAAACAAACTAATATGAAATTGCCCAAGTTTTATACACATATTTGGATAGGATAGTTATATAAACTTTCCGTATAACTAAGTTAAGGTCGGATACACATTTTGATCGATTTTTTCAGTCTCCAGTTATAAATAAGTGTAAGCTTGTGATTACAACAGATCTGCAATAATCACACCTCGTTTGTGAATGTTGTAATAAGGAATAATGAAGACGAATGGGTGATAGACGTGCATTAAATCAGTCTGCTGAAATGCTTTGAACTAGGCTCACTGGTCCTAGCTTCCAAAAATTCATCATTCTATACTGACACAAAAAGGAATACAATTATTCAAGTTTATCACGACCTTCAAGTGGTAAAACTGAAAGAATATAACATAAGTCAGAAACATATATATATATATATGTCACCACATTTTATGTGACCAACTGTCACGAAATACTTTTCACTACGAAACCATGCCCTGATTTTCACGTGAACTTGATCAATCAGACATTTTACTAATCATTAATTTAGATATGCTTCGTTTTAAGAATAGGAGTTTGATTTCTTTATCTCACGTATAAATGTCCTCGAGATTCGTAGAAAGAATGCAAACTTTAATAAGAAGGAATTTGTAATTTAATTACTGACATCAGGAAAGAGAAGATATCTTAGAAATGTTAGAGCATGTAGTATACAAAGTTCCCTTATCAACTGATTAAAGCATAAGAATGCTACCTTTAGTCTGAAATGATGCTTTAACTCAAAGTGACATCATCTAACACACTAGTTAACATTACACCAGAATAATTTTCTCTCACCCGTGATGCATTGGGAAGTTTCTAAGGCAACTGATTAATTCTCAAAACCTTTAATTTCTGCCTTACTTCATAGTTTATTGTTTTCCTGAGATAGATTTATGATGAATAAGAGTATAATTGCATTCACTCCATATATTTCATCTCATCGCTGTAACTATAATGGCGAGGAAAGCTAAAAGTTTGCAATTTGCCGATTTTGCTTGATTTTGTACTTACCAGTTATTACGAGTTTGACGACGGATGGATATCAGTTAGAGAACCACTGAAAACCACGGAGTACTGGACAGCTGCTGTTTCATCCTAGTTTGGGAGTCATCGGCAGAACTGGGATGAAACAGCAGGTGTTCAGTACTCCATGGTTTTCAATGGTTCTCTAACTGATATCAATCCGTGGTCAAACTCGTAAAAACAAACTTAACCCTTATAAACCAACTCTTGAAAACGTATCAGTTATATTCACCTGGTGTTTCCAGCGAAAGTAACTACTGGAGATTAAAATACCTTAAGACATAAGTACAAATAATACACTCAACAAAAGTCAGCCTATACGCGGAGTTTTGTAAACCAACAAAAGCGGAATTAGAATATTCAGTGACTAATTAATTATCTGTTTATAATTTCAAAAGACGTTCCAGTGTTAACAGATGTGAAGGAGTACACACATAAACGCTTTGTATGTTTCTAAGGAATTCTGAGTGATATCAATATAGATTTCGTCACGTGAGTTGCTGAGAACAAAAGAGCATTGGATAATTGTTTTGTCTTATTTAAGGGCACTTCAACGGCTTATACCCACAGCACAACTAGGGATTGAGTCCAGAACCTTTAGGCCAAGAACAAAGTCTGCTGACCACTGAACAGTTCAAATCAGTAGAAGCAGATTTTAGCCTACTAGACTCGTCCATAGCGAAACAGCACTGATATGAATCACAAGACTCTTTTCTAAACAGTTTTTAAGAATCCTTATAAACACTAGTAATGGTGAGCAGCAAAATATGCTGCAAGTGTAGTTACCGCTATATATATATATATATATTACACGTTTATTTTAGTTTCATAGGTATTCCTATTACCACTACTCTTTCCATCAAAACTATCTTTCTTACTTGTCCAACTAAAAGGGTAGGCAACAGCCTAATTTGAAGATAACTAAAAAGAAAACACTTAACCTGGTTTCTCAAAAAGATTCGGAAATAGATATAGACAGAAAAATAATTCAAGTGAAAAGTTTGGGCGTTAAGTTTCGTTTCATGTCTCTGAAAAAGATCAATTAAATGTAAACAGTGGATGCATTTCACCAATCTCTCAGTGAAACAATATGATTTAAAAATTTATATGTTCAATTCTCATTTCATAATCTAGTTGTGTGAAAATAAAGACATAATAAATACTCTACGTAAGTGCCTATTCGGAGAACGTTTGTCGAAAAATGTTTGCAGCAATTTTTGAAGTCGTATCTGTGGGATGGCACAGGTCGATGTGGACTTTTTCTAACTCCCCCCCCAGAGCATGGTGTTACGGCTGGTTGATACTTCTTTTTATTCCTTTACGTTCCCAGTGGAACATAAAGCTTCAAGCTAGAGGACTGAAATTTCGGTAGCTGTGGTGTTTATTTTTACGGGATGGGGTTGCTAGCCTCATGCCCAACCTTCCCTCTTAATCAGTCTTATTATTACTGGCTTAGCGAGGTAAAGGAGTGAATCGTCAGGGGATTGAACTCTGAACCACGTGTGGCGTGGTTGGCGAGTATTCTACCGCTGTACCAGCAACTGATACGAGCGAACAGATAAGACAGTTGTGCAGTTAGCTAACAGGACATCTGGTGAACACAGGAAACCCAGCTTAATTCAAAAACTCCCTCAAAGTCCCATGTAAATTCCGATCAGACCTCTCAAACGGAATGAGATCAAAGCGTCTGGGCATAGCTGAGGCACTAGCGATCGGAAAATTCAAGTCAAAACTATGTATTCAAAAGAAATACATCAGACCTTTGTCTGTAAAATGAACATCATAAACAGTCAATTCTCTCAATAAATGTCCAAACTTCTGGTCGATTTTTGTTATTTTTACGTTTTAATCCACATTTACAATCCTATGATTTGTTATAATTTAACCTTTGACCAGAAATAGTTCTGAAACTTTTGCACCCCTTTACTATGTACATATGAATGTACAGCCCGGCTTATGACTACATCGAAAAGAAAACTTTCTTCGTTGCAACCGTCTTTTTAATTTTTCCTATGATCCAATATGTATATACCGCCATTTAAAGTAACTGAACAAATAATATTTTATAATTAAATAAACTATTCAACAGTGAATGATGTAACACTTTTCCACTGATTATTTTCAGCTGGCTGAATGCAGAAAACAACATAGCCTTGAAAGGGTCCCAGTGGCTTAATGGTCT